AGCTGTTTATTTGAATTTATTTGAAGAATATATTTTTGGTAAATTTTTTTATTAATTTTCAAGAAAACACATACCACATTTTTAAGCGAAAACGTTTAAAAAGTTCAAAAATATAAGAAAATTAACACATTTACAGTGCTACAACAATAAGAATAAGAATACTTTAATAACCCTCAAAAAAGAAGTTTTGTCTTTTTATATAAAGAACTATCTGTGCATACTAATTAATGATGTCAAGCATAGTTACCGCAAGATGTGATGTCACAATACATAGTTACCACAAGATGTAATATCTTCAGACTGTGAAGAAATACACCGAGCGGAATCTCTCACGCGAATTCAAAATGAAATTAGCAAACATACGAGGGGTGATTGATAAGTAGTGAGTCTAACACAGAAAGAAACAAGAAATTCAAATCAAATGCATTTATTTTTCAACATAGTCCCCCTTCAATGTAATACACTTCTGCCATCGGTGTTGCAGAGCCTTTATTCGAGTTCTGTAGAAGTCTTTGTCTTGGGTGTGTAGAACATCATCCACAGCGGCAATGACGTCATCGTCAGACGGATAATGCCTACCGAAAAGACATTTCTTCAGAGCAGGAAACAGATAGAAGTCTGAGGGAGCTAAATCAGGAGAGTAGGGTGGATGCTGAAGAAGTTGAAAACCACAGTCATGGATTGCTGACATGGCAACAGCTGATTTGTGCACTGGCGCATTGTCCTGGTGGAAAATCACACCTTTGGCCAGCTTTCCTCGTCTTTTGGTCTTAATTTCTTGCCTCAACTGCTTATAAGTGTTGCATAGTATCTACCGTTAATTGTTTGACCCTTTTGGAGGTAATCCACCATGAGAACACCCACAGAATCCCAGAATACTGAGGCCGCCACCTTTCCTGCCGATGAAACAGTCTTTGCCTTCTTTGGGGTCGGCGACGTCACATGTTTCCACTGTTTTGACTGCTCTTTTGTTTCTGGCTGAAAGTGGTGGACCCAAGTGTCATCCATAGTAACAATTTGTTTTAGGAAGCGGTCAGGATCGGTTTCAAATAAGGCTAGATTCTCTTCTGACATGACGTGTCTTGAACGCTTTTGATCAGGCGTCCAAAGCTTTGGCACCCATCGTGCTGAAACCTTTGTCATTTCCAAAGTTTCAGTGATAATAGAATGAACTCTCTCCTGGCTAATACCAACTACCCCAGCTATGAATCGTTCGGTAACTCGCCGGTCATTCATTATCAGATCATGGATTTTTTGTACCATTTCAGGTGTTGACACAGTTTTTGGTCGACCAGGGCGTGGTTCGTCTTCAATGCTGTCTCAGCCAAGCTTGAATTCAGCTGACCACCTTTTAATTGTGGCATATGAAGGAGCATCATCTCCTAATGTTTCAACCATATCATCATGTATGGCTTTCGGTGTTAGACCCTTTTATATGCAGATACAGCTCTCGCCTCGATATGGTCCATTTTCTCATAACAACAGACCCTACTTGATTGTTATGACCTGTCACAACCAAACAGTTTAACCGAATATGATGAAAGTTTGTGACAGAGCCCGAGGAACATAATAGTACACGTGCAAAACGTGGTATCATTGTGTTCCACGGTTTTCCAATCGAGGCCCACTCATTATGCCCCCGTCAGACTGGGGTGGCGTCCTTTCTGTGCTGCTGCGACCGTACGGCGACCAGAATATGCACACGGTCGCCGGTTAACGCGAACAAATCGCAAGAAAATGTCCCCAATAATTACAAATTTGATAAAAGCCACGTTCTCACAGTTTTCCAGGTCAGATCGCAGAACCTTGGCGTTTGTTTTGAACATGCTAAAAACGAACGCCGTGACTCGGCGATCATTTGCGACCATGGTGACGACAGCACTATATCTGACGTTTCTACCAGGGTTATGGCGACCTTGATGCGCTTTGAGACTATTTTCCGTCGCCGTAGCAGCACCGTAAGGGCGCCACCCTGGTCTGATGGGGGGTATTATCAATCGCCCCTCGTATACCTAGCGTCAATAAAACCTATATATTTATATGTATCACGATAATAATTGTTACCTTTATAATAGAAGCATTTTAAGACATATTATTACCGTAAACATACTAAAATATCGCAAAATGGGCACGCAGAATTCAAACAGTATTCAAACCAGCTGTGGTGGCAAAATGTTTTTTATTTCACAGGATCAAGGGATGAATAAACTAGGACGCCTATTCCACACAAAATATTATGTTATAATCAAGTGGACCCTCCATATAAACATCTATCTGCATAATATGTTTATGAAAATATGCAGATTTAGATATTATCTACCACCTGTAGCACTTTCCCCTCAAACTAACAATAAATTGTTTATTGGAATTTTCTGTTAGGCCTAATAAACGGAAACGTTCTTGTCGCTGTAAAATACTCGATCAATATACCAATTATTAATTTATAAGATAATTTAAGGCATACGCCATTTAACACCATATCTTTCTGCATGAAATGACAATAAATTGCTTTTTGGATTAAACGGAAACATACTTTCCTTTCGTTATTGTAGCTGTAAAATAATATACGAATTATTATTTTAAATAGCGTATTTCTACTGATGATTAAAGTAATCAAGTACTGCAGAAATTTGCAACACGTTTTAACTTCCCACCTTTCCCCTCCCTTTTTCAGGGCTCCCAAAACTAGTTAATGTTCTTGCGTAATTTGATGTCCCCTTTTAATCATGAATTTATGTCGTTTTTGATGAATTGCTAAGGTTGTCGCAAGTTAGATGTGCAGAAGCTAGAAAGACCAAGATATACTTTATAAAGCACAATTTACTGTAAATTTTTCTAAAGAAATTTTGCGCCTATTCGAAGAGAACACCACCGGACCCCCACCCCCAGGAGGTAACATCAGGACCGACATTAACCACAGGTTCGTCATTTCTGCCTGTTTTTTGTCTACCTGTGGTTACTATCGGTCTAGATGATACCACGGACGGAACGGGGGCCCAAGGTCCATGGGTTCCGATGGGATTCTCTTCTCACAGGCGCAAAATTTCTTTTGAAAAACTGAAATGATGGAACTTGTAAAAATCCCTTTTGAATGCTGTCAACGAATTTTTTTATTGTTATACCATTGTAAGTGTTATTTTTTTACATTTTAGAGCTTTTTTCGTGTTGTCACTTAAAAATTTGGTATTGAGTTTTCGTGAAAAATTAATAAAAGTTTAATAAATATATTTTCCACTTTAATTCACACAGCCAGCTTCATTCTGACTTTTATTTCATAGATATAGCTGGTAGGGTAAGAATGACCATAACTGAAGTTAGAATTTACCGTAATCTTTAAGGTGACCCAATGTACTCTCTACCTGCTGATGTATTTCCTATTTTATTTTTATCCAACAATGGGCGTTAAGGTCCATAATCCAACCCAGTAAAACAAATGCATGTGTCTTTACCAAAAACATAGTTACTAATATTACGCGCTAAAGCTCTTTTGTTACTCAATATCTGTCAATATTAATGGCAAAAAGTCTTTTATGATCCGGTCTATATATGGTCTAGGGGCACAACCCGAAACAATTGGCGCCCTAGAAATGTTCAGCTAGAATAGATAAATGAAAAGCGATATATCGCAAATTGCTTTTTCCTGAACTAATATAACTGCGTCATTGATTATTTGATATTTTACTTTCTTTTTTTTTACCGTTACTTTTGATCGAAACATAAAGGGCCAATTACTTTAGGTTAGCTGATATGTGTACCTATCAATTAGTTTTCTCATTTCTAAATCTAAAAAAGGGAATGAAAACAGCTCCAAATGTCGAGAGTTATCAGCGTTGTTAGGGTTATTAAAATATATAGGTTATAATGTAGTCGGGCGTAGAATTAAGTGGCTTACCTTTCCTCAAAATGTTGTTTAACACAAGAGAAAGGGTGCATGATTATAATATTGCTTCAAAACACTCTCTAGCATTCGATAGTGTGAACTGCAAGGGAAGACAATCCTGTTTGGGAGAGAGAGGGAGAGAGAGAGAGAGAGAGAGAGAGAGAGAGAGATATGGGGTTTAACGTCCACTCGACACAAACATAGGTCATTTCGGGACTAACATATGGTTTAATTTTATTTCAATAATTCGCTTGCGCGTAGGGTCTAAGGAAAGTGGGGGGAAACCGGAGAACCCAGAGAAAACCCACGAGGTTGATCAGGCGACCCTACTCCTTGTCACGTTCAACCGGGGAATGGAAACCACGCCAGTTGAGTCAATGACAGACCTACCTTATGATACAGTGCGCACGTGCTAACCATTCGGTCATCCAACACCCAACCCTGTTTGGGAGAACGAGTTTAAACATACACGTACTTGAATTTTTAGTACAAAATGTTATAACATTGTTAATGTTTGTATACATATGGTTTAACGTCCTACTGTTCTGCACCGAAGTTTGAATACACTATTTGTATAATATCACATAAACACTGAACATGTCCCAGTCCCACAGTGCCCCTATTGTATTCTATTGTTTGTTGGCCGTGCTCTAAAGTACGGAATTTACAATGAGAGGGTTTATTAGAGGGCAAGTAGTACGCCCAACCCAAATTTCATTCATTGCAATTATATTCTTATTGTTGCAGGAGTTTTTCCATGTGGAATTCCATAGGTTGTTACGTGTAAATTCAGATGCATTTGGCTTCACATTTTAAAGCAATGAACACAGTATAAATTATTTGCGCATGTGGGGGGGGGGGGGCAAATTTTAAAAATTGTATAGGAGTTCAAGATGCGAAGAGGTTATATACTTCGATATATGACCTTCATTACAGAAATTCCTCGTGAAGAATGTTTAAAAATATCCAGATAAACAAATGGCCCAAGGCCTTAACTGCCATCGGTTAAGCGATATTTCGCTTAGTAAAAATAAGGAACATGAACCCTTGTAACATCCTTATCCTGGTTATAACTTATTCATTGATTAAAGCAGAGAGACAACCAAAACCATCCTTAAATTAGCCACAATTTATTAAAATATTTTAAATCATAAATAAAACTATGACAAAGCAGCTGGCAAAGAAAGCAACAAATCTGAATAAATAACAACCATGTAATATATGCATCAATTTCGGTTGTAATCTATTAAGTGGATTAGAAAAATAATCCTCAATATAATATGATAATAGACACATGTCTGTTCTGAAACGAAATGAAATGATGTTTAACGCCCTCTGATGACACAACAGTTGCCGATAGACTGAGAGGTGGCCAACAGATACAGAGACTAGTTCAAGGTAATACGTGAGTATATTGGCCATCAAAATAAGTCACCTTTCGTCAGCTTCAGGGGTATTTATTAATTTCAGCTATGATTTATGGTTGCTAATCATGGTGGCTATAATGGAGCCGACTGGGCTAATAAAGACGGGCATACGCCATACAGTGTGCTATTGAGGGTAAATTTTTGCTATGACAGCGGCGCTACGGCCTACTCTTATATCGAATTCCAACTTCCAGGGGTTTATTTACTTGCACGTCAATATGTACACGGTTTCTCGTCCCATCCGAACGACTAGACAGTTGTCCTTGTCAGTCCTTCTGTTCTGCACCACTGACAAGCGGAAACCATACCAGCATGTCTGTTCTAGTCACAGGGTGCGTTACAAATAAATGGAAACAGCCTAGGGCCATCACCAGCTTTGAGAAGGGTGGGGACAGTGAATGAATGATGTTTAATGGAAACAGCCTAGGCCCATCACAAGCTTTGAGAAGGGTGGGGACAGTGAATGAATGATGTTTAACTTTTCTGCTATTCTGCAAGAACTGTGCTAATGAAAACGGTCATGCAGGGAAATTCGGCCCAGACAGCCATTGAATTCCAACTGTCGTTTTTGTACGTGTACACGGGACCTCAATTTTTCGTCCCACCCGGAAACTATAAGATGTTGATTGTCAAACCCTCCGACCCGCACCACTGACATGGCGAACCACGCTGGGAACTTCCCTCAAAATCGCTATCTAAACCCTGACCTCATTCATGCATCTTACTCAACCCTCCGCTCTTCACAACTGACATGGCGAAACCACGCTGGGAACTTTCCAGTCAACATCGTGATCTAAACTCGAACGTCGCGGTTAGTAAACTAGCGTCTTACTCATCCCAAGGAAGTCACAGTATGTCGTTAGCCTGAATCAGCTGGTCTATTACCTTAGGTAGTCGGTCCAAGTACAGACCCATGTTGAACACCATGATGGTCGAAGGGGGTTGGGTGGCGGAATGTTCTGGGCTCTAACGCGTGTCTCTTCATACTTGAAGTAGGCCTACGGGCTCTGAGATTTAACAACACGAAAGATTTTGCCCTGACCCGTGTAGCTATTGAGACAGAAATTAGGTGCTAAATATCTATTTGTTGTAGAAATTGATCAGCGGGTTTATCAGCTAGTCCTAATGTCGTAACTCTACCTATATGATCGACTAAATTAGGTTCTATATAAAATGCCGGTAACCCCGACGATTGTACAAATTGATTTATAGCTAAATCAGTTCGGAGGTACGGTTTACTAGCGTCACGTGATAGACTTTTACTTAATTCATCAATGACGCTGCTTGGATACAACATGGCGGGAGTACAACAGCCCGGTGAAGACACAAATCTATAAGTGCATGGATGAATTCGTCTTAATTCTATTATATTCTGTCTTCCTAAGACAACACACGTTAATACTGTGAACAACACCCCACATGTAAATATTAGCGCTAAAGAATGTTTCCGTCGCTTAATGTTGCACAATAAATAAACTAAAATAAAAATGGCTCCACCGACAAGACCACCACTTAATAGTTCTAATATACGATCCTTTTCAAAAGCGTAGCCCTGCCATTTTTCTGGATAAAATAACTTCAAATGAATGAAATCCTTCGCTCCATATCTTGAGAAGTTTCCAAGTCGATATTTTAAAACATAGGCTAGGATGTCCATTACATTGTCGTGGACTATTCCATCATCTTCAAGCAACAACACATACTTAGGGTTCCAGTATTTGGCGGCATTTAAGCAAAAAATATAGTCCATGGTTTCCTTTTCAAATGTTCGGACTGGCGTGTTTGTCCTGTAGGTCACGTTTGATTGAGGTAAGAATAAATCTGGAATGCTTGGTTTGGAATTTCCGTAACGTTCTACGTAAGGGAGATAACTCTTTAGTGAAATGGCGTCATGGTGTTCTTCAGGTTTGACATCCACATTGCAAATGGTGGTAAAGACGGATTTGAAATTTGTTTGATGCTTTACTAATTTATCAACTTTGGCACTAGATTGTAGTAGATAGCCTAAACTGTTCTTTGTAATTTTAGAATTTTTTCGCTTTGTCGTTACTATGGAAACCACCATATCAATTTCACCTACATTGTTTTTTATGGCGTCATCGTATAATTTCAGAGAAGCTTTGGCATCTATAGAATGAAAATATTCGACAGCTTTAGAAAGTCTCTTCGTGTTAAGGTTCGATTCCTCCATTGTATAATTGGCTTTTGATGGGAAGCCTTTGAAAAATATTGTCCACGGTTTGTTCCAGAAAAGAACTGGAAGAATGACGACAAATTGGAGGAGGAATAAGAAAAGTATAAAACTCAATTCATGGGAATGGCGCTTTAAATAATGAATTAAATAAGATATTAATGTTTTGAACATAGTGAATAATCTCTTAAACATGGTGAATAATCCCTTTAAACTTAGATAAAAATATTGCGGTAAAGCACCACGCAAAATTAAACGCCACTGAGATAGCGTTTCCTAGCACGCATCACCCACAGACACAAAAAAAACCCCCAAAAACCCCAAAACAGTCAAGTCACCGAGATGACATTTGTTAGCACTGTGTCACACGAAATAAACAGGCAAGTCACTGAGATTACATTTGATAGCACCGAATCGCACAAAATAAACAATCGAGTCACTGTGATGGCATTTCCTAGCACTGTATCACACAAAATAAAGCCCCACACAAAATAAACCGTCACGTTATTGACATTTCATAGCACCAGCTGCTTCACACACATCAAACTGTAATCCAATATTAATTTTCGAGTAAGAATTGGTACTGCAATACAGAACGACTAGTCCATAGCAGACTGAATGTACGTTGTTTTGGGTTGTTCTTTTGTTTGTTTATTTTTAATTTATATAATGTTTGTTCCATTTTTATTGACTATCAACATCCGGTTAGTTCAAAAGGGGTCACTTTTATGACTAGTCTAATGATGAATCAAATCCAGTACTCTCATTTCATCTGGTGCTGTCGTTTTATTCGAAATTATATATTATCCGGGAAATGTCGGCATTATGTAATGTTGTGCGTATACGTTATCTGCAACCTGAAAAAAGGAGATGCATAATCAGTTGATCAAATCGGATGGCAAAATCGAGGTTAAAGCGTCGTTTCTATCGGTAGGTATTTTGTGTGCTTGCCAACGTGTACACTGGTCCCCTCCTATGGTGGGGTATCAGGTTCAAAATGCGATCTGCAGTAGAAAGTAGAAAATAAAAAGCAAAAGAGAAAATTCTTATCCAAAATGGACATTTTCGTGAGGGAAACATATACCGCTCGTGCTTTTCAACCTAATACGTCCATCTTTTCAACTTTAAGTCGTAAATATTCTACTTTCAACAACAGAATTTCTACTTTCAATAATCAACATTTGACATTCGACTTTCAACTTTAGATTTTCTACTCAAGATTTTCTGCTCGAGATTTTCTCCATGCATATTACGGAAATAAATTTGATCACGTGACTATTTCTGCATGTCATTAAAATACGGTATTTTCCCGTAAAAATAAACGATCCCATAGATACCGTATTTTAATGACATGCAGAATTTTCTCTTTTGCTTTTTATTTTCTACTTTCTACTGCAGATCGCATTTTGAACCTGATACCCCGCCATAGTCCCCCGTTATTTTGTTCTATTCATTCTTATTCTGCACACATAGATCCTAAATGGCGCCAGCATCCAAAAATTAGAAGCCTACATTGTTTTGTGATGCGACCCTACTCCTCTGTTTCACATCTGTCATGCACGCAAAGACTAAATAAACCTGCTCAGTTCCATTAAATGGAAGCAGAATAAATACTTAAATTCTCAAAATTCTCGAAGTATATTTGGTGTTTTCGACTAAAATCGTCGATTTAGGACTTAAAAAGTCGGTCAACTACCTTAGTGTCTGTTTTCAGGCGTAGCTAACTGTACACAGACAGCCAAATTTTAATATGATTCATTCCGTGCCATACTAATAATATTAATAATAGTAAGTTTTTATACTGGGCACAATTATATCCAAGTTAATGCATAGGACGCATTTACCGCTCTCCACTAGACAAAAAAACATATTCATTTGTATTAAGTTTTTCGGGGCCCAAGTCACGGTTACTCGAATTTCTTTCAATAAATTATAAATGGAAGTCGTGATTTTAAGAATGCCAACGGACAGTGGTAACCTAGGTTAGCTGAATACAAACAAGAATAAAAGCAGGATAAAAAGTTTATCGTATATTTTGTTTTACAGTTTACTGTCTACCAATTTGTTGTGTTCGAGCGACTATAGCGCACTTGTATCTCGATTTGAATCCATCCTACATACAAGGAATTGTCTACTCTACTTCGAGAATAGATCTCTGTCCCAAATGGCCGTCATATCAAGCAATAAGTATACTTTTTGTAAAGTGGCCTTATTCCAGTTCACATCTGTTATACACAAACAGACTATAATTAAACCTTTTCAATTTGAAAGCAGAATATAGATTCTCAAAATTCTCGAAATATACATAGTGTTTTCGACAGAAAGCGTAGGCCTTAGTATGGCCCCCATCCCGCCGTTGGCGGAGAAGAGCAGTCGAGACATTTCAATCCCGTTCATCGCTTGTGAGAGGTGGTCCTTGATATTTACAAGAAAATGTTCCTCGTCATTGGTACGAAAAATCGAGATTTCCCGTGTATAACACTGGTTTACGCGTGAACAGAACTTTTTGGGGATCTTAATAAGAAAATAAAAAAGAATTAATACGAAACCCCACACTATAGTTCAATTTCATTTTGACCAAGATTAGCTCAATTTCATCTTGAACATAACACAGGGTTAGTGCTAAATGATCAGGCCAGGTTAATTCATCCCAACCCCAACCCTAACCCTGTACCTAGGCCCAATGCTTACAATCTCGCCAACAATTACGCAACCTAACCTTATTTACATCTCAACGACCTTAACAAAAATTGAAGTGACCATAACATAACACAGCTCAGTTTCATTTTGACCATAAACGAACACAGTTTGATTCCATTTTGAGAGATCTTAAGAAACAGTTTGAACAACATAAAAATATATCTTAATTTACTTTGAACAAGACAGTGATCAATTATACACAACCCCACCCCTCTCTCTCTCACACACACACAACCTGGTCAAAAGTCGATCGTACGACCTAGCTTCTACTACAAGTCAGATATTGATTTGGTGAATGCCATCGAAAGTATAAAAACGAAACGAAATATAGATTTGTATTTTAATCAGATTGGCGGCATACCTGCCGATATGATTTCGCCGCAAGCGAAAACCTACATTACATAGGTCCTATATCTGAATACAGCACCGTATAAGCTGTGTATAGATCTTTATCGATGCTTAATTTGTTGACATATTCATTGAAATATGATAAATATACAGTCATTGAAATACTTTGGGCATTCCCATTTTTGTGTCTCAATATTTCATTGTTGTTGAATGTCTTACTCATTGGTTTTAATCTTAAACCTCTAGCCCTGAATTTATAGGTTTTAATCTTAAATACCTGACCCTAACCCTAATCCTAAAATGTAAAAGTGATGGAAATAGAAAAGGGAGTCGGATCAAACATGATCGCCATACTTTGTGACAGTTAAAGTTCACCCTTAAGATAAAATAGAAGATAAAATAAACAGGTGTTCGCCCTACCTTAGCTTTATCGTACCGACTTTTGTAATGATGATCCAGGATAGACCCACAATTCAATCGCTAAAATCTCGGTTCGGAGTGGATCAATTTGACTGAAATTTTCCACAAATTGCCATTACGTTATCTAGTTCCCCTTTCGTTATCTATTTTTTTAACTATTATATTGAGAACTTACTGTCAACTCTTTATCTAATCTCCCATAATATATCTTTAAGTAAGTTATTTACACAGGGTTGTCAGTTGTTATTTATTTCAACCAGGTATCCGTTCCCTTGACAATTAGTGGAAATCGATCATATTAAACGACTTTTCACAAGTTACCTACGACAGCTCGTAAGCCAATTAATAAAATATAAAAATATCGTCATACCGTATTTCATGTACTCAATACACTATACAAAACTCCATTTTATTTCTATTTTGGGATCAAATCTATTGTAACATGTATACTCATTTTGTCTTGAATAAAATACGGCTTAAACTATGTACTGTTTACCTCATGTATCTACTAACCAGTGTGTACATAGTAATTATAATAGGATATGACGTGACCTATTAATCTGCGTCTATACAATGGGATTTGAAGACCGCATTTAAGTAGCTAAGTCTCTAACTCAATATCATCTCAAGTCTTACACGTTGAAAAGACGAATTATTTGTCAATTCAAATCAACATTGATGTTGTGATCGTACCAGGAAAAGGTAGGATTCTGATATCCAATATTTAAGACAAAATAAACATTTCACCATTGGTACACGAATCGTGTACCATAGTGCGTTTCAACGTCATTTGTAACAAGTGACCAGAAAGAACGAGGCTAGAAATATTCCACACCTAAAATCAAACAGTGACGAAATGTCTTATCTGAATATCATGCGCAATATACTGGAATAACCAGACGCTAGAAATTGGCATTCCCGCTGAGACTCATGTCGTATTTCGCTGGACATAACTGATTTGAAATTAGAGTCAAAACAGAAACAATTGAATGTAAATCAGTTTATATACAATCAGCTTACATTACTATATGCGTTTCGACCCATTTGTCAATTTCTAGGTCTCAAATATTAGCGATTTAGCTCCTTTAAACTCAGTCATACGGATGGCCTATCCCAAAGTTACATTTCAAAGAAAGCTTCAAAATATTTGATAGTGGACACGCATGTAAAATGTCTTTAAGATACGAGCCAACGGATTACTCACTGAGCAATTGTCTCTCCCAGATTTTAAAGATGTACAAAATGTCTTCTGAAATGCCACAGTATAGGCCTAAACATAATTTTCTTTTTCGTTTAGGGAGTTGCGGTGGCTCAGTGAGTAAGACGTTGGCTAGCTAACCTCTAGGTCGCGTGTTCAGTTCCTGTGTTGGCCGAGAAAGTTCATCGGGAATTTTCCGGTGTGGATCCCCCTTATCAGTGATACAGGACCAATACGCGAAAGCGATTTATTGAAATAATATGGAAACATTATGTTAGTCCCCCTCTAATTGTTTAGTAATTTTCTCTCATGTAGCCCTAAATCTTAATGGGAAATAAACAATCTCATTGAATCACATATCCTATTCCGTATATCCTATTTCGTATCGTTGTTTATAGTTCAAAATTTCGTTTTACTTATCTTTACTACACTAGGATCTGGCAGAGTTGTTTTATACCCCGCGTTCTGGATGATGTGAGGGATTTGCCGATGCAACGGTCTGTTTTGGCGAGTTTTTGGCGTGAGGTGCACGGAACTGTGAGTAACCTACTAGAAACATCAGGGCTAATTGATTTACCAAATATCTGATGTCATAGGGTCAAAAGCCGCTCGTGTGACCTTGGACTCGATCTTCCACCAGAACCGGTCAGATCTTCATGTAGTGTAGGCCATGGAAAGTATTAAAAAAACGAAACGAAATATACCGTAGGTCTGTATTTTAACCAGATTAGGGAAATGAATAACCTCTTCTGAAATAAAATTGATGTTTAACGGTCTTCTTTTCTGCACCAACCGTTATATTGAAGAGGGGCATGCCCGTTTTTCGAATTCCAGCTGTCAGGGGTTCTTTTAAGCCAACGTGTACACACGGGACCTTAGGTTTGCTTCCCATCCGACGCTGTTCTTTACCAGGCCTGACTTTAGTCCATAGAAATATGTCTACCACAACGTGGCTTAATTTACATATACACTAAATACAAAATATTTCATATTCTATCGATCCACAACGTGTATCTAAGGGTTTGTGCATGATTAAATATCTGCATAACAGACGTTAGTTTATTATAGCTTATTTCGTTTCTGTTATAATGCAGTACATGGATCGATTTAATGCCTAACAAATTAAAATGAGGAAGAGAGAAATGGGTTTTAAATTTCACTAGACACAAACTATGTCATTTCGGGACTAACATATATTTTAATTTATTTCAGTTAAATTTAACAAAAAAAAAAATTCAAAACCAATTATTTTTGGGGGACAGTAGGCCTATTGTAATCAGAAATTGTCTACGTATAGCTACGTACGTAACTAACGTACGAAAATTAAATGGCAGGTAGCTTCTCTGCAGGTATAGTGTGGGTCTGTCGTTCAGATTACATTATAGCTATTAGACAGTATACGATATAGTCGAGTTACTCGATGGGTGAGTTTTCTCTTGCTTCACTTGTTTTATACTACAGTTACAAGACAGTACACGACATAACAGAGATACCCCTAGGCGATTGCTTTATCTAATTTAAAAACCGTTTGAGACACAAACATTTATAAAAGAAAATAACAAATTTTGCAAGTGTTCCGGGCACAGAAAAACCTGGAAAGATATGAGGAGATTTACCGTTAAGGGCCTATAAAGGCCTATAAATGACAGAGAATAGAGTAGAGATAACCTCGGGGTGTTACAAAATAATTTGACTACCCAATAAAACAATCTACACCGTATAATCGTAGTAGTATGTTATAAATTACCTGACTATGGATCGCATCTTAATCCCAGGTAAATATTCCAGTTTGAGAACTCAGTAAAGTAACGGTGTCAGGTAAACAGACTATGTTTGCTGTCTGTGCGGCGTATTGACGGTATGAGCCGACCCACGCCCTCTGATGACACACAATTGCCAGTAGAACGAAAAGTAGCTACAGGGGCTAGTTTTACGTGATCGCTGACCGTCACGCAAACAAAATAAGTTATCTTTCGTCAACTTTAGCGGGATTTATTATTTTCACCTATTTTTATGGTGGCTTTAGTGCAGCTGGGAGCAATTATTAATGTTTCGTTTTTTTTCTGTGTTTTTATGAAATGAAATGTAATGGACTGGGATAATGTAGACGGGCATACGCCATGCAGTGTGCTATTATAACACTATAGGGTTATTTTAGGTCTAAGAAAAGTGTTCCGTTTAATATAGAAATATTTTACCTACATGGTGTGTGACGAAAATTAGGGTAATGAAGTAGCTTGCATTACTCTGCTACTATCTTAGACTAACTCACAGACATTTATGTCAGTATCCATTTCTGGAAAGTATTGTACTATCGTCCAGTCATCTCGTGCACGGATTAGTCCAATTAAATAGAATAATGTTGACGTTAAACGGTGCCTATATGAAACACTTACCCAAAAATGGTAATTGTCCCGCCCTAATAGATGAAGCAATACATTTTCTATATAAGAAAGAGCGGGTTTGATTTACCCTCAGACAATCGTTTGGAGCTCGGAAGATCACCATCCCAATAACCTCCTCGGCTTAAAGGCTACGGTGAACACAACATCCTAGTGCGAACCTTATGTAGAACTATCAAGAAGTATGTGGTTCTTGCCACGTTTAAGCCGTTCTGGTCTGAGTTAGAAAGGATATTAAACTCAGACCGTGGATATTTTAATAACTCGAAAAGTATTATCATAACTTTGTAGTTTGCTTTATTTGTTTAATTATATAAACTTAGTAACAACATAAACGGTGTTCCAGAGTCAGTTAATTGATGATTGAAATAATTGATCCCACAACGTTAAGTCGAAGAAAGTTATAGACGATAATGTCACAGCTACCCCAAAGTGTCACACATCTGTACCCCGTAGTGCCACACTATGGGGTAAATTTTACCCGTACAGCGGCACTACAGCCTACTCTTATTTCGAATTCCAACTGCCAAGGGTTCTATAACGTACACACCGTAAGATTCAATCAAATATTGCTCACCTAAATAATTGACATTGTGCGGATTAGCACGACGTATTATACATTTTTACTAATAGCCTAAATTTATTAATTGTGGGGCTAGAATAAAGTGAGATTCTACACACTACAATACATTATATAAGAGGTGTGGTCCCTTTAAACTTGTTAAAAGGAAGCGGATAATATCTATCACAAACAGGAAGTGTTAGAATCAACCACTTAGATTAAGTAGTAACTAATTTAAAGCTACAATATATTAAAGGTGCATTATGTAAGATTTAGATAAATAGCTGAAAGTTCTCGCTATAATAGTTTAAAAAATAGAAAGGGGAATATGTTGAAAATTTTAGCCAAATTACTTCATTCTGAGCGGAATTATCGTCGTTTGCAGAATATTGTAGTCTCGATTGCCATTGCTACCGTTGTTACAATAATAAACTGTCTTGATTATCCATTTCTAGATTAAATCATTAACTGCCAATCGTATTTAAATCTGTTGAAAATCAAAACCACCGGATGGTCTAGACAGTTGATTATGAGCTGGCTTGTAAATAAATGTCTAATTAATGATTTATGTAACATTTCAGGCCAATCGAAAGATTTGCATTTGCTAGATTTAGCTCTTGAATAATGCATCTTTAAGGATTGTTGTCGTCGTCAAACTGGTGTCACTAGAAATATAAATTGTTTATTAGAAAGCGTAGAATTGGGTTTTAACCTCCACTCGACACAAATAAGTCCAGTTTTATTTCAATAATTCCATTGCGAGTAGGGATCTTTAGCAGTGTATGTGTGTGTGTGTCTGGTGAGGGGAGGGGCGGAGAAAGCACGCGAGGTTGGACAGGCGACTCTATACTGCTTGTCACATACAATTACAGACCTTATTTTGATCTAAGGTGCACGCAATAGATCATTACAGCAGACGGGTAATGTGCCAGAAAAAAAAATTACTGAGGAAAAAGCCCTTTATACTTTCTAGTCGGCAAAATAAAGTACCCGAAATTAGTCTCAACATTGTGCCGCAGTTTTCGGGCATCGATTATTATTTATTTCAACAAATTGCGGGAAGATTATTCGGATAGACACGTAAATCAAATTAATATAATACTTTTGGGGAAAAAATCTTTTGCCTTCTAGTCGGTGCCCAAAGTCGCATGTCGTTCTGATATACAGTCGCTCGATCATTATATTTTGTGTCATCAAATCTTTTTCGGGAAGTGAAATTTCTGTTGTCATGTGAATACAACGGCAACTGTCTGATTGGTTGGTTGATTGGAGTTCAGATGGGTCTTTGGTGGGATTTGGGTTGGGTTGCAAAAATCATATAAATAAGGCTATTTTTGGCCACTTTCCGGGACTGAAATAGCAGGAAAAGGCCTTAGCGGCCATCTAATTTCCATAAAATTCCTTGGGGAGTCCGCCCACAAATACCCCAGACGGTGAATACGAGGAGTCGGGAATTTTGTCGGCCATTTCATTTCCACAGTTTACCAACTTCTAGATCTATGTGACCAAATCCGTAAAGGCCTTGATGAAGGCAAAGATCAACATATTTCAATACAAGTAAGGCCTTTTGCATGGTTTGACATCGAGGTCTGCATTCGAAGCTTCACTTCATTAGCCCAGACGATCCTACTCCTTGTCACGTACAACCAGGGAATCAAAACCACGCCAGTTGACTCAATGAAAGAACTCGTAAACGGTTCAAGCAGGAGTACCACAGAGATCAGTACTAGGCCCTTTACTTTTTGCCACCTACCCAAAGGATGTTATTAATGGTACAACATCGCAGACGTTATTTCGCTCTATCTTGTCATTGAAGGCCCCGCTTCATCTCGGCGAATTCTAAATACTGACCTTTGCGCCATCAGCAAATGGACCTCATAAACCAATAGTATCATTTACTCCAAAAAACAAATCCTTTCGTCCTTCCAATTAACATTCAAACAACACTGCTTTCAGTGAAATCTCTTCTCATAAACATGTAGGCGTCTCTTTAAAACTACATCACATCCAAAATCTCCAACTCTGTTGATCATTTTCGAAGTTTCAAGTACACATTCTCTAGAAAGTCACTGTAAATAATATAAAAGTTTTTAATCCTTGAGCAGATGTCCTAATACGCCCAGTCTGTGATGACTATGTATTGTTAGATTCGTTTTCGTTATTGTTGTGCGTGTTTCGTCGATCTTTTCTTCTGTTAGTGCCAGTCAGTACCAATACTTTGCAAACACTGTCCTGTTCCTTTCCACACTCTCTGTCCTGCACCAGGGGAAACAACTTAAACAAAACTCTCGATAAACGTACTGGGCCAACACCGGATCCTCCTGCTTAGGGCGCTTGCACGTTACTGAGTCTGATAACAATTAATAGATAAAAGATATTTGTGCTTTGGGTCCACGTGATAGCTGATAATTTTAGTAGTAACCTGGGAATTTGCGACGCGTTCTGTTAGTTGTTTGATATTTATACAATCATTGTATCGTTTTAGCGATGAAATAGATTTCCTTTAACCTATAAAATTTTGACGAGTGAGCGAGAGATGGGGTTTAACGCTGCCACGACACAAACTGGGTGTCACACGACACTAATTTTATTTCAATAATTCGCTTTCGCGCAGGGGTCTTTAGCAGTGGGATGAAACCAGAGAACCCGGGGGGAAAACCCACTGTTGCGTGGATTGGTTTCAAAAGACAACAAACAATCAATCAGCCATTTGCATCCAGCGTGTATTCTCCAATCGTCACATGATACAAAACACAAGGAATTCCCTAAAGGATTTCCCTTACGTCATCATCACTATTTAATAACATAACATCTCCCTTTCTTCAGATGGACATCAATATAATTTTTTATCAAATAATATTATAAACTAACATACTTATCTAGTATCATGAAACTATAAAACTAAACTATATTAAACTACATAAGTAAATAAAGTTAATCATCCAATACAGTATACACTTAAAATTTAACCATATATACTATCCTCCTTCCTTCATAAAGAAAAGAAAAGAAAAAAAAAAACACTTTTTCAAATATCTAATCTATTAACAGGTTTTACTACTCTTCCTGATCTAGTTGTCTAATAACCCTCTCTATTTCTAGGCCTTAAATTTCCATTATTATTCATATTCAATCTTACATTTCTGTTATTAACATAATTATTATTATTAGCATTATTCACTGGATCAAAACAATACAAACCAATATCATCAAACATATTTCTATTTAACTTAACAGGATAAGGATTTCTCTTAATAAATCTAGAATTTCTCCTATAACAACCCTTATCAGTCTCAACAATATAGGATCTAGGATATTTCATTTCTTTCTTAATAATACCTTTCTGCCATGTCTTGATGTAAATTAACAGATTGTCCTTTTATAAACTTGCTATCATGTTTAAGACATTTCCGATCATAGTAATGTTTCATCTTATCTTGTCTAAGTTTTAATTCAGATTTAACATTTTGTTGAACAACAGGCTTTAGCTTATCTTCTTTAATTGGAACAACTGACCTTAACTTACGACTCATTAACAATTCAGCAGGAGAATCTATCTGAGAACTTATAGGAGTATTAAGAATTTCTAACAAACCCAAATAAAAATCATCACCACTTGCTTAACATTTCTTAATAAGATTTTTTACAACTTGTACAAATCTCTCTACCTGACCATTACTTTGACTATAAAGTGGAGAAGATGTTTCATGCAAGAATTTATAAGACTCTGCAAAATTCTTAAATTCTAAACAACTAAATTGAGGCCCATTATCGCTAAATATTACTTTGGGAATACCATGATTAGAACACCATGATTTAATAACATTGATTACAGTAGAACTCTTAGTATTTCTTAAACTTTTGACTACAGTATACTTAGAGTAATAATCAACTCCAATTAAATAATCTTGATTCTTATAGGTAAACAAATCTACACCTATCTTTTCCCAAGGTAAATCAGGTATAGCATGAGGAATTAGACTCTCACATCTTTTCTGTTTCTGATATTTAATGCATGCATCACAGTTTTCAATCATGCTAATGACATCTTTAGATATACCAGGCCAAAATATGTTCTCCCTTGCTCGGGATAATGTCTTTTCACATCCTAAATGACTAGTATGTATTTTCTTAAGAACATAATCTCTCATGGACACAGGAAAAATAACATTACATTGTTTAAATAATATATTCCTATCAGAGGATCTACTTGATTTTTCTTATTTGGCCAACCTTGTTCTATTTGACTCTTTAACAAACATAAAACTCTATCTTTCTTAGTTTCTCGTATAACATCATTCATAATTCTAGAAGAAATAGCTTTCTGCTCTATAATGTTATCAACATGTACTCTAATATCAGTTTCAATCTTATCTGACAAATTACTATCTATATCTGGTATTGAAGCTCTACTTAAAGTATCAGCAGTTATTAACAATTTACCAGGCACATAATTTACATCTAAATTATAACATTGTAACTTTAGACTCATTCTCTGTAATCTAGGACTAAGTTGATCTAACCTTTTCTTAAAAATAATTTCAAGAGGCTTATGGTCCGTTTCAACTAAAACATTTTGACCATAAATATATTGATGAAATCGAGTACATCCAAATAAAATACCTAATAACTCTTTTTCGATTTGGGCATATCTCTTTTCAGAATCTCTAAGTGATCGAGAAGCATATGCCACAGGCTTCCAATCATTATCACAGTTTTGCAAAAGACAACAACCTAGCCCTGTGATAGAGGCATCACAAGAAATTTTGATTGGCTTGTTTAAATCAAAATGTTGTAATACAGGCTGTGAAGATAAAATAGTCTTAACTTGATTCAAACAGTTTTCATGTATATATGTCCACTCAAATTTTACATCATTTTCTGTTAATGCTCTCAACGATTCAATTATACTTGATAAATTGGGAATATAATTACCCAAATAATTTACCATACCAAGAATTCTTCTAAGGTCCTTTAAATTATTAGGAGAAGGTAACTCTTTAATAGCCTGAATTTTCCTATCATCAGGTTTTATACCTTCTTTAGATATTACTTCCCCCATAAATGTCACAGAATCTATCAAAATTTTACATTTCTCTTTATTAAATTTTAAATTAAGACTCTCTGCTCTTTTCAAAACCTTCTCAAGTGTTTCATCATGGTCCTCCTTAGTTTTAGCATAAATTAACATATCATCATGCACAGTAATAAGATTAGGAATGTCCTCAAAATGTTGACTGACAATCCTATGAAAAATTTCGGGAGCCACATTTAAACCAAATGGTAACCTTAAATATTGATAACGCCCAAAAGGACTATTGAAAGTTGTTAAAGTGGAAGCATCATCAGTTAAACAACATTGCCAAAATCCTTGACTCATATCAAGTTTTGTATAAAATTGTGAATCTTTAAATCGAGACATTATTTCAGATCGTGTCGGCAACATAAAATGCTCTCTCTGAAGATATTTATTTAAATCCCTAGGATCTAAGCAAACTCGAATTTGCCCATTGGATTTTTCAGATATTACAAAACTATTGACAAAATCAGTTGGTTCAGTACGGTAACTTTACGAATTACACCAGAATTTTCCATCCTATCTAGTTCACTTTTAAGTTTATCATACATTGAAAAAGCTACATTACGACATGGATGAACAACACCATGAGCCCCTTCAGTCAATTTCAAACTAATAACCCCGGGTAATTTGCCTAACTGTCCATCAAAAGGTTTCGGATGTTTCTTGACCCAGTCATTTTCATCCGTTTTAATGTCTCTTGTAATCTGTTGTACTCTCTTAAGCAACCCTAATCTTTCGGATGTTCTAAGACCTATAATAGGCTGAGCGTCTTTCTCTGTAACTACTGTAAGATAACAATAATACTGTTTATTTCGGACTTCAACCATAGCAACACAACGGCCACAATTTTCTATTGGTTCATTTGTATATGTCTTCAAATTAACCTGCTTAGTATTAAGTTTAACTTTTCCTTTGGAACGTGCCTGCACTTGTCTAAAATATCTAAAGGGCAAAATGTCAACTTGCGCACCACTGTCGATTTTAAAGTTTATTTCAACACCTTCGACTGGTAGTGGAACAATCCATTCATCCGAATCTTCAGAATTATTTATAGAATCTATAAGGAAATCATCATCATTATCAACTGCGTCTTCTTTAACTCTATTATAAGTAAATGATTTATGCGTACCATGTTCCTGTATATCACTAAAATCATCATAATTTTCTTTATAATCTTCATTATTTCTAACATCATAAACTCCTTTCTTCTTAGTAGCATTATTAGTACCCCAACCGGGATTTGATCTAGGTTGACTACGGCACATTCTAGCAAAATGACCTACACGATAGCAAAGATCACATGTTTTCTGATATGCTGGACACTGTCCTCGTCGATGAGAAAACCCACATCTATTACAATCTTTGGAGTCTGTATTATTACCATACGTTTGATGTGACAGTCTAGTTGTTTTGAATCTACTTCGGCTTCTGTAATTACCTCGATTTCATGGGCTTCTAAAACGTATTGAATCAACATTTGAGGAATTTGTAACTTCACTACCTGGATTTTGTGACTTTATCAGCTCATGATTTCTAGCCGTTTCTACAGCATTAGTTAGGGTGATATTACCTCTCAACTGTAAAGTTCTAGACACCGTCTTATCAGTTAAACCCCATATAAACTTGTCACGAATATTAGTCTCTCTTTGATCACCAAAATCACACGTCTCACTTAATTTATGTAAACTTCTGAGAAATACTTCAACAGTCTCTCCAGGATTCTGCTTTCTCTCATGAAATCGTGCCCTTTCTGATATGACGTTACGTCGAGGTACAAAATAATTGTCAAATCTGGCCATGATAGTATCAAAATTTCCCCTCTCGTCTTGGGTAAGAGTGAATGTGGAGAAGATAAATTCCGCTTCATCCCCCATACAATAAATTAAATTACTTGTTTGAACGTGAATATCTTCCTCATTAAGTTTCGTGGCTTCACGATATCGTTTATACCGCCGTTTCCATTCCGGCCATTCATTGGGGTTAAGAAAATCAAATTCTTTAGGTGGTTCCAGCTTCGCCAAACTGGGTGTCACACGACACTAATTTTATTTCAATAATTCGCTTTCGCGCAGGGGTCTTTAGCAGTGGGATGAAACCAGAGAACCCCGGGGGGAAAACCCACTGTTGCGTGGATTGGTTTCAAAAGACAACAAACAATCAATCAGCCATTTGCATCCAGCGTGTATTCTCCAATCGTCACATGATACAAAACACAAGGAATTCCCTAAAGGATTTCCCTTACGTCATCATCACTATTTAATACCATAACACCCACGACTTTGGACAGGCGACCCTACTCCTTGTCACTTATAAGCGAGGAATCGAAACTAAGCCACTTTTATGAGTAAAAACGTCCTCTCGAAGGAAGCTCATTCATTCTACACCTCTAAAAATACTTGGCAGCAGGGTATTGGCGCAAAACTGTCCCCACCGAGGGAAACGCTACATACCCTGAAAACTCAATGGATTATATCATCTTTATTTTAATTCGACTAAACAAAACATTGATTGTAGATCTAAATAATCAACCATATATGCTTTATTGTACCTTATGAAATTTGAATAAAATTAGTTTATAGATCATATTTTTTATTACTTCATGTCGATTAAATAAATATTGATTGTATATTGATTAACATATATGCCATAACGGATTTTTACCACTTGTAATTAACAAATATTGTAACTGATTGTCTATTAATAAAGATTGACTATATAAACGGAACTCATTACCCCTAGTACTACCACTAGTAATTAACGAATACTGCAACTGATTATCGATTTATCATCTCTCAATCAAAAACTCTACGGCAAGCCGAGCGTCTTGGCAATCAAACAAACAGCCGAGACCCAGCTTACACAAATCAATCACGCCCAGGGTGTCAAACAGATGGTATAAATTAACTCACGAAAAAATGCAAATCATTCATCGTCATGGCCAGTAAATTGAACGTCGCACTAACAGGATCTTCGTATATGACGCATCTCCAGAGGTACGCCAGGAAAACCAACCAACCAATCCACCATCACCACAACATTCAGAACTACGGAGTAGGTGGGGCCACAGTTGCCAAATGCAGAAGTAGGGTAAGCCAAATAACCAGAGCCACAGATATAGCACTTGTCTATATCGGGGGCAACGACATTCGACCCCGCACTGACCCTGAAACACTCGCTGACCACATCATCGAGGTCATGCTTGCCATCCAGGGTAGAGTGGGGATGATACCTGTCATCTGGATAAATTCATACCCAAGGCTATTACCCAGATACTTCGCTGATCCCCTCAAGTATATTCGTATACAAGAGAGGTTAAATCAGCACATGCTCAGGAAACTGGCCGAACACCCCATGCTGCACTACGGGGGCACCTACTCCTACAAGACGAACAAATGGAAAAAGGCTACGGAAAAGATGCTCCAGACAGACGGAATCCACCTAAACGACACGGAACACCAAAATCTAATGGACATGATACGAATATTAATATATGAAACAGCCCAATATTACTATGGGATAGAAAAACCACCACAGTACATAGGAAAGTCATGGAAGATCGACAACTGCCTCAGTCTCTTCCATGACTCAATAAGTATCTTTTAAAACTCTTTTACTACTATTGTATTAAAAACCTAAATACCCCTAACATCATTCAATATTATTACCTTCCAGATTCATCTTACTCTACAGTAAATTACTACTATTATTATTCTTATCAAATTACTCTTACTTTCATTTTTGTTTTACTCTTATTATCTTCTTTACTATTATTATTATTTTTAGCCCCCTCCCCCCCACCACCCAGAAGCCTAACCAGACGAAACCGTCACACATATCACTGTAAGACCAGATACTATCTTTTTCCTTCTCTCTTTTCAGGAGCTGGATTCTTCCTTCTGAGAACCAACAACAAAGGAATGAACCATAGAAACAAAATACAAACAATACCACCATACCGGACAACATATCCAAATGGAAGGAAGAATGGACCAGGCCCCAAAACTCACCAACAATCCCCAAGGAAGAGTTGCACCGCCCTGCCATTCGACCGGACAGAACGACCTGACCAACCAAGATAACAAAATAGATATATATATATGTTCGTCCACCTTCATGTATACAAATGTCTCTGTCTGTGTAAATGTTCGTCCATGTCCATGTCTGTCCTACCATATGTCTGTAACCGTCCCAGTTTGCACTTGTTACACCTGTTAAATCACGTCTCGTCTCTGTATATTCGTTGCACATATATATCTATTAAAAAAAAAACCTAACTAATCCACACTAATCCACTAATCACGTTGTAAATACTATCACCATGCACATATAACACGTAATTGTCTGCGATATCACCTCGGTGGAAGCGGACGTTAAATAAAACTAACTCACACACACACTAAGCCACTAATTGACTCAATGGCAGACCTTATGATTTCGAGTGCATGCGTTAAACCACTAGACCACTCTAAACCCCTATGTTTTGATATAGTTGTTTCGATTCCTCGGTTGTACGTGAACCTCGTGGGTTTTCGTCGGGTCCTCCGGTTTCCTTCCACTGCTAAAGACCCCTACGCGCAAGCGAATTATTGAAATAAAATTAAACCATGTTAGTCCCGAAATGACCTAGTTTGTCGAGTGGACGTTAAACCCCATTTCTCTCTCTTTTTAATATAGTTACAATCAATGTACGGTTTAGCGCTGAAAGAGGTTTTATTTAAACAAACACTGCAGATGTGGCCTAAATGTATAGTTTGTATAAATTTATGTGCATAACCGTAGCGTAAGTTAGATTCCGAACCGATAGTTGACTTTTTTTATTTAACAATATTGCTGATGGATGGTGATAAAAAAAAAACCCAAAAACCTAAAATGCACTTTAATCCACAGTTGACAATATCTCGTATATGCAATCTTTTATGAAATTATCACATGACCGCCATCTCCCGTATATAATGTATGATTGGCAAAGTGCACGTAATATTTAAAAATAATGGTATATCTCGAAATCACAGGATCACGTACGTCACACCTGTATTTTAATCAAGAAGCTTTAATCCACAGTTATGGTTGACGATAAAATAAACCTATTCAAAACTTGTTATTTTAATCATGTACTTCAATGTAAAATGCCGTGTGTGTTTTATATACTACGATCGTGGAGTGTTTAAAATAGAAAATTATTTTAATATACTGTATACAAGTATAACAAACCGGAAGAGCATACGTGCGTATCTATCGCTCTAAAACTAAATATAGCTAGCTGTTTTTCTCCGCAGAAAGACCCGAGGCGTAGTGTGAGTGGCACCACGGTGCTGTTTCCCTTGAAGCAAAATTCTTAGGGGTGCACAATTTCAAAGGAAATAAATAGGTTGCCAGACAACGAAGCATATGCCCACTGCAGCTAAATCGTCCTACATTCAACAGAGGTTGTCACATATCTGTTTCTTTTGTCCGTAATGAAAACGTTTATGATTAGGGGTAACAAGCCATAAAGTAATTATCAGAAATCACAAGGAAATCGTTGAAAAGCAATGGGCTTCTTCGTCTCATGACCTTAAACACCATGTTGGTAATTATCATTTTTAATAAAGTTGTTCGCATCGTCCCGCTTAGCATGTCATTATATAAACATAAATTGTGTCTATTTCATGTATCGATGGACTTAAATTGCCCGTTTAGATACTGCTTTTGCAATTTTTATATCGTACAACTGAGTGCCAATTACATAAAGTTTCATGAGATATATTAAATATAATATCGTTTATTATATAAAAACGTGAACAGTATATTTGTAATTATAAAGCTTCAAAGACCTAAAATACAATTATTGAGTTTGCTCCACTTTGAACTTGGCTTTATTGGAAATATTGTGTGAACATATGAAACAAAGAACTTGGCTGTTTTTCATTTCTCGCATCTCTTGTTGGAACTATTGTGTGAACATATGAAACTGCAACAAAGAATGTAACAAACTCTTTTAATGCAACGAATGTGATTTCTAGTCGACGTTGCCTTTTGTTTTTTCTCGCTATATTATCGCTTGAATGTGTCACCAAATATGTTGTCCTCGATCAGCTTGACGAGGCTTTGGTTTGGCTGAACCCCACCCCACCCGTTTTGAAAACATCATGTATCCATTCTTGTGAACACCCTCGTTCTGGACAAAAAACCTTGTTCCAAAAACATGGCAATTTTAAAACAAAAAACGTTTTGGACCTCCGGGGATGCCTCCTAGCGTAACATCCGGGGATGCCTCCCGGCGTATTTTCCTGACAATGCAAGCATCGGATCTGCAAACCTCCGGGGATGCCTCCCCGGCCTGTTTTCCTGACAATGCAAGCATTGGAACTTTTAGCAGTTCTCCCGTGGACCCCCGATTGGTCCACATGTCTCGTGATGCCCCAGTAGCTCCCCTGGGACACTGGGAAACCTGTTCCCGACGCCTCCCAAGACTCATCAATTTCTATCTGTAGTACATCCGCAAGGCAAAAATTGCCCAGTGGTACCTACGCATTATATAATACGCCCTAACAAGTGTCACTACATGAAATTGCGCAAAATTTCAATTTTAGATTATTTATTATTTTATCCTTATTATTTCGGCAATAATCTTATATGTTACGCCGGGTAATAGATATGGCAGAAATAATAACTTATTTCTACCACTGACTATGACGTGTATGGTAGAAATCGGTTAACTGAGGACTTTATACACTCTATGTCCAATAAACACTAACAGCGGACTTGATACATACAATCATATTTTTCATTTTCCAGATCACACACACTAAAGATACACCCCAACTGTAGAATACCGCCCAGCGCGGAACACCTCAGTACAATCCTGGATTTAGTTCAAAAAGTCCTCGGTTGACACAGATCCGCGATTAGAAGTTGTATATTCAGATGTGTGACTTCGATATACACTATATACAAACGCACACTGCACACACACCCACCCACACAGACAGGGGCGGCGGCAATATAGGCCTACGTCCACATTATAACGTGGACGTATAATAGTAAAAAAGGAATATATTGAAAATTTAATTCAGATTATTTTATTGTTTTAAGTTTCAATTTTCATTTCTCGCAAATGAAATGGCGTTTAACTTCCAGCTTTTCTGCAATTACAGGGTTAATGGAGATGGGCCATGAAGTGTCATAGGAGGAAAATTTTGCCTTAACAGCGGCATTTCCGCCTACTCTTCATCTGCACCACTGACAAGTGTAAGCAACACTGGGGATGTAAAATGGATGTTAAAGATATAATATGTAAGATTTAGATAAAGAGCCGACAATTCTTGCTACAATAGCTCAAAAATAGATAATGTAAAATGACTAATTTGAAAATTTAATTCAAATTCTCTATTGCCAGTGAAGATATTAGCCTTTGAAGGTTTGACAAGACATGTGCAATAATTTCAACCACCGTACTGGTTGTTCGAAGCTAGGTCTCGCTCCTCCATTTTCAAATTAAATCAAAATATGGCTGAACCATTCTAATCTATTTAATATCAGAGAAATCCAATGCCATCGGGAGTTGATTATGGCCTGGATCAGTTAATTAATAATTTAGAAAACATTTCAGGCCTAAAGAAAGAACTGCAATAGGCAGATTTAATTTAGCTCTTGCATAATGTATGTTTAACCAAAATTAATTTTCTCACTTTAAAGTTAATTCTGGTCTCTTTGGCCAGGTGCAACTTCTCCCCACATTTTTGTTGGGCTAACGCTTTTCACTACAGACAAAGCTGCTCCCAATTTTGTATGAGGTTGACCAATGAAATTTTGAGATACAGTCATAAACTTGAAGGAGCATACTAAAAAACATGCGACTATCTGCCATACATTCACTGTAATCAGTGGGGGGTTGGATGGCTGAATGGTTAGCATGCGCGCTGTATCATAAAGTCTGTCATTAAGTCGACTGGCATGGTTTCGAATCCCCGGTTGTATGTGACAAGGAGTAGGGCGCCTGTCCAACTTCGTGGGTTTTCGCCGGGTCCTCCGGTTTCCTCCCACTGCTAAAGACCCCTATGCGCAAGCGAATTATTGAAATAAAATTAAACCATATGTTAGTCCCGAAATGACCTAGTTGTGTCGAGTGGACGTTAAACCCCATTTCTCTCTCTCTCACTGTAATCAACATCTTTACTCTGTTATCCTTACCCCGTTGTTGTTGTTATTCTTAGTGTTTAACTCCGCTTCCATCGAAGGTGATATCGCAGACAAGTCTTATTTTTCATATTTTTTTTATCTTAGCGCACGCGCAGGGGTCTTTCATGTGGGAGGAAACCAGAGTTAACCCAGAAGGTTGAGAAGGCGTCCCTATCTCCAAGCCACATACGCTTACACCAGGGATCGAAACCACAACCGCAAGCCAAAGATGAACAGCCAGCTAGAGGTCGAAGCGCGGCACGCTAGACCCCCCACCCCTCCACTCAAACCCGTCAGACAATGTTAATTTAATACCCTATTCTTTGATTCCTGACAAAAAAATCAATAACCAGCAGCTGCCAGGCAGGATACGCCCACATTTTGCAAGAGATGGATAGAGAACAAGCTAAAAACGCGATTTTTCGTACAATCAGGGGCCATAATTCAGAAAGTTACAATCCGATATTGTACCAAGATCTTTGGGTTATAAACTTGTTTCAGAAGAAATCAGAAGAAAATTGTGACCTCTAGAGGGTCCACAACATTCATATACCTTATTTTTACGCTATTTGAGTACGCGGGGCGGCCATTTTGTCTGGTCTGATTTTTACGAAATTCAAAATTCAACCATCCTTAGGGTGTAACGGTGAAATGTTCAAACGGTTTTTGAATTCGGATAAAAATTATATCCTCTATGGGGTCCACAAGCTAAAAACACGATTTTCCGTACAATCAGGGGCCATAATTCAGGAAGTTACGGTCCGATATGCGCGAATATTGAAAGGAACCGAGATCTTTGGGTTATTAACTTACATTTCAAGTTTCATCAAAATTAAAAGAAAACTGTGACCTCTAGAGGGTCCACAACCTTGATATACCATATTTTTACGCTATTTGAGAACGAGGGACAGCCATTTTATCTGTCAGTTTTGGGCCGATTTTCACAAAATTCTAACTCAACTATCCTTAGGGTGTAACGGTGATATACTTAAACGTTTTTTTTTTAAATCGGATAAAAATTATGACCTCTATAGGGTCCACAAGCTAAAAACGCGATTTTTCGTACAATCAGGGGCCATAATTCAGGAAGTCACGATCCGATATGCGTGAATATCGAAAGGAACCAAGATCTTTGGGTTATAAACTTACATTTCAAGTTTCAACAAAATCGGATAAAAATTGTGACCTCTATAGGGTCCACAAACTAAAAACGTGATTTTTCGTACAATCAGGGGCCATAATCCATGAAGTTTCGATCCGATACATGCCAATATTGAAAGCAACCGTTATTTCAAGTTTCGGGGCGGCGACAATATACGTCCTAACGAAAATGTGGGCGTATAAAAATGGGAATGCAATTGGAAATGAAATGAAATGGGGTTTAACGTCCTATTGTTCTGCTCCTAACCTGGGCTAATGAAGACGGGCATACGCCATACAGTGTGCTATGAGGGCAATTTTGCCCGGGCAGCAGCGCCACGGCCTACTCTTATATCGAATTCCAACTGCCAAGGGATCTTTTACGTGCATCACTGACAAGGGGAAATCACGCAGGAAAATCGGGATGAACTTTCTCGGCCAATGCAGGGATCGAACACCCAACCTCCAGGCTAGCGAGCCAGGAATGCAATTGGGGAGAAGAAAGAGGCAGAGAATTGTTATAAATAACAAGAACGACAAGATGACAAGGGAAAGCACTCTGGGGTGTAAAATAACAAGAAGCTAATATAATGATAATATAATATTTTTATTATTATATTGTAACATACTTGTATTATATAATTTGACACACTTCATACCGGTATTTACACCAAATATAATTATCTCCCCTTTGTCTATATATATATATATATATATATATATATATATATATATATATATATATATATATATATATATATATTATTATCAACTGCACCTGTAAATGTTGACTGTTCTTTCAAGAGGCAATATTTAAAAAAAACAAAAAACAACCACTTCCAGTCTTTGCATTGAGTTAAAACATCATATATTTTGTTCATTTACAAACATTTCCCAAATACAAGGTTTGAAAACTCTAATTCTTAAAATGTTTGTTAGCAGTGATCTTTAGTAGGGACATCAGTCCAAAAAATGGTTCACTTCATTCAATATTTCCAAACATACGGTCCAAATTTATTTTAATAATTCGCTTTCACAGTGGGAGGAAACTGGAGGACCCGGAGAAAACCAACAAGGTTGGACAGGCGACCTTACTCGTTGTCATGTACAAGCGCTGAATCAAAACCACGCCACTTGACTCATTGATAGGCCTTCTGATCCAACATGCACGCATTAACCATTTGACCACCCAACTCCCCATTCTAAGATACAGCGTAACAATCCGATTAAAACATAGATTCTATTTCGTTTTGTTTTTATAGTTCAAAATTTCGTTTTGTTTTTATAGTTCAAAATTTCATTTTATTTGTCTGTACTACACTATGTTCTGGAAGAGTTGGTATATAAATATAACCTGCGTTCTGAATGGCGTGATGGATTAGCCAATGAAACCATCTGTTAAGGTGACTTCTTGGCATGCGATACATGGAACTGTAGGTATACCACTAAAATTGGAAACGCTGATTGATTAATCAATGTCTGACGTTATAGGGTCAAAGCCGTTCGTTCGTACGACCTCTGACGCGAAATTTCACCACAACCGGTCAGTTCTTGATGTAGTGTAGACCATCGAAAGTATAAAAAAAAAAAACGAAACGAAATATAGATCTGCATTTTGATCAGATTGCAGGAGTAAGTTTCGAGACCACATCACATGTCCCATAAATCAAAAACATGTAACATAGACTATTTAAAGACTTTTTTTTAATTATATAATTAAGCACATCCAAGTATTAAAAAATAATCATGAAGAGTGGGTGGCTTATATAAAAAACCAAAAAAAAACCCCCAAATTACTTTGTTTTTGCAAAATGACCATAACTTTAAATGACCATAACTTAATTTTAATAATTTTGGATGAGATTTATTTTAAAAATTAAGTACTTTATTCTGGCATCCTGCACCCATAAACATCTTTTCTGTAAATCTAATTGTACGTGACAAGGAGTAGGGTCGCCTGTCCAACCTCGTGGGTTTTTTCCGGGTCCTCCGGTTTCCTCCCACTGCTAAAGAGCCCTATGCACAAGCGAATTATTGAAATAAAATTAAACCATATGTTAGTCCCGAAATGACCTAGTTTGTGTCGAGTGGACGTTAAACCCCATTTCTCTCTCTCTCTCTGTAAATCTAACAATATCTTCAAGATGTTTGTCTTCACTGGACCTGTAACAACCTTATATCTAGTTAACTGCTTGGGCAAACTGGCTTTAATTCAATCTAATTAAAATATAGATCTATATTTTGTTTCGTTTTTTTATACTTTCGATGGCCTACACTAACAAGTTATAGTGGGTGTTCACGTTCTATGACGTCAGGTACCAAGCAAGCCACATTTGACCCGATTACGTCAGTCATTCGATTAACCAATTAGCGATCGGCATGTATTTCTAATCTACTTTTGCTTTGTTTTGATTTCTATTGCCGCTAATGTCTACCCACAGTTCCGCGCAAAAAAGGTCAAACGCTCGATTCGACAGACCATTTGATTGGCTGACCCCTCATTTCAAGCAGAACACGAGTTAAATAACAATGCTTCCAGATCCAAGTGTAGTAAAATCGAATATTTGACTATAAAAACGAAACGAAATTTGATCTGTGCTTTAATCAGATTTGTTTTAATCAATTTAGAGCCAAATCAATTTATATTTCAGTTCTTGGGGTATTGATAAAGAAATAGCCCTGTAATTTCAAGTAAAGAGAGAGAGAGAGAAACGGGGTTTAATGTCCACTCGACACAAACTAGGTCATTTTGGGACTAACATGGTTTAATTTTATTTCAATAATTCGCTTGCGCATAGGGGTCTTTAGCAGTGGGAGGAAACCGGAGGACCTGGAGAAAACCCACGAGGTTGGACAGGCGACCCTACTCCTTGTCACGTACAACCGGGGATTCGAAACCACACCAGTCGACTCAATGACAGACTTTATGATACAGCGCGCGCACGTTACCATTCAGCCATCCAACCCCCCAATTTCAAGTAAAAGAAGTTTTGTCTAAAATTTCAAAACTTAAAAATTTGAAACAAAAGCTAATTTTTAAATTAGTCTTTTTCCTGAAGAATTAGAAAGAGAGAGAGAGAGAAATCGACAGAAACTAGGTCATTTTGGGACTAACATATCGTTCAATTTTATTTCAATAATTCGCTTGCATGTAGCAGTGGGAGGAAACCAGAGCGCCTGGTGAAAATCCACAAGGTTGGAGAAGAAAAGAAGCAGGCATTCCTGAAGAACAGAAAATCCAATTGGTGTGGCCTTACCAGATTCAGACTTCAAAGAGAACATAGATTTAGTAAAGTTGTAATTGTTTCTTCAAGTACAGCTGGCTCAGGCCAACCAAAATTATAACCAAACCTTTCAACTTCATCTCAAGAGATGTAACCATGGTGACAGAGAGAGAGAGAGAAATGGGGTTTAACGTCCACTCGACACAAACTAGGTCATTTCAGGACTAACATATGGTTTGATTTTATTTCAATTATTCGCGTGCGCATAGGGGTCTTTAGCAGTGGGAGGAAACCTGAGGACCCGTAGAAAACCCACAAGGTTGGACAGGCGACCCTACTCCTTGTCACGTACAACCGGGGCCATGGTGACAGATAACAATATATATGTGGTTAGTTTATATAAAAACATGTAAAATAAAAAGGCCTATATTGAAATAAAAACTATTTCCTATAATTGCCAAATTTCCTAAATGCACAGATATCTTAAAGATACATTATGTAAGATTTAGATAAAGAGCTAGCCATTCTTGCTATAATAGTTCGAAAATAGATAATGTAAAATGAATAATTTGAAAATTTCATTTAAATTACTCTATTGCGAGCGAAGATATTAGCCTTTGAATGTTTGACAAGACGTGTGCAATAATTTCAACCACCGTACTGGTTGATCGAAGCTAAGTCTCTCTTCCCATTTTTAGATTAAATCAAAATATGGCTGAACAGTTTTAACCTATTTAATATCGGAGAAATCCGATGCCATCGAGAGCTGATTATGGCCTTGATTAGTTAATTAATGTCTAATCAATAAATTAGACAACATTTAAGGCCTAAAGAAAGGCCTGCAATAGGCAGATTTAGCTCTTGCATAATGTATGTTTAAATATTTCAAATATATTCATTCTCACTCATCCTGAATAAATTGGCATATACTTCCATAATATCACCATGCAAATAAAAATAAATAATGAAAAATACAAAATATAAAAAAAAATGGAAAAAAAATAAAAGGAAATTATAATAATAGGATGATTTTACAACATTATTTAAGTGTTCATTTTTAAAGGGCTATCTTAAAGGATCTAGGCTTCTTTGATTATGACTAAAATAAAGTACTGTAACACAAGGTACAATTTTATGGATACACAATTACTGAATTTAAAACTATGTGATGTTAGGCTGATCAAGATGAGACTATCCTCATCGAAACATCGCATAGTATTAAACTGAGTAATTGTGTATCCATAAAATTGTATCTTGTGTTAATATGTTCAGTTACTAAATGTCCATTAAAGAAGTTAAATTACATTACTCGGAAATCGGTTAAAATAAAATGAAATGGGGTTTAACATCCTATTGTTCTGCACCAGCTGGGCATACATCATGCAGTGTGCTATGTGGGAAAATTTGCCGGACAGCAGTATTTCTGCATAGTCTTCATCGAATCAGGTGTGTTTTACCTCAGTTTTTTGTCTCATCCACTCGACTAGACACTGTTCCTTGCCAGGCCGTCCATCCTGCACAACTTGAGGAACTTTCTCAAGTCAACACCGGGTTCAAAACTGGGACTTCCTGGTTAGTAAGCCAGCACCTTACTCTCTCAGCCATCATATATTTATAAACATGTTTAAAGCGATAAAAGTTGTAAAAATTATGGCTAAAGTACGACTTTTACTAGAATGAGTAAAAGTGGTGCATAGGGTCAATAATGTAAACAAGATGAAAATAATCCTTTTACATAATACAGTCTAATTAAAATCTATATCAACATTCCAATTCGTTTTATTTATCGTTGATTTATTCCACTACGTCTTGATCTAAAGACATGTCTTTATCAAGCTCATTCAACAATAGACACTATGTGATTGATTGAAATAATATGTAAAGACCAATCAAACCCTTTGATACAGTCAACTCTGCAAAACCTTTTGAAATGTCATATTGAAGATACCAAAACCCTTGATATACATTAAAGATACATTATGTAAGATTTAGATAAAGAACTGACCATTCTTGCTATAATAGCTCAAAATTAGATATATGTCAAATGAAAATATTGAAAATTTCATTCAAATTACTTTATTCTAAGCCACGTTAACACTGTTTGTAGTTTTGACAAGATGTGTGCATAGTGGTAACCAGGGCACTGGTATATTCGAGACTTAGCTTCGCTTTCCCATTTTTAAATTAAATTTTCAAATTGGTGAACCGTTCTAATCTAGTTAAAATCTCAAGTATCTGATGCCATCGAGAGTTGATTAGGTTCTTGTTTTGTTAATAAATGTCTAATTATTAATTTAGATAACATTTCAGATCTAAAGAAAGACCTGCAATTGGCAGATTTAACTCTTGCATAATGTATGTTTAAGGGATTGAAGAGACAGACTTTAACTGGCTAAGAGAACTGATGTTCGTAACATTTGATTGTCATGGGTACAGACCATTTAAAACCCCTTGATATAGTCAATTCTGCAAAAAAAAATTTAAGTCTTGATACCGCCCTTAACTAGCAAAGAGAACTGGTGTCCGGAACATTTGATTGACTATCAAGTGTATTTTTTTTCATGCCGACATCGCAGGCCCTGAATGTGATTTGCATACACGTCTTGAGATGTTAATTAAAAATGCATTATGCAAGAAGCAAATCTGCCTATTGCAGATCTTTAGCGTTTGGCCTCAAAATGTTATACAAATCATTAATTAGACATTTATTTACATTCCAGGCCCATAATCAACTCTCTAGAACTCCGGATGGTTTTGATTTTCAACAGATTAAAATACTATTGGCAGTTAATGACTAAATTTAAAAATAGATAATCAAGACTTTGTTTATTATCGTAACAACAGTAGTAATGACAATCGAGACTACACTGTTCTACAAACGACCATAACTTTGCTCGGAGCAAGTAATTTGACTGAAATTTTCAGCATATTCAGTTTTCATGACCTATTTTTGAACTACTATAGTGAGAATAGTCAGCTTTTTATCTAAATCTTACATGATGCACCTTTAATGGAGTGATCAGCCCAAAAAACGGAACGGAATGAACATAGCATCTAGTCTTAACTAGACTGTACATGATTCAGGTTGATGCAGACACAAGAAGATGTTGGAGTAAATTAAAAGGGGGATAGCTATCAATGAAACATAAGACAACCGGCTGCGTAACTAACGGAAGAATCTTGTAAAGAAGTACACTGGCTTGATTGTGAATATTTTGTAAACTTGAAAGACATTTTATATCCATTACCATTCTTTCGGATAGCATCTATACACTGAAATATATAACAGACACAATAGCCATTTTAAGATCAATGTACATGACTATTGCTGTCACATGATCACTCAAAACGGTGATACCCCTATATAGCCATTTTAAGATCAATCCACGGTTTAGATCTATTTTATAAGGCCAACTTCAAGTTTGGTCAAAGGTCACGAGATGTAAACAGGGCTAGCTCTAAAACCGTGGACCTAGCCCTAATACTTACCCTAACTTTAACTGATAATCTCGACAACAATGTGCCCTAACCTTGTTTACATCTCAGCAACCTTGAAGTAAATTGACCTGGCCTTAACAAATAGATATAGCCATCAATGCATAATAGATCAATCTGTTATAGAGTATTACGAAAGTCTTCTAATATCTCTGTACAAGATGACTGGCTTCAACATACGACGTCACGTCACACAGCGTCAATCACTGGTTCAATGGCGCGTGCATTGTTTATATAAGATGTTACTGTTTCGGGCAGAATGATGCCTTTTACTCATTTTAATACCCATTTACACTAAATAGGAAATAATTTTCACCTACAAATACTTAAAATGTCTTTATTTATTTTTCTAATACATAAAAAAAATGTTTTAGAATTTAATTTGTCGGAGGAAAAAAAGTTAATATTTGTGGCTCATTAAGTCGCATCGATGTCATCCTTATCAGTAACGGCCTAGCGAATATTCACTGCTGATCAGTGTGTGCACAGATATTGCTGTCACATGACAATGGCAACCACATGACCACTCAAAATGATTATTTTAGCCATATTGTAGTCTAGATTGTCAAATATGAACAATAAGAGATCCCAGCTATCTTTTTTACTCAGTGCAAGTGTTTCATCGACATTAAATAATTAAAACGATTTTCAGGTTGTTTCCATATGCCTTCACTTTTACAATGATAATAGTCAACATAATATATACAACCCTTTTACATCCATGAATCTATATAAGACTTCAATAAATAGTGGATTTAGTGGGAAGTTGGGTGGCTGAATGGTAAGCACATGCACGCTGTATCATAAGGTCTGTCATTGAGTCAACTGGCATGGTTTCGATTCCCGGTTGTACGTGGCAAGGAGCAGGGTCGCCTGTCTAACATCATGGGGTTTTTTCTGGGTCCTCCGGTTTTCTCCCGCTACTAAAGACCCCTATGTGCAAACAAATTATTGGAATAAAATTGAACCATGTGTTAGTCCCAAAATGACCTAGTTTGTGTCGAGTGGACATTAAACCCCATTTCTCTCTCTCAATATATATTTTACTTACATTAAGTAGGATTCCTATTGGATGCCGACCACAGATGGTATTCTGATATTCCAGGAGATATTTTGTAAAACCAACAGGATCCATTTTTTCTATAATATCCATACCCTAAAAACACACATAATAACATATCTGTCAATCAAATTATTGACCACATCGTGAAATACCAAGTTAATATAAAATAATATATTTAAACCAAGTAAGAATACAAAATTGACAGAAACTATACCTATTGTCATTCGGCCAGTAGGGCATCATTATGGCTCATTGAAAAGGGGGTACACCTTCTTTCTACATTAAAGGTGTCTAGTTTGATTCGCATTCAATTCTGGAAAATGGATTTATCTGGCACAATTCGTCTTTGTGCCTGTATATGCCATATAATTTTAACAGTGCATCAGTAAACTCATTATTTCTATGTCTGTTGTGGTATCAAGGAGAAGGATCAATAATCAAAGATATTAAACAGGGAACTTCCTTAGTTACGTCAAATTTGGTCAAAAACTCAACCCTCCCATTCTGGTTGCAAAATTAAGGAGACTACTGCTCGTCTATATAAAAGGGAAATAACTCTAACCTTTTTATCTAGTGCTTCTATAGATTGCCACACCTCCCCTTGTGTTTGATCATAATCTGTATAGTGAAATCTTCTACCTGAAATATAATATAATGATTTGCATTTCATCAACCCAATCAGATGACAAAATAACAAAAAGAATATACTTCCATCACATAAACTATTTGTTTATTTTTTTCAATACCCAAAATCATATTAAATTGGATTCAAACGGAAGGGGCCCCGGATACCCTTTTGGTTACGAGAATCTCACGTGGAAATAGAAAATACAAAAACCGCAACCGTCAGATGTTAAAATATCCAACAGAAATAACAAAAAGAACATTTTTTCATCACACAAACTATTTGTTTATTTTCTTTCAATACCCAAAATCATATTAAACTGGATTCAAACGGAAGGGGGCCCGGATACCCTGATGGTTACGAGAGCCTCAAGGAGAAATAGAAATTACAAAAACTTTGACTGTCAGACGCCAAAATATCAAACAGAAATTCTTTTTCATCACATAAACTATTTGTTTATTTATTAAAATACCGAAAATCATTGTGAACTAGATTCAGAAGGGGGCCCGGTTACCCTGACAGTGACTAAGCCTCAAGTGGAACGAGGACAGGTCGGGGAACCACAACCCTGGCAGGTGGCTTATGGCTCTTAATTCACTACCCATGCTACTAGGTACCAACATTCAGAGAAGTCATTAGTTTTCTTCTACTTTACGATCACGTAACAGTGTATTCTTTTATTAAAGATACTTTCCTGTGTACAAACTGTGTGATTTGATATTTAGACTAAAAAAAATATTCAAACTAATTAATCTATCTTAGGTTTGCTTCAAATCCCTCTCAAAACATTGTTTACGCAGGGGAGATAATTAAACTGTTGCTACAAGCCATGGCTATCACCTCGATTCATTGTGGGAGGTTCCATTTTTCAGAATGCATTAGTCATTACTTACTGTCCCTTTACCGTACATATTGAGCCCTAAGTAAATTCTTAATTATTCTCTGTCAACTTCTTTTTCCGCCGTTTAATTGCAGTCTTTTGTACGTTGACACCCCTCAATGTTCCCAAAACCGCCTAACCATTTGATCAAGAAATAACAACCACTCCCTCAGTCTAGCTAGCACACAATAAGCTGGCAGACAACAGTCAGGTTACCAGTTAGTGATACCCTGACATTTTTGCCCAGTGCTCGCCCCATGGGTGTTTTTTGAGTTTGGGTTTATTTTGTAGTAAGATTGGGTGTCTATACTTTCCATATGTACCGAATTTGCCATACTTTTAATGGAAATAACCACCCGATAAATACTTACTGTACAATGTATCTTTAATTTATGTCAAAAAATCTTTTAAAAAAAACATCATTACGCGGCATACATTTGGGCCAATTGACAAGTGTCCCAGCTGTCCGCCCTTCCTCTTGACGGACCCTGTATATTATTATTATAACTTACCCCAATGACAAAAATCTGAAGATATAACAAATAAAGATTCTGGATCAGCTAAATAACGACTCAATAATTTCCCGTAATGTTGCTCTTTTTCTGGTGACAACGACCCAACTAATATCGGCACTATGGTGAATTCATCTTTACGACTGAAACAATCATAACATGCTGTCAATCAAATTATACTAGTTGGGTTGATCTAAAGGTGGTGTTTTGATTAGTGATGTGACGTCTATCAATTAAATTTTTGCTGTGAAATATTAAGCAGATGTTGGCTTGTTTAATTTTTAGCCGACTGTGGTGACAGAGAGAGGGATAAATGGGTTTTAACGTCCTCTCGACACAAACCAGGTAATTTTGGGACTAACACATGGTTCAATTTTATTTCAATAATTTGCTTGCGCGTAGGGGTCTTTAGCAGTGGGAGGAAACCAGCGGACCCGGAGAAACGCCACGAGGTTGGACAGACGACCCTACTTCTCGTCACGTACAACTGGGGAATCGAAACCACGCCAGTAGACTCAATGACAGACCTTATGATGCGGCGCACACACCTTAACCATGCCATCCAACCTCCCTTACGGTAGTGCCATTGGAACACATAATTGGTTATAATTTAACACTGACAAAACAAGTATGATCGTACTATGGACCAGGAACTAACCATGTCCTTGGATGAAATTCAAAAATAAAATTCACCAAATAGATGCAGAATTGTTCAAAGAAGCATGCCAATTTCCATGACTATCGGACTTGAATTGACAGAGCCTTAGGCTTGTTCGAAGAGCGTCATACCAAAATGAACAACAAGATGAGTAGCGGTTAGTGACCAGTTCCCGGTCCAAAAATTTCTACACAGACAGATTTTCATCCCACAAAGCAAATTTAAAATTCCATTAAATCTACAATTATATTTTAGACTGAAATCAAAGAGATTTTGTCATTTAATCAACACTTATCTAACTATAGAAAGAGAGAGAAATGGGGTTTAACATCCACTCGACACATTTCAGAACTAACATATGGTTCAATTTTATTTCAATAATTCGCTTGCATGTAGGGGTCTTTAGCAGTGGGAGGAAACCGAAGGACCCGGAGAAAACCCACGAGGTTGGACAGACAAGCCTACTCCTTGTCACGTACAAGGGGGGGAATCGAAACCATGCCACTTGACTCAATGACATACCATATGATCCAATGCGTGCTAACCATTTGCCCCCCCCCCCCCCCCCGACCCATCTGAACTATAAGCTTACCTTTCCATAACCTTGGCTATATAAGGCAAATGCATTTCGATGCTGTGTTCCGATTCATCTGTATCTAACGACATATTCTCAAACGAACCAGTTGCATAAAGTTCTTCATAAACTACAAACAATATATAAAATCAAATTTTTTACAACAATTCTCATCTACTATATATAAACATGAACGAAAATATTCCATCCAGTTCCATACAGTAAATTGAATTCAAACCTGATTAACATAAATTGAATCACATCCTGTTACAGTACAAATCAGTGGCGTTCAGTAGAAATGCAGAGAGGGGCACAGAAGGGGCAGTGGCCCCGGACATCCATTTCAGGGGGGCATGTAATCAAAGAGTGAAATTAAATTTGAAACTATCATTCTTAACTTTGCTGCACAAGCTGAGCTTTTTAATTGGAATAAAAGGTTAATTTCATCAAGTTTTTTTTTTCATAAATAAAATGTCTTCCTATCTGACATTTCTAGGCTCTATATTTGAGTCTATGGTTTGTACAATCAAAGAGTTGCCCCGGCATCATCAAACATCTGCAGCTCACTGGTGCTACTAATCAATAAAGTCCAGTATATTGTACAAGTAGAAAAATTTCATCAAAAATGCTGCACTTACTTTTACTATCGATATGAAGATCAAATAGAGGAGTTTGATATTTTTCAGTGGTGGAGAGAGCACAGCCAGACAGACGAACATGATGTGATGGACCCAAAATAAACACACGCTTCCTAAAATTAAAAGACAGACCAGGATTCATCAGGTCTGCAGACAAGCCCTCCATCATCAAATGGTGTAATTAATTTAGACATTGGTGAAAGCAGGGCTCAACCTAGGATCAATTTTTAGGGAGAAGTCACTTCTCCCTACAGGCAAAATAAGGAGAAGTGAGGGAGATCTAGGGAGACTACAAGGAGAGATCACAAATTGCAACGGTAATGGTATCATTCCATCTTGTTCTGCCATTTCACCATCTAAATTTAATTTTAGATAACTTTTACGTAATTATTGTGGTATAACAAGATCACATTAATGTCAGCATTTACAGTAGAATCTGTATGAACAGCCACTCCCATTCAGCGAGATCTCCTTGTAAGCGGTCACGATAAATGTATCAAATGTATAAGCTTGCAGATAGTCGAATGGACCATATAATTATATTAGGTAGCCCTAAATGTTCCAATTTCTTGCTTTAAACACACCACTGAACCAGAATTAAGAAATTATTAGTTGTTTAAATTTATGATAGAAAGCAATGGGGAACTAAACTATACACTATGTAAATGACAACAAAATCATTTCCCAAATAAAGAACAGACAAAAAAGTCATTTATTTAGATACAAATTCGATCTTTTACTTTAGCTTTAATACATACAAGATAGTGCAAGCTCAAAATACATTTGTGTAAGTCGATGGGTAAGTAAAATAAACACGTGGTGAAAGGGGCTAAAAAATGTGGTTTGACTTTGTTGTATGAGTCTTATTATCAGATGACGAAGACAGGAACGAAAGTTTCTGAGCAATTATTTTCATCCACATATAACTTGATGCATTGTTTAAGACATTGGCTTCACATTCGCAAAACCCCGAAAAATATAGCAATAATATAAATAAACAAAATTAGTGAGAGAGAGAGAAACGGGGTTTAACGTCCACTTGACACAAACTAGGTCATTTCAGGACTAACACATGGTTCAATTTTATTTCAATAATTGGCTACCGCTAAAGGGTCTTTAACAGTGGGAGAAAACCGGAGGACCTGGAGAAAACCCACAAGGTTAGAATCAAAATTAGTATAAATAAACAAAATTAAAATACTTACACTCGAGTTGCATCCACATGTTTATACGCATGAGCACCACATGATCCACAGTAATAATACCCAGCATGCCTACAATCATAAACAATAGCTTTCCTTAATACAAAATGTCCTCCCTTTGTGTAGGATTGTTCATGGTAACTAAAAAATTTTCTAGGAAGCATGCATTTGCATCACAAACCGATTAGAAACCCGGGCTGATGACTGATACATGTACATTGTACAGTTAGAACACTGGTCACACAACCAGAAAATTTCGGCAAAAACATTCTGGATTTTTCCACTTCCACCTAGAATCCCACTTGTTATAGACAGACGGACTTGGTAATTTTCAATGAGACAAATAACTGGGTAAAATTTACCAATTGATAGTATGTGTTACTTTTATAGACCTCTGTTGTCAATTGAAATTTGAAAAGGGTGAGACAAAGTAAAGTTTCTCCCTGCATTGCAGCGTAAACAAAAATATTTTAGTTTCGGAATAACTGAAGTAACTTTGCTGACAGAAGGTGTGCATCAGTCCTTACTTTTAAAGATTTTAGAGTAAAAATGCTTTAAGTCATGTAATTACATTCTTATTTATTTCAATGCTGTAATTAGCCATACTAAACTTACACTGTTTGTCTACAATAAGATCCGCTTGAGAACAGACACTAAGCTAGTTGACCCACGTTTTAAATGCAAAATCGACGGTTTAGTTGAAAACACATAGTATATTTTGAGATGTATTTATTCTGCTTCCTTTTAATAAAATTGAAAAGGTTTAATTAGTCTTTTTGTGTATAACAGATGCCAGTAGGACCGAATTACAGTATACTAATGTTGGATATGGCGGCCATTTAGTCAATTCTCCAGACCATCGGATGGCAGAGATTTAAAGAGATTAAAACATGGATGTCATTTCACGATTTAAGTTTAAAATGGCTAAGTGAGGATAATTCTTGAATAACAAGTACTGTTGTTACTATATTAAATAAACTATACCACATCTTATCAAAAGTTCAAATGGTCACAACTTAGCTCAGAATAGAGAAATTTGAATGAAATTTTCAATATATTCATTTTGCATTATCTATTTATTACCCATTATAGAAAGAAAGGTTGCTCTTTATATAATTTTACAGAATGTGTCTTTAATACATCAAAATGTTTAAAGGTCATTGGATAAGATTCATAATTTGTTTTTAAATAATGCAAGTAATTATGTCATCATATCCTTTCCATAAGCATTATACGATCCCGAATCTCAATGTTACCTGCCACAGGTAAATTTCAATGTTAGCGATTTTCACCGTTCTCCGTGAGTAGTCGTAACTTTCCACCAATACACAAGCTGTGACGTCATTTTAGTCCTTCTGCTTATAGAAATATAGACGAGAATATGAGCAGAAGGACTAAAATGACGTCATGGCTCGTTTATTCAAGGAAAGTTATGACTACTCACAGAGAACAGCGGAAATCTACCTGTGGCAGGTAACATTGACATTTGGGATCGTGTTATGCTTATGGAAAGGATATGTTGACATAATTTCTTGCATTATTTAAAAAAGATTATGAAGCTTTTTAGGTGACTTTTTAATTTTGGAGTATTGTCATCGCTGTTTCTTACACACTAGTGCCCAATGACCAGTGTTTATTTTCATATCACAACAATAATAACTTACATCTTCCGCGGTTTCAACAGAATCATTTGGACTCTGGCCAGGAAAACATTGATTTTACTTACGGAGCTATTATTGCTCTGGCTGGATGTTGTAAAGACTTAGCTTTGTTTAACCAGCCTTCTAGTTGATGTCGCAACTCATCACCTACAAACAGATAAGGTCATAGTGTATGAATTACAAAAACACAGGTTTCCAGGCGACTCCTCACATACATGAAAAGTTATTTTGTAATCAAAATATGTGAACAACATTTTTGATGACAGAACACAAACGCTTCAGCCAAAGCAATCTAATTAATTCTTCAAGCTCTTGATTAAATAAATAGTCGCTGTTGTTTTTTTTAAGCTATTATTTCAGCTTTTTAGGGGCTATAAATCTATATATGAATCTGTTCACCCAGCACACCTGTTACCTGTATTTTATGGACAAGGTTGGTGAATGGGTTAGTCTATGTTTTAGACAAAATTGGAGCTACATGTTCAGAAATTAAATAATGTTTTCAGATTCTGAAATCATAACAAAGCGAGGGCTTTCTCATTCAAAAACCATCTGATATCACTTATTTTACAGGTACATAAATTAAAATTTTTTATCATTATACTATTTTTGTAATAAATATACCGGAGGCTACAGATATAATCACAGAACTGTTAATTAATTCCTGTTATGTCCTGAACTCTTGACCTTTTCCCAGCTGTACAGTATGTAGGTATAACCCCGATCAGCTGACGAGATAATTCCTTTGTTTCTCGGTTTCGCTCCATTGCTTGCTACTGACTTAACATCAGATGGGATTATTTCGACGAACTATTTACAAATTCATTGACTGTTAGTACCTGAATCGTTGTACCAACTCCCTGCATGCGTTGCTCGGCGTACTTTGGACATACTTGACCCAATTTTGGCAGAATCTGATAAATTCCCTGGCCTAAATAAAACTATCGGAGTTCTCGGTATAGTTCTTAGTCCCGTCTACTGCTTCTCTCCAATCTTCTGTTATTTTTTTTTCACCGGAAGTTATGATCCAAATACGCATGCGCATTTGATGTCAAATGTGGAGTTGTCAATCAACAAGAAAAGCCCACCCACTTCTGTTAAAGGGCTTCCACGGAGTTTTGCAATCTGTTTCACAGAGGAGTACGAAAGTCTTCTAATATCTCTGTAAAAGATGACAGTCTTCAACACGTGACGTCACATCACGCGGCGTCAATCCTTGGCACAATGGGGCGTGCATTGTTTAAACATAAGACGTTACTGGGACAGAATGGTGCCTTTTACTCATTTTAATACCGTACCCATTTACACTAAAAAATAGGAAATATTTATTACCTACAATTACTTCAAACGTCGTTATTTATTTTTCTAATACATAAAAAAAATATTTTAGAATTTAATTTGTCACACTCGCAGGAAAAACGTTAATATTTGGGGCTCATTAAGTTGCATCGATGTCATCCTTTCTTATCAGTATAGCGGCCGAGCGAATATTCACTGCTCAGTATGGGAGTTTTAAAGAGAGAGGGAGAGAGAGAGGGGGGGGGGGTTAACGTCCACTCAACACAAACTAGGTCATTTAGGGGTCTTTAGCAGTGGGAGGAAACCGGAGGGCCGGGAGAAAACCCACGAGGTTGGACAAGCGATCCCCTACTCCTTGTCGCGTACAACAGATAGAGTTTTGAAGGACTATCAGATTCAAAGAATTTTAAAGACAAATTTAAAATGAGCAATTTTAAACACAAGTTTTTGTGTTAATCATTAAAGACGAATTATGTTTTTGAACAACGAAATAAACAAATGCATCAATTAGTGTATGTCCCTGATACGAACTATAACCAACAGAAATTACTGCTTAAAAGTATCGTCCGATAGGGGAGAAATTGGCTCATATTGCTTGGCTACTTTTTTTTTAAAATGACAAGTATAGGTCTACATGAATTAATGTTTGATTTTTTCAATGAAAAGTACCCACCAGAATAAGGTGCAGGTAATAATGAGGACTTTTTTTTTCCGGTATCGTTCTCTGTGTTGGCCGTGTATAAGGCGCCGGTAAACCGGCCAGGAAAGTTCCTCGGGATATCCAAGTCCTGACTTTCCCGCTATAGACCGCTACAATCATCCAAACATACTAAACTTATGCTGTATGTTTACAGTTAGCCCCGCTGCTTGAGAACAGACACCTGAATCGACGATTTTAGTCGAAAATACTAAGTATTCTTCAAGAATTTTGTTAACTATTTATTCTGCTTCCATTTAATCAAATTGAACAAGTTTATTTAGTGTGTGTGTTAAAGGGACAATAACACTCTTGCTGGCTTGATAGCTCCAGAAAATAAAAAATTGCCTTATTCTAAGTACTAGATGTGTTAGTGTCTTACCTGTTGTGTAAATTATCCATTAAATCCTATTTTACTTGTCCAGAGGGTTCAAAAATATTATTAAATCCAAGTCACATTTGAAAATCTTTACGTCAGGCTTTTCAAATCATTTAGTTGAATTTTTCCAATTTTATTAAATTAGCTGTGTTAAGATGAAATTTGTATCATCAATTAATTGGAATATTGTAAAATAGTACAATTTTTTGACCAGAATAAAGATTGGGACATATTATTCAGTTACAACAAGAGTGGTATTGAGCCTTTAATAGCTCACAATGTTGACTTTTTTCATCCAGCAAAGTAAATTCTAGAACATTTTTGGAAGCATTAGAAAAGAAAAGTAAGGTGTTTGAAGTATCTGGATAATAAATATTTCCTATACTTAGTGTATATATATGGGTATATAAAACGAGTAAAAGGCACTATTCTGTCCGGACACGTTTACGATACTATGTCTTATGTAAGCAATTCACGAGCCGTCGAGCTAATGATCGACGCCATATGATTGATGTCACATGTAGAAGACATACTTGAGCTTTTGTAGGTCAGTCATTTTATACAGAGGGGGGTTGGATTGTTATGGTTAGGACGCGCGCGCTGTATCATACGGTCGGTCATTGAGTCAACTGGCGGAGTTTCGATTCCCCGGTTGTACATGACAAGGAGTAGGGTCGCCTGTCCAACCTCGTGGGTTTTCTCCGGGTCCTCCGGTTTCCTCCCACTGTTAAAGACCCCTACGCGCAAGCATATTATTGAAATAAAATTGATTCATATGTTAGTCCCAAAATGACCTAGTTTGTGTCGAGTGGACGATACCCCCCTCCCTCTCTCTCTCTCTCTCTCTCTCTCTGTAATTTCATTAATAAATTTAACGCCTCGAGATTGGTTGTAGTTTAAAACGCGTCCAACTACAGATGACCTAGTTTGAGTTTTTGTCGAGTGGACGTTTAAACCGATCTCTCTCTCTCTCTCTCTCTCTCTCTCTCTCTCATCTTATACAGAGTTATAAAAAAGGCTTCTGCAATACCTCTGTGAAACAGATTGCTACTTTCCATCTTGTTAGTATTGTAGGACGGAGGGCCTGGCAAGGAAAAATGGAAACTCCATTGTCTGGGTAAAATTCTTCTCTTAACATAATGCAAACATGACAGTCTTCGTGTGCCACCCAAGCCAAACTAATCGACCTTAACATGTACAGACAAGGGGAGTTAGAATTGTCCAGGTTGCGAATGCTCACTGTAGTCGGCGCCCTCGACGGATAGGGTTTTTTGCGGTGACTCGAACGTCTCTTGACTTTTTGATCGTCGACAATGACAAAATGTCTAAAAGCCTCGGTATAGTTTCTGGTACTTTTGATATCCTGGCTCACTAATCTGGAGGTCCCGTGTTCGATCTTGGTGTTGGCCGAGAATGTTTATCTGGATTTTCAGGCGTGGTCCCCCCCCCACCCATGTCAGTGATGCACGACATAGGGCATGGGAAGAAAAACCGAGGTCCTGTGTACACGTTGGCGTTTACGTAAAAGAACCCTTGGCAGTTGAAATTGATATAGGCTAAGAGTAGGCTGTAGCGCCGGTGACCGAACAAAATGTCCCTTATGGTACACTGTATACATATATGGCGTATGTCCGTCTTCATTAGCCCAGTCGGGGCAGAACAGAAGGGCGTTAAACCCCACTTCATTTCATTTCTTTTGATATACCCATATTTGCGAGCAGGATTTTAATTTCAGTTTGGTGTCACCGCCTTGCCATTCCACCGGACCCTAGAAAACGCGTTCAAACATTTATTTTTTAAGCCGAGAAATTTCATCGGGATCTTTCAGCGTGATTTCCCTTGTCAGTGGTACAGAATAGAGAGCATGAAGGAACGGCGTCTAGTCGTTCGGATGGGACAACAACCGAGGTCCCGTCAAATTGTTAAATTTAATGAAGTGATGGTCGGAAACGCCGCTGTCTGTGCAAAGCTTGCCGAAAGGCACACAGTATGGAGTATGCCCGTCTTCACTAGTCCAGTCGGAGCAGAACAGTAGGGCGTTAAACTCCATTTCTTTTCAATTTATTTCTGATCATTATTCATCACCTTCTCAACAAGTGTCCCTTTAAAATAATAAATGGAGTTATATCCCTTGAACGTAGAAATCACTAGAGGTCGCTTTCTATTTAGAGTTGATAGTACAGTTAACCGAGAGGAGAAAAACTTTACTGATGTAGCACCAACAGGAATCTTGCACGTTTGGTAAAAATAAGCTTTTATATTTATTCATGCAATTCTAAAAAAAATCGTATGCTATGCCTTAATTTGTAATTTCATTCTTAGACATTTTGGTTGATTTTAAAATTTTCTGTGACTACGTCAACGAAACGATGATTCATTCCTACTAAGAATAGACTGAGAGAAGGCTGCTCAATTTTAATATTATAATTTTCACAATTTTCACTATTTCCTTAAATTTAAATGAAAATTAATATGAAAATATATTTTTTTCGTTTATCCGATAAAGAGTGTGGTAAAATGGATGCTTTTGCCATATTTTATTGCCAAATGAGCAGAAATTGAATAATTAAGAGACCCCCAAAACTTTCAGAAAAATCATTGAATTGAATTTTGTAGAGTATAATAGAGGGCATTTCTGTTACTATAAAGGCCTATTGTGCAGGCCTGTAATTGTTTAATGCAACTGAATGTTAAAGATTTAGAGATTATATAAAATGAATCTCATAGTAACTGAATAGAATACTGTGTGGTTTAATAAATATATGAACAGATCCGAAGGACACAGACACTATAGGCTATAGTAAAACATCAGTTAACAGTAAGACAGTATTGTCATTGCCAGCACCTGTTATATATTATTTCCAGAGATGATAGGTCTGTAATATATGAGTTAACTAAACGACTTGGACTACATATTATGCAAAATACATGCAGCCTACACGATGTGATGGACACAGTGCACATGTGTCAAGACAGGCCTACATGTACAAGCCTGGACAGAAGACAGCTGTCACAGACCTTGTCAGGCACAAATTATCACACAATGTATATTATAACAATGTCTGTTGACAGATGCTTTATGTCCAAGCTTGTTCCTATAGTATTACCACTGATAAACTCTGTGGATGAAATGTCAGATTGGCTGATTTATATTATTGGGGCTTCGGACTTGCTCTTCCACCGTCCCAGATTATTGGGGCTAGACTTTATAGAATCCTTCCTTCCACTACTTAGATTATTTGGGTTAAACTTTGTAGTATCCTTCCACCACTCAGATTGTTGGGGCTAGACTTTATAGAATCCTTCCACTACTCAGATTATTTGGGCTAGACTTTGTAGAATCCGTCCACCTCTCAAATTATTGGGGCTAGACTTCATAGAATCCTTCCACCACTCAAGATTATTTTGGCTAGACTTTGTGGAATCCTTTTACCACACAGATTATTGGCGCTAGGCTACATGTATGTAGAATCACTCAGATTATTGGGGCTAGACTCTGTAAAATCACTCAGATTATTGATGCTAGACTTTGTAGAATCCTTCTACCTCTCAGATTATTGGGGCCAGACTTTGTAGAATCCTTTTACCTCTCAGATTATTGGGGCTAGACTTTGTAGAATCCGTCTACCTCTCAGATTATTGGGGCTATAGATTTTATAGAATGACTCTGTTTGCCTGTATCAATTTTTGTCCACTAATTTAACTCTATCCTCAGATTAAATGAAATGAAATGGGGTTTAACGTCCTACTGTTCTGCTCTAACTGGGCTAATAAAGACGGGCGTACGGCAAACAGTGTGCTATAGTATGACAGAAATTTTGCCCGGACAACAGGCACTACGGCCTACTCTTGTATCAAATTCCAATTGTCAAGGGATTTTTTATGTGCAAGCCAATGTGTACACAGGACCTTGTTTTTTCATCCCATCCAAATGACTATACATTGTCCCTTGCCATGCCCTCTGCCCTGCACTCACTGAGCCAGCATGGCTCCTCTATCAACAGTGTTACTGTGTGTGTGGGTGGTAGAGTGGTCTAATGCATGCGCTTTATATCATAAGGTCGATCATTGGGTCAAGTTATTGGTGTTTTAATCCCAAGCATTCACATGAAAGTGAATTATTAAAATAAAATTCCACCATATATTAGTCCTGAAAAGATCTATTTTTTGTCTGTCCAAGTTCATTTTTTCAACAGATAATATAAAAAATAGTTGGTCCCAACAGACGGGAAATGGGATGGTTTTGGACAGCCAGCCATAAAATACTTCCAATGGTCACAACCTCACCCCACCACCTTTCATTTTCTGCATAATATCTGGATATACCAGTGATTTATATTTACAACAAATGTAATTCATCATGAATATTAAATGAAACCAAATTGATTTTTCAGACGTGCAGAGAATGACAAGTAGAAATGGAGACGATGTGTTTTGAAAACGACGCCCACATGGGTCGAGTTCTGGTTGAGATGAAATCCATGTTTGATGATCGACAGTTGATAGATGTTGATATATGTGTTCAAGAAATCCGTATTCCGTGCCATCGCAATGTCTTGGCGGCAACTAGTCCATATTTTAAGGCCATGTTTACTTCAAGTATGCACGAAAGTTCCCAGCGCCACATCTTCTTACACGAAGTAGACGCAAAATCAGTTGCTCAAATCATTAATTACGCTTACACGGGAGAATTACAAATAACACGAGCAAACGCTCAAAACCTGTTAGCAGCCGCCTCATTATTTCAGATCATTCCGGTTCAACAAGCCTCTGCCAAATTCATGGAACAACAGCTTGATTCCATGAACTGTATTGGAATCCAGACGTTCGCCCAGATTCATAATTGTGAAGAATTAAAACAAAAGGCGCGTGAATACACAGAAAAACATTTCCCAGATGTGGCAAAACTCGAAGAATTTAAATCATTACCTTTAGATAGAGTGATAGAAATAGTTTCCTCAGATGAATTAAACGTAGAGAAGGAGGACATAGTGTATGAAGCCATTATGGTCTGGATAAACCATGACATAAAACTACGTCGGAAATATATCGGGGATCTCCTTCCACACGTCCGCCTAGTTTTACTGAGTATGAAATATATCAAGGACAACATCGCCCAGAACTATATGGTACAGCAATGTGAGCGCTGTATTGCCCTACTTAATGCCATGCAGGATTTCGAAGATAATCCGGAGACCTACACCGGTGATTATAACTTTGCTCTGTCATTACGGTCAGGAATGATACAGCCTGAATATTGTATTTTATTAATCGGCGGACTCGACCAAAACAAACCGTCAATAAACTGTTATAATCCGTTAACGCGTGAAGCGTATATCATGGAAACTTTTCCCGAGACGCGGGAACGAAGCGGGTATTATTGTGTTGAAGACCCCGCTGTTATAGTAACGGAAGATAATAATATATACACTGCCGGTGGGAATTATATTTATCATGAAAATTACGGCGAGGCTGCGTCTGACGAGGATTCGTTCGATGATTTTGAAGAAGAAACCGTACGTAAAGATTTTTATCAATATGACAATGATCATAATAAATGGGTAAATCGTGCTCCCATGCTGTTTCCAAAATCCAATTTTTCTCTTGCCTTCCACGAAGGAAAAATATACAGTCTAGGTGGCCTGACTGTCAACCAGCATCCCACAGAGATTGTCGAGTGTTACGATATCGCGAAAAATCGGTGGAACTATGTGGGTATGATGCCAACGACATTAGTGGATTTATCGACTGTAGTGTATCGCGGTGAAATATATCTGTTAGGTGGACGGACAGGAGTCGGAGCTCATAATACCGTCATGAAATTTGACCCCAAAAAGACAGAGTGGAGTACGTTAGCAGGAATGTTAACTCCACGTTTTAATTTTGGTGCATGTACAGTTGACGATGAGATACTCGTCGCAGGTGGCCAAATCTACGCTCAGTTAACACATACGATAAATCGCGAGGCACTGAAGTCTGTGGAAATCTATAATATTGCGGAGAATCAATGGAGACAAGGACCGGAGTTACCTGAGGAGATTTATAACGTGGGTTTGATGATTATGAACGGAACAATTTACGCATGTGGAACAACGGAATATCAGCGTTCACCATTTAGGATTTATCGTTATAATATAGTGTGTCGTTTGGACCGTGTCAAAAATATTTGGGAACAGATCGAGTCAGACTTGTGTGATATACGTAGTTATGGATGTGTCGCAGCAAAACTCCACACTCGGCGACTGTCACAAGTTTTCCGGCCGGATGTGGATACTTGACCCTTGACCTATGCATTCCATATTTTCCCAGCATGCATCTAGATATCATTTTCCACTGCTATCACTTCCTATTTGAATATATCTGCCAAAATAACATCCCATTTTTCTAGTCTCTGTCCTACGGTCATCTAGTCCAACAGGATGCTGATGTAAAGGGAGGTAACCTGCATACAATAAATTTACACGGCTCACTGACTTCAGGGAAGGTAACCTGTATTTATAAAATTTACATGGCTCATTGACTTCAGGGGAGGTACATTTATAAATTTTACACAGGTCAACTTCAGCTCATTGGCTTCATCAAATTGAATTGAATGTTCTATATATGTATGCATATATGTATTTAATCAAATTAGTTCTGCCTCTAATTATTTTAAGGGGAGCTAACTCTTAATGTACACATAGATCTTTAGTTTACTGAAACGTTATAATTCCAGGTTTTAGAATCGAGAACAGAAGTAAAAAAGAAAAAATAAATTTATCTTATTACAAATTTTAATGAATGTCAAATATTTTTTACAAATACACTACCATCAGTACTGAAGAGTTAATCCAAGTTCATAAATACAAAGGATAAAATAGGACTTCACTATGGCAACATACATGTACCAAAGTAACTGGTGTTGCCACGCCAAAGTTGTATCAGGTGTTTCAAAGAAAAAAGGTACATGTAAGTTCCTATGACAGAGACTACATGATGTACATGTCTCCATTTAACATCACCTTATATATGTACATTGTACCAGTTGAAACACTGTAATAATTACAATTATTCATTATTTTGTACCGGGGATCTTATTTTATTCATTGTTACTGGTCATTATTGACTGGTAGGAAGTACTATTTCTGACTGAATGGATTTCAAACTGACAGGAAGTACTGGTCCTGATTGACTGGATGTTAAACTGACCAGAAGTGCTTGTTCTAACAGGATTTTAATCTGGTTCTTACGGACTAGAATCCAAACTGACAGGAAGTATTGGTTCAAATTGACTGGATTTCAAAATAAAAGAAAGTACTGGTCCGGACTGATTAGATTTCAAACTGACAGGAAGTGTTGATGCTGTCTGGATTTTAAACTGGTTCTAATTGACTGGATTTTAAACTGACAGTAAGTAATAGTTCTGACTGAATGCAAACTGACGGGAACTACTAATTCTTACTGACTGGATTCAAACTAACAGGAGTTACTGGTCCTGATTGACTGGCTTTCAAACTGACACGAAGTAACAAGCATGTCCAAGTTGATTTCAAACTGACACGAAGTAGTGTACTGTTCCTGACTGACTGAATTTCAAACTGACAGTAAGTGTTGGTTGAGTTGATTTCAAACTGACACCAAGTACTGATCCTGACTTGAGTTGATTTCAAACTGACATGAAGTATTGGTCTTGATTTGAGTTGATTTCAAACTGACCATACTGGTCTTACTAACTGGATTTCAAACTGTCCTGAAGGCAAACTTAAACACATTTGTGCTACTTAGTGCCACTACATTTTACGACAATAAGCAACCAAATATATAGACGTAGCCGAACAGTACCGAATAACTTGCATAAACACTGTGATACATGTAGATTTAGCACATGGTGGAAATTTGTTGTGTAATATAACTACCTGTACATGTACCTGGGCACTTAACAAAATCATTCCAAATGAGTTGTGCTTATTTGACAAAATCAAACAAATTTGTTACCTATATTAATGTGCCGAAAAAAATTGGCAGGTGGGTACTTATTGAAGATGGGGATTGGGTGATCTAGTGCTTTAATATGTTTGAATGTGACAAGGAGTAGGGTTGCTTGTCCAACCTCTTGTTTCTTCACACTGCTAAAGACTCCTATGTTAACCATATGTTAGTCCCAAAATGACCTAGTTTGTGTCGGAGATGGACATGATTTAAGTATGTGTACATTTAACTTAAAAACATATCATTTGTTCATTTTGTGTGCAGGGAGGGGATTGGTTTAAAGTCGTGTGTGATCAATTAATTACAATTTCTCAGTTATTTAATAGGGTCCATTATACAGGCCATAATAACCTAAAGGTACATGTAGTGTTGAGTGGACCTTAAATAAATGTTGCCATTTTTATACTGTTTACTTTCTAGTAAACAATATCCACAAAACAATGACTGACTGGTAGGATGTTTGACAATGACTGACTGGTAGGATGTTGAATAATGACTGACTGGTAGGAGCAGCTGTTAGCTGGAGCACTCAGTGCTATACAAATTTATTATTATTATTATTATTATTAAATAATGACTGACTGGTAGGATGTTGAATAATGACTGATTGGCAGGATGTTTGACAATGACTTAGTGGTAGGATATTGAATAATGACTGACTGGTAGATGTTTGACAATGACTTACTGGTAGGATATTGAATAATGACTGACTGGTAGGTTGTTGAATAATGACTGACAAGATGTTTGACAATGACTTGCTGGCAGGATGTTGAATAATGACTGGTAGGATGTTTGACAACATGAATTACTGAATGGTAGGGTGTTTGACAGTGACTTACATATGTACTGGACCAACAAGTAGGGTGTTAAATAGTAGACAACTGGTAAGATATTTGAAAACTTGAATTACTGACTGGTAGGATATTTGAAAACATGACTTACTGACTGGTAGGACATTTGAAAACATGAATGACTGACTGGTAGGATATTGAATGATCTGACTGGTAGGATGATGGACCAACTAGTAAAATGTTGGACAATGATGTTGACATTACGAGCTCTCACCCTGTTTTCTACCAAACAAAACCATGATGTTGATTGATATACCAAGTATTTGTTTATGTTTTTTTTTAAGTTTGAAATATTTAAAATATTCCTTTTTTCTTTATTCTTTTATTAAGTATAAAAAATGATTTATTATGTTATTTTATACACTTGTAATTTATTCTTTGTTTTGTTAAAATGTAAAATAATATATCTTTTTATTATTATTATTATCATTATATTTATTATGTTGTTATTTAACTTCACTGTATTAAAGATATCATTAAATGATATAAAAACTTTATAAAATTTTGTCTTTTTAGAGTTATACATGTATTACTTAGGGGGATGGGGGGTTGGATGGCCGAATGGTTAGCATGTGCGCGCTGTATCATAAAGCCTGTCATTGAGTCAACTGGCGTGGTTTTGAATCCCCGGTTGTACGTGACAAGGAGTAGGGTTGCCTGTCCAACCTCATGGGTTTTCTCTGGGTCCTCCAGTTTCCTCCCACTGCTAAAGACCCCTACGCGCAAGCGAATTATTGAAATAAAATATGTTAGTCCCGAAATGACCTGGTCTGTATCAAGTGGGCGTTTAACCCCATTTCTCTCTCTCTCACTTAGGGGGAGCCGCTGCGACTCAGTCAGTATGGCAATGGGTATTCCTGGTGTTGACCAAGATAGTTTTTCTGGATTTTACTATGTGGTTTCCCCTTCTCGGTTTAGGAAGTTAAAGAACCAGTAAATACATTGTAAGAGTAGGTTGTAGCGCCGCTGTTCAGGCAAAATATCCCTTATAGCATTTTGTATGGCATATGCCCGCCTTCATTAATTCAGTCGCTGTAGAAAAGTAGGACATTAAACCTTATCTCTTTTATATATTTGGGTTGATATTTTTAATAATCTGCATCAGAAGTTATAAATGATAAGGGATTTGGCATCCTACTGGGGATCCGGGATACCAAGAATGAGCTATTTATAAATATTGAACAGAATGGAATATCAGTCCACAAATGGTTCCATTTGATTCTTCGAACATCATGTGCAAATGGAACCATTTGTGGACTAAGTTATTTTGGGACCAATATATTGTTCATGTTTATTTCAATAATTCGCTTGTGCTAATAAGGGTCTTTAGCAGTGGGAGGTATCAGAGAAAACCCACAAGGTTGGATGGGCAACCCTACTCATTGTCATATATACAAGCTGAGAATCAAAGCCATGATCTAAAGTTAACAAGTTAAATGCAAGTTACCTCCTCTTGCCCACTCGCTTTTTGATTAGTCGATAAAAATAGCACAATTATCTAGGGTAGATAATATGACTGTGTCCAGATGAATGGACCAGGGGGTTAGTGGAGTAAAACTGACAATACCATTGGAATACCAAGAATGTTGAGCGGTAAGGGTACTTGACTCTCGACAAGAATGTTCCAGGTTTGAACTAATTCTTCGGATGGGATGAAAAACCGAGGTCCTGTGTACACATTGTCAGTGGCAGTTGGATTTTGATATAAGAGTAGGCCGCTATCCAGGCAAAGTTTCCCTCATAGCATACTGTATGGTGTATGCCCGTCTTCATTAGCGCAGTTGGAGAAGAACAGTAGGACGTTAAACCCCTTTTCATTTCCAAGTTTGAATCTATCCACATTTGTCAGGGGTAGGGCTGTAATGATACGCTAACCTCACGATACGTATCACAGTATGGACCTCAAGATACGATCCATATCACGGTATGGACCCCAAGATATGATACATATCGCTGTATTTTTTCTTTCCAAATTTACTTAAAAAATAAGTAGACACTACGCAGCCTTCATTTTTTCGTCCTATCTGAACGACAGGACATATTTTTCTTGCCAGCCCCATTATCCTGGAAAAACATACGGGAAATTCCTGAGACACATTTACAGCCCAGGATGGAAACCCAAGAACAAACCTCCTAGTTAGTAAGCAAGCGCATAAGAAATTTGGCCTGCAGAAAAATAACAAATTCTAGAACTGATGATGAACAATATTTAGTTTTATGTAAAATATTTTCTTGTGAATGAAGAAATAAAATAAATAAGATAAATTACAGTTATCTCCCTTTATCACTTCCTAATATTATTCGTGTTCAAATCATGTTGTGCATGTATATACATTAATTACAAGATTCCAATCCCATATGCTGTATTCAAATCACGTTGAATATACATTACCTGGTAATTACAAGATATCAACAAGAATTTTTGTAATTATAACAGCATTACAGGAACGCAACATTATCGTAAATACAACATTACAGAAACACGGTAATATTGTAAATACATCATTACAGAAACACGGTAATATTGTAAATACAACATTACAGAAACATGGTAATATCGTAAATACAACATTACAGAAATACGGTAATATCGTAAATACAACATTACAGAAACACGGTAATATCGTAAATACAACATTACAGGAACACGGTAATATCGTAAATACAACATTACAGAAACACGGTAATATTGTAAATACAACATTACAGGAACAAATAATTATCGTATATACAACATCATAGAACCACAGCAATGAATTCCACAGCATTATATTTGTGTAAATATTTTCACTAGAATGTTACATATTACAAATGTAATACGAAATACTTGGATATACATAGATAATGGCTCCTGTACTCAGTTCTTCCCGATTTGACACTTGACACGATTTTCTTTTTCCTTCACTGTGTCCTGTTTTGTTCCATCTCTCTCATCTATTTATTTTCAACTTCTATTCTTCCTGTTTCCCCAACCTCTTCTGTGATCTTAAAAAAACATCAAACAAAACTTGAATATCATAAACACAAAATCTTAAATTCAACCAATGGGAATGATGAAGATAGGTTGCCAGGCAAAGGAAACATATGCCGACAGCAGCTATATATCTTTTGACAGTTGACATGGGTTATCACAAATTTATTTTTCTGAAGGTACGTAATGGGAGCATTTGCAAGACACTGATATCAATTTCATACAAATCGAATAATAACTTTTGTTGTGAAAGCATTCATAAAGTTCAACAGGGTGAAACATGGGCCATAACTAATTATGGCATTCGATATGTTTGAACCAGTGATGGGATTTTGCCCGTATATTCTGGACTTGTCCGAATCTTTTTTCCAAATGCCCAAAATTGTCCGACCGGGAATATGCCCAATCCGACATCAAGACATGGTGAATAATATTCAAAATTCCGAAATTAATATAGTTTACTGAATGTATAACTATCACTCAACCAGATTATCGTCGATAATACGCTGGATTGATTAGGTAATTAAGTGATCAACGTATTTATCGTGTTATACCGTCTACAAACCTACCTTGATTAACTACTTAATCTGCCTTGATTGACTGACTTAATCCTTTGTCGGACAATTCATCAATCTAATCTTAAACAGAAGCCATTGTTTCCCCTTTGTCGGACTATTCATCAATCCATTATAATTTTAATATTCGTGTTAACCTTGTGGTTTCTGCATTGTCGGACATTTTAATCGCATTGATGTGAGCCGACAATATGTATAAACTAGTCATAGAAGTCACATATTGTAAGAGTATATAACGCCCAGATCAATAGACAGTCATTATAATTCGTCTGCGATATCACTTCGGTGGAAGCGAGCATTAAATAAAGCTATCCGAAAAATACTAGACATTGCTAGCACATGGTTACAGCACTCGGAAAACCTCGGCAGATTCCGTTACTCTACATCTAGCTTTGGCTGTATGACGGTAAGTGATATGTTCCTACGAACTTGCCGATTTTAGAAAGAAGTTATCAAAATTGCGTCGTTTGAAGCGTATTTAGAATTTTCAGAGCAAAGTTGTCCTTGTTTGAAGAAAATCTGATTAAACTTGAAAGAAAAACAGCTTCCGACGGTTAAAGTGCGATAACTGAACCGGTATTGGTATTAGAAATCTCGCGAGCCGCGTGAAATTATGAAATGAATACGTGACAAAATACACGCTTCTAATGTCGAAGAAAAGATTCTATTTTGAAGGCATATTCTCAAATTTTTGATCATATTTTGAATGGTGTTTGTGTTTTTAAATAAAGAAATAAGTAATCTAGGCAATGTTGACGAGTATGTCGATTGGAATAGTGTAAGTACTTAATTGTTTTGGACGATAGCGCGTGCTAGAGTACAATGCGATTATTTAGCGGATGGCGTCATTCGCTCGTTGTGGTAGAGCGACGTTTATTGCCCAACAAATTTCGGGATATCATTTTCTTACCCTCTGCACATAATTCGTAACGGAGTTTAAGACGAATGCCGGACTTCTGCTGAAAAATGTAGCGACTTATGACCCGAAAAATACCGTAATTTTGGAGGAATTTGAAACAGTACAAATCGGCAGTAGTCGGCACGCTTTCATTCTATCGTATTACGAATTTTGTAGGAATATTTCTGACATAAATTTGAATACCGTACGGGAATTAAATATGAAAAATAACGAAGTGCACCCATTTTTTTATTACGGACGAATTTGAATATTTTGTTTACACGTGATTTTTGTGTGTGGTCTAAAAACTGCCATCTTAAATAATGATAAGAGTTATGTCCCTTTATTTTCAGTAAAAATGTTCGACAAGAAAATTTTTGAAATCCCATCACTGGTTTGAACTATCTCAATTACATTAATATTTAATTTATTTCTTCGCTTACCATCTTTCCATTCATCCATATTCCTAACTCGTAATAACTCATCCGGATCATCTTGCTCAATTAAATTCTCCTTTTCTTCGGTTTCATTTTCTAGAGCTATTTTATCCTGTTCTGGGTCAGCAGCAAGATTCTGCATACTGTATCTACAGTAACAAGAGAAACCTGATTTAACAGACTGTATCTATAGTAACAAGAGAAACCTGATTTAACAGACTGTGTCTATAGTAACAAGAGAAACCTGGTTTAACAGACTGTGTCTATAGTAATGAGAGAAACCTGGATGAACAGACTCTATCTATAGTAACCACAGAAACCTGGTTTAACAGACTGTATCTATAGTAACAAGAGAAACCTGGTTTAACAGACTCTATCTATAGTAACGACAGAAACCTGGTTTAACAGACTGTATCTATAGTAACGACAGAAACCTGGTTGAACAGACCGTATCTATAGTAATGAGAGAAACCTGGTTTAACAGACTGTATCTATAGTAACCACAGAAACCTGGTTTAACAGACTGTATCTATAGTAACGACAGAAACCTGGTTTAACAGATTGTATCTATAGTAACAAGAGAAACCTGGTTTAACAGACTGTATCTATAGTACCTGCATTGACCGAGAAAGTTCATCAGGATTTTCGGACATGGTTTCCCCTAGTTACTGGTGCAGGACAGAAAACATGATAAGGACAGCTGCCTAGTCATTCCGATGGTACGAAAAACCAAGGTCCTGTGTATACATTGGTGTGCATGTAAAAGATCCCTTGGCAGTTGGAATTCGACATAAGAGTAGGCCGTAGCGACACTGTCTGAGAAAAATTTCCCTCATAGCACACTGTATGGCGAATGCCCATCTTCATTATCCAAGTATAGGAGTAGAACAGCTTACTCTTTCTGGGACTCCCTGTTACTTCAGAGGAAACTCCTTTTTTTTAAAAAAGAAAAATTATGAAAACACGTACCCTTGGCATTCAGAACCTGGAGCGTGAAAATCCCCTTCTGCTACTTTCTGCTGGTAAAACTCGTCTATAGTCATAGTAGCTATACTAGGATATCCAGCCCCAAAAACTTGTTTCTGCAGTAAATCTTTGGTTAATATAAAAGGACGGAGCGGCTAAAAAATAATAAAAATTAATCATTACAGGGAGGAAACAAGCCCAATCTTGATAGTGGAAATATTTTAATCTTTTATTTCTTCTACATAACAAAGAGTTTTGGATTAGTTGGGGCATATAAATTTGTTATTGCAAATTTCAACGATATATCATCTTATTGAGGTAAAGTAGTTCATCAATTTATGTTATGATGGACAATTTGACTGTATTGTTTATAGTACATATGACATCAACATCAAAATTATAACTAATGATCACAGATAAGGGAACTGACACAGCTGTTAGCCAGCTAGATCTGTAACGACACAGATGGAGTGTTTGAACCACACACTGGCTATGTGATGAATTCTTGTATCATTAAAAAAGACAGTTTATTACTTTATTTCAGTTTACCCAGCTGTAATGGGTACTTTTAGGATAGTGCCAAGTAGAGTTGTCTTCCCTTGCAGTTCAAACTAACCTCTGCTAATGGCTCATTTGACTATGCAAAGACAATGATAAACGATACGATGAAAAGTAGTAAATGATAATATATTTATTTCTATTACTATCATAAAATAGAAATGGGGTCATACCTATCATAAAATAATAAAGTATTTACAAATATACAGGGAACTCTGAGGGGTAGTAATTGATAACATTTTCCCCTATATTTGATTAAAATTCATTAAGTGTTTATAATGCCTGGACAGACACCATTTTCATCTTACAGTTAATCACGTGACCGACTGACCAATGACCTTGGGGTCAATCGATTTAGTGTGAGAGCCGACAGCAGAGTCGAATGATGGATAGCAAGACTTGTATGGAGAATGGGATAGTGCAGACCCATTTTTATAGTCCCTGGCTTTCTTAGCACCAAACTTCTATAATATAGAATCTATTCTATATAATAAAATTAAAGAATCCCCGCTCAACAGAATACACAACAGACTTGTAGAAGTAGAAGATCATTTAATGGGTCGACGTTTCGGGTGCAATACCCTTTATCAAAATTTATCAAGTCTGTTGTGTATTCTGTTGAGCGGGGATTCCTTAATTTTATTTTACTACTCCGCCCCGCCGGTATCATCTTTTGATCCAGTCTCCACACAGATGTATCAGCCTGTCCCATTTAATTACTCTCTAAGGGAGTGTTGCCGTACCCTTTTCCTGTTTCCAATCTATATAAGACAAAAGATGACCTCTAAAGGAAGATAAGAAAATGGAGTAATGAAATGGAAGTCAAGGTATTACCTGAAAATCTACCTATTATAGGAGGCACTGGCATGATATTTACCTGTGATTTTGGTTTAGTTGGTGGTAGTTTTGGACCTTTACCTTCCCGTTCCTTCATTTTATTACTATGTTCTAAAACTGGTATTTCAACTGAAAAAGTAGAAATAATTTTTCTAATCACAGGGCCAGAACCATTTTTCAAGGGTTTTAGAGAATCGTAAAGATGCATCATTGCAGATCTTTTCTCTAGCTTTAAATGTTACATAAAGTAATTTGACTCAAATGTTCACAGGGTTCCTGCGGCTTCGTCAAACATTTTTTCAAGGATATTCAAGGATAAATATACGTCAAATTCAAGGATTTTCAAGGACATTTTTTAGCCTAAAGTTACAATTTTTCATCTTAAAAATAACCAAGACATTACAACTATCGTTATAAAACTTCTAATCTAAACGGGATTTTCATATCAACTTACTATTATTACCAATTTGAAACAAAATTAAGGATCTCAACTGAAATTCAAGGATATTTTCCTATTTCCGCGAAATTCAAGGATATTCAAGACCTTGAAAATGAAATTTTAAATTTAAGGATATTCAAGGATCGCGGGAACCCTGTGTTCAGTATATTCATTTTTCATTTTTGAAAAATTATATCAAGAACGACCAGCTCTTCATCAAAATCTCTTACATTATACATCCTTAATGAATTTAGCTATAAGATAGCATTCACATTTTTGATTTTGATAATTATTGTATGATTTAGCCTAAATTATGATTTAAATCAGTTTTCAATGTTACATGGACCACCCCTCTCTTCGTTACTGTAGTAAATACCCCCCCCCCCCCAAAAAAAAAAAAACCAGTTGTAAATAAAGAGAGAGAGAGAGAGAGAGAGAGAGAGATGGGGTTTAACATCCACTCACACAAACTAGGTCATTTTGGGCCTAACACATGGTTCAATTTTATTTCAATAATTCGCTTGCGCGTAGGGGTCTTTAGCAGTGGGAGGAAAACGGAGGACCCAGAGAAAACCCAAGAGGTCACGTACAACCGGGGTATAGAAACCATGCCAGTTGACTTAATGACAGACCTTATGATACAAATAGCACGCCGCACGCGGTAACCATTCGATCATCCAACCACCCTAGTTGTAAATAAAACTATGTTGAAACTTTATAACTTACAATTAATACTGTCAATTTCTTCTATACTTGTGGAACTCCATTCATTTAACATAGTTAAATAATATTCTCTCTGTTCATAACAAATATAGTTCAGTTTATTAACATAATCAAATATTAAAAAACAGTTCATTTTATCAACAAATTTAAATATTTAAAACATAGTTCATTTTATCAACAAATTATTTTGTAATAATAACACTATTTGACTTTCATTATGACAAACTTTCTCTGTCTCATTCATTAAATATTTGCACACATACATTTACTGTTGACTGTAAATCAGTCTGTAATAAGATCTAAAGAAATATGATAGGCCAAGCCTGGAAATAAGGCACCTGTCAAAGACAATATCAGGCACAAACCTCTGGTGCCTGTCATTTTTTCCGACACAAATTTGTCTTTTTTATTGATACATGTTCGGCACTAAGTTGAAAATGTCAGGTACTATTTCATTAGTGCCTGACATTTTGTCAGGTACATCTAAAACCATTATTTCCAGGCCTGAATGATAGCAAGACACATGGTTCGTATACAGAGAGTATGACATATTGACTGCTGTCTGAAGAGAGTAAGTGAGAGAAATGAAGCTATTTCGGGACTAACGAAATATTATTTCAATAATTTGTTTGCAGATAGAGCTCTTTAGTAATGGAAGCAAACGACATCAGTTTTTATGACATACAAACTTGACTCAATGACAGACCTTATGATCTAAAGTGCATGCATTAAACCAATTGAACCCTGACCCCCCCCTTCCCCCCAGCTGAATGAAAAAGAATGTGTCCGTAACCTGAGATCACACATGACAAATACATGGGACATGCTTACCTTTATTTCATCATCGACATCTTCTTGCTCGACTTTACCCCGCAGATCTTTTAATTTGGTCTCAATATCACGTTTTTGTTTAAATCTCTCTATTTTTGATTGACGTTGACAACTCATTGCTCGTAAATCTGGACCCCTAAAAAAATCAGTTTCAATTTAATGACAGTATTCTGGGAATATCACCATAGCAACTAAAAAATCAGTGTACATTAAATCATAATCAGCATAACAAAAAGTTGCATGATATTTTACATAACCAGCAGTAGTCCGTGTATAGGGCGTTTTAGCACATGCAAAAGAGTTTTAATATATCTCATAATATTAACTGAAATGAGAGAGATATAGAGAAATGGGGTTTAATGTCCACTAGGTCATTTCAGGACTAACATATGGTTCAATTTTATTTCATTAATTCGCTTACGCGCAGTCGTCTTTAGCAGTGGGTGGAAACCTCATTTTTTGTCCATTGACGAACCATTAGAAGCTTTTCCTTGCCTGACCTCTTGTCCTCCACCAATGACAAGGGAAAAAAAGATGGAAAACCCAGGAATATTTTTAAAACCAGGATATGACATATCATACATCCTCCTCCCCAGATCCCACCAATTCGTACAATGAAAAGAAATGTGGTTTAACATCCTACTCTTCTACTCTGACTGTGCTATGAGGGAAATTTTGCTACAGCCTACTCTTATAATCGAATTTTACGTGCATGTCAACATCGATTTATCTTCCCAACCGAATGACTAGACTAGTATAATGAAATGAAATGAAATGGGGTTTAACGTCCTAATGTTCTGCTCCTAAACTGGGCTAATGAAGACGGGCATAGGCCATACAGTGTGCTCTGAGGGAAATTTTGCCCGGGCAGCGGCGCTACGGCCTACTCTTATATCAAATTCCAAGGGATCTTTTACGTGCATGCCAATATGTACACAGGACCTCGGTTTTTCGTTCCATCCGAACGACTAGACAGCTGTCCTTGTCAGGCCCTCCGTCCTGCAACTGACAAGGGGAAACCACGCCAGAAAATCTGGATGAACTTTCTCGGCCAATGCAGGGATCGAACACCCAACCTCCAGGCTACCGAGCCAGCGTCTTACCCTCGTACAATGAACATACATAGTAGACAGCTGGTTATGTGCAGGTTTGTGAGGTTGTAAAGGCAAGTCTTTTCTAGTCACAATCACCAGGACGTATTTGTGACACAGAATTCTAAAGAGAAAAATGGGGTTTAACTTCACTTGACACCAGCTAGGTCATTTCAGGACTAACATAGGGATCAATCTCATTTCTACAATTTGCTTGAGTGTAGGCGTCTTTAGCAGCGTGAGGAAACCGGAAGATCCGTATGAAATTCATGACGAAGGCCAGACCTTGTCACATAAATGCTTGGAATCGAAACCAAGCCACTTAACTCAAAAATAGACCATATTAACTACTACCCTTCACCCAACAAATTCTAAAGACCATGAGGGTGTGGTTATGGTCCAGGTCTATACATACCTTGATGCACCAGCTGTAACTATTTGTTTATTTTGATCCCCATCCTCCTCCCGCTCCTCCTCCTCCTCCTCTATATCAGGTATCTGTACACCGGCCACACCGTATGATTTACATAGTTTTAAATAATCTGTATAAAAACCCTGGAAAAAACAAAAAAAACATGATTTACATAGTTTTAAAATAAAGGTATGTAACATTACGCGATCACACGAACCCTCAAACATGTCTGACAATTAATACTTCCATATGTTTTCCAGTATCAGGGATCCACTTAGACGTATTTCTCATTGGATTTCTTCCAGGGTCAAAATCCTAACATCACCAAATCTTCTACATGACACTAAGCTGTCACCAAATAGTGACTGTATTAACCCAAATCTAGCTGTTTAGTGCAGACAGTGAGACAGACTCCCCAAACACATGAAGGTGCTGTCTTAAGCAATTACAATATGTCGACTGTGATACATTAAGCAGAACTTGAAATAAAATGAAATGGGGTTTAGTGTCCTACTGTTCTGCTCCGAACTGTGCTAATGAAGACGGGCATACGCCATACAGTGTGCTATAAGGAAGATTTTTCCCGGACAGCTGAAATACGGCCTACTCTTATATCGAATTACAACTGTCCAGGGATCTTTTATGTGCACGCCAATGTGTACACGGGACCTCCGTTTTTTTGTCCGATCCAAATGACTAGACAGCTGTCCTTGTCAGGCCCACTGTCCTGCATCACTGACAAGGGGGAGCCACGCGGGAAAATTTGGATGAACTTTCTTGGCCAATGCAGGGATCGAACACCCAACCTCCAGACTAGTGAGCAAGTGTCTTACCCACTTAGTCACCGTGACCTCCCATTAGGCAGAACATGTATATTTTTAAATCGGATAGCAACATACTATAACATATGGCCTGTCCACTAGAATGTCCTGGATTACAGCATCATATTTTGTATTATTGGAATACATTTAAAATTTTGGGAATATTTAATGGGTTACCTTTGACCTATGTAGAAGATTAATTCGACTTTCTTTAATTGATTTTAAAGTTAGGTAACCTAGCAATGCTGATAACAGCATATACCTGAAATATAGATATCAAAATCATCAGATACTCTTTGGTCCAAAAAGTTGGAGTTTACCGTCCATGCGTGGTCCAGGAGCAACATGTGCTATACCAGTACTTTATTATATCAATAAATGTAGAGATGTATTAGAAGTAGGAAAATCCCACGACCGTTGGTAGGCAACCCTCAAGCCTGGACATAAGGCATCTGCCATGCCATAGAGTTTGACAAACACAAATTATCACACAACAAAGATATTACAATATAAACATTGTCCGATAATTTTTGTCTGACAATGTCTGTGACATTATGTACAGGCTTGTATATTTATGTTGTGGGATAATTTATGCATGACAATTTGACAAAGTCTGTGACAGGTGTCTTACATGTGCAGGCTTGCATATTTATGTTGTTGGATAATTTATGTCCAGGCTTGGCAACGGTACTCGCTGTCACATACACACCTGGGATCAAGCTCCAGAATTTTTATGGAGTCTTCAATTGCATCAATGCATGTATATTTAACATCTATATAGACATGTGTTAAAGATCCATTATGTAAGTTTTAGATTCCCAACTAACACAATCGGGCATCCCCTAAAATAAATTATTCCTACTTTATTTCATTAGTTGCTACTTCTTCTATACTTTCATTGTTACTAAATAATTCTAATTGATTGACCATCTTAATAGCTTGATGACATGACTTTACACCCTTATATACTTCATCCTGAAATAGAGAGAAAGAAACTAGGTCATTTCGGGACTAACACATATGGTTCAATTTTATTTCAATAATTTGCTTGTGCACACGTACATGTAGGTGTCTTTAGCAGTGGAGGACCCGGAGAAAACCCTCAAGGTTAGACAGACGAACCAACTTTTTGTCACATAGAGCCGGGGAATCGAAAACGCGCCAGTTGACTCAATGACAGGCCTTATGATACAGCACGCACACGCTAACCATTCAGTCATCCACGCCCCCCAACACCCCGCCAATCCTGAAATTAATAAAAACATGATCAAGAACATTTCATAAAACGGTTAATATATACATGTATTACACTATGATAGGTAAAAAATCTGATTTGAATTCCTTCCAGGGCCTGTATGTTGTGTAAGACTTTGTTAAACTGAAGGCCAATGTCCTATGTTAGTTTAAAATGGTCTGCATTCATTGAAACTGAGGGCTTAGTTATTTCGTGCATGCATCATTAATGGAGTAGTTATTTAGGGCATGTTTTCGTTAAACTGAGGGCCTGTGAGTTTTGTGAGTGTGGTCGTTAAACAGAGTCAGAGTGTCTAAATTATTTCGTTAGAGCAAACCATTAAATGTTAATGACACACTAATTCCCAGTTAAAATGTTCATATAGCACTGGCAGCGATATCTCAAATAGTATTATTAGTACTGGTAGCTAAAAACAAACACATCTCACTCACAGTCCTCTCAATGTTTTTAGCTACCATCTCCTAGTTAAGACGACCGAGCAATAGTGAGCAATTGAGATGAGACTGGGTGGGGAGGGGAGCAAAAAGTACCTGATATTTTTCTGAAATGGTAGGGTCGTCACAAGTATCTAAATAATTATAAATTTTTAAAACTTCTGCAAATAGTTCAGGCAAAGTTCTCGTGTCTTCCTCTACGCTTGCCATCGTTCTGTATTATCCAAAAATAGAAATTATGCTCATCCAAAATTAGAATTATGAGCTTGCACCTTCCATATTGTTTCTCGCGAGATCCCGCCAGTCAACATGGCGGCCCCCAGCAGGTCGATTTCTCTTTACAGAAATTTGCTAAAAGAACTGAAGCATGTTTACAAAGTAATTGGTTATGTTATGAACTTTTGAATTAGTTGTATGCTTTCTCAAGATTATATTCGTCTCTAAAACTATATTTGTCCCGGTAGAGGACATTGAACTTGAAATGACATTGCATAGATCGGTCGAGGGCTGATAAAGCCAAGGGGAATAACTCCATTTTCCTTTTAAAAATAGGCAAAGAGTTTAAATTGAAAAATAAAATCAGCTAAATTTGGCAACAAGATGCAAGTTGTATTCATTACTATCCCAAATTTACAAAAAAAAAAGTTGCCTTGTGGTTTTCAATCCTGTGCATACTAAAATAATATAATAAGCATAAATAAGGAATAGATCTACTCGGGGCCACTCCACAACATGGTACACTACTGTACTAATGTACTATTGGTAGCCTAGCCGATTGAACGTTCCGGAATTAAATTATTTCAATCCCAAAAATTCTGACATTCGAGAGTGTATGTGCATAGGAAAATATCTCAACCAACCATGACAGTTGAAACATATTCGTTGTGTTGAATTACGTTACGTTTCTATGTATTTATTAGTTTAAATTGATGTAAAAATGTATTTTTGTAGCATCCCTTTTCTTTATTTTCAGGATAAAACAGAGTCACCTGCTCAAAGTTTTGTGAAAGATCAGTTTCGTAATTTCCAGGTGACAACTGAGAAAGTATGTCGTGGGCGAAATGAAGTTTACCACACGGGTGAAACCTATCTGTGTTTGTTACAGAATCTCCGTAAATATGAAGTTAGTTTTACTTTGATCCTAGTCCAGATATTTAGTGAGTCTGATTGTACATCGGCTCTGTGGGTTCACAGTCCAGTTGTCTTTATAAAGAGATATAAGGGCACAGACCCCCGACTGCAATGTCCTGGGTCCGAAAAGATTTTCATTATTTTTCATAGGCCTGCTGCCAGCATCATGTGAATAGCTGGTCGTATTTTAGAACCATATACTTTTTCTTTGTGGCACAGAGCCATAGTGGCTCAGTGAGTAAGATGCTGGCTCACTAGCCTGGAGGTTGTGGGTTCGATCTCATTGTTGGCCGAGAAAGTTCATCGGAGCACCACCACAGCTATTCACATGACTTGGGACAGTTTGGTAGTGTTGAGCTGTTTCATGGAGTTCAAGTTCTCAAGGGTTAATGTGTATTTTGTTTTGCTGTAAGGATTAATGGAAAACAGTCTGTGATGAAATGAATTTAATGAAATGATATAGGGGTTTATCATCCTGCCCAGCTACATCAAACTAATGAAGACGGGCATATACCCAGACAGTAGTGTTTTTTCATCGAATTCCAACACCAGTATTTTATGAAATGAAACGAAACTTTCTGCTTTACTTCATTAAACGGTCTAACGAAGAGAGAAAGAAAGGGGGTTTTCAATTTTATTTCAATATGTCACTTGTGCGTAGAGGTCTTTAGCAGTCGGAGGAAACCGGAGAAAAAAACCTACAGGGTTGTACACTACTCAATATCACATACCAATGAGGAATCAAAACCATGCCACTTGACTCAGTGACAGACCTTATGATCCAACGTGCATGTGTTAACATTCGGCCACCCAACCCCCTCAGGCTAATGAAGACTGCGATGGCTGGCTTTAAATATATCTTGCCACACACTTACTGTTCTAAGTTGGCCCCGTCTTCGTTTGCCCAGTCGGAGCAGAACAGTAGGACGTTAAACCCCATTTGGTTTCATTTCTAAGTTGGCAATAGCAAACGTTAAACCACAATTAAATATTTCTCTTCACAATTTTCTCGACTAATTGAAATATTTTAATTTTTCAGGAATTACATGCCCAGTATCATTCACAAGAACGAAGTATTGAATCTAGTGCACATTTAGTGGGACTTGAATTACCTAAGACGTATAATCCTGATTCTAATCCATCTAATAAATAAAACCCAGAACATTGTCTGATAGAAAAAATCCAATGGATAAACTCAATAAAATCCAGTGGATAAACTCAGTAAGGTCCAGTGGATAAACTCAGTAAAATCCAGTGGATAAACTCAGTAAAGTCCAGTGGATAAACTCGGTAAAATCCAGTGGATAAACTCAGTAAAGTCCAGTGGATACTCTCAGTAAAATTAAATGGATAAATTCTACAAAATCCAATGGATAAATTCAAAGAAATTAGGTATCTAGTAAATGAACCACATTAAATTTAAAAAAAAAAAAAACAACAACATGATCTGTTACTTTGTTATATGAAATGATAAGCATATTCTCCTTGTGTATGATACCCATCATTTTAAACATTATAGTTGTTCAGGCAATATATATCAGGCAAACTTTATTAACAGACAAAATAAGTTTTTCGTACAGAGATTGTATTGTGAGCTTTCCACATCCAAAAAAAAAAAGCAAGCACCATAATGGAAAATGTTCGACTCATTCTAGGTAAAATATATACCTGGTGACCTTGAATGACGCACGAAAAAAATACTTATTAAAGGGAGATAATATATATTGTATTGTACTAGAGACAGTGTTTATACCTGATTGTAAATAGCATGAGTAAGTTTCTAAGAGTGTTTCAGTAATTTGAAATAAAATTAGTCTAAATTACACGTTGTTTTTTTTAATCTCTAATCGTCATTTGAAGGATTTTCAGGCATGGTTTTCCCTTGTCAGTGGTGCAGGAAGGAGGCAATGACAAGGAAAGTTGTTTAATCGTTTGGATTGGATGAAAACCTCAGGTAGTGTGCACGTAAAAGAACCCTTGACATTTGGAACTTGCTATAAAAGTAGGCTGTAGTGTCCTGTTTGGACCAAATCTCCCTCGTAGCACACTGCTTAGCATATGACTGTCTTCATTAACCAAGTTGGTGCAGAACAGTAAGCCATTAATCCCAATTTCATTTCCATACGTGGTTCAATGAGGGTAATTACAGACTATACAAGGGGGACAACTCTTTTTTACACCTGGAGTGAATGCCTTTCGTATGTAAATGTAAAATGTATTCTGAAGTTGGTGAGTTCTATGGCTTAATCTCTTAGTTTGAGGTCAAAACTGATAACAAATCCATATGAGTTAGAGGGAGAATTTTGCCAGGATAGTGGATTGGAAAGTGCCAACTACCAAGGAATCCTTTCTATGTACATGTACTATGAATATAATCATGGGACTGAACACACACTTTACCAGAATCTTGTTGTTTCAAGCCGGTATTCAAACCCCATGTTATAAAATGACCTAAAATGGGAATAGCACGATTTACTCAAATCTACCATTATTTCAACTTATAAGACAATAATTTATATCAATATTTGATAATATACTGTTCTCTATGCCAAATTGTAATATTTAATTTACAGTAATAAACCTTTTGGTATCTAAGCAAGTTTGGAAGTTTTAACCAAGTGACATATCTCGTGTATTGCTAAGTGGTGGCCAAGTGGGTAAGACGCTGGCTTGTCGGCCTGGAGGTTGCGTGTTCGATTCTTGCACTGGTCGAGAAAGTCCATCGGGATTTTCTGACATGGTTGCCCCTTGTCAGTGGAGCAGGACACGGGGCCTGACAAGGACAGCTGTCTTAGTTGTTCAGATGGGACGTAAAACCAAGGTCCCGTGTATACCTTGGTGTGCACATAAAATTTGATATAAGAGTATGTCATAGAGCCTTTGTGTAGGCAAAATTTCCCTCATTGAACACTGTATGGCGTATGCCCTTCTTCATTATTCCAGTCCAGACAGAACAGTAGGACATTAAACCTCATTTCATTTCATTGACTAGGGAATAACACAGTAAAAATTCTGAGGAACTTTATCGGAAACACCAGGATCTAAACAGAGACCTACTGGTTTGTGAGCCACTGTAGCTACCTTACCCATTATTAGGTACTTCTTGGCCAAACCGGGACAGTATGATGATTATCCTATTTTCAACAGTAATGGGAGCCATGGTAGATCAGTGATACAAGGGAACAACAAAATAAAACTACCGAGACATAAATAATTTAAATACAAATTTATTTTAAATATATTTGTATATTTTAATAAAGAAAAAGAGATTCTATGATATGTACAAATATATATATACACAAAGTTTGTCTTTAACTTCCTTTTTTAAAATCCTTAAAATAATATTTACAAATATTCACATATTTACAAATCTAGGAAGCTTAAATATTTCACTTGCTTAGCTTTTTCCTCACTGAATTTAAACAATTTATCATTTTGACAAAATCTTTTTTTTTTAACAATACATTCATTCAAACCAATATAATGAAATCTAAATTAATAAATTAATTGATCTAAATAAATAAATTGATCTAAATGAATAAACTAATTGATCTAAATGAATAAACTAATGAATAAACTAATTGATCTAAATGAATAAACTAATTGATCTAAATTAAGAAATTAACTGATCTAAATTAATATTCACTGGCCATAATTGACGGTTATTTATTGTTAGTAAATCACTCAACATTTTAATTAGGTATAAAATAAATACACATATATTCTACAGTTGTATCAACTATATTCAAGATGCATTATTTTAGATTTAGATAAATGGTGTGGATGTTCTAATCCATTTAATATCCCAGCCATCCAATCTTCTAGAGAGTTGATTATGGGCTTGGCATGTGAATAAATATCTAAATAATAATCTATAAACATTTGAAGCCAGAAAAAATAAATGCAATAGGCGGATTTAGCTCTTACATAATGCATCTTTAATTGTAATCCTTTCACTCAATTATTTTTTACACACTTTCAATAAAAGTCTCCATTTTGTTAATTAAATTGGTTTAAAAAATATTTTTTTATTTGAGTTTTTTCTAGGTTGCTGTTCTAGATACTATTTTGTAACTAAACAAAATTACTGCCAGACTTTTTTACAAAACCAATGAATGTAGGAATGTTTATAATTTAGTATAATTATATCTTATAAATAATACCTGGTAAATAACTTAATATTAAACACAAAATATAAAACATCTTTAGGTTGGTAAAATCAGCAGTATCTAGTAGGGTTATTATAATATACCATCCCTTTATAATAATCATCAGATGGTCATAATATCAGTATTTAATAGGGTTATTGTCATATATACACACCATGGTTACCCACCCCCACCTTTATAATGATCATCAATTAGTGACACCAGTATTTATAGGATGTTAAATATACCATCCCAGTAAAATGATCAACCCTTGGTGACATCAGTATTTACAGGGTTAATGCGATATATACCACCCCAGTATAATGATCATTAGTTAGTGACATCAGTCATTTTAGGATTATAGTGATAATATATTACCCCAGTATTATAATATAATGATCATCAATTGCTAGTATCAGACTAGCAATAACAAATATATACAAAACTAGAACACAACAATTACTGGTTCATTATACACAGGCACAATGTTTCCATGTCCCATAGAACTGTTCTAGTTTTGTTTTGCCACTTTATGATTATGAACAGGAATGAGCTGTAACACATTCTTATGGAAGATCAATTATTAATCGATTTGCAGGACATTGGAAAGGGGGGATGGGGCAATTAGTATAGAAACTGTTCATGGGATTGAAACGTTTTATGATATGAATTGTTGTTGTCATGCATGGGGCTATGTATGGGTACCCAGTCTAGAACACCTGAAACAATATTTCATTTGAGAACTCAATTAGATAAAAAAAAAATTGATTGTACATGTAGTTTTATTTTTGACCTTCAAATTTTCAAATCAGTTCAATGAATTGAACATTTTCTTGTTCAGATATAAATCTAATGCATATGCAAATTCAAAGTCTATGTTAATTTCTTATCTTAATGAAGAGTAATTATTCAAAATATTCATGAAAAAAAAAATATGACTTTATTTTCAAAGATACATTTTATTAAATAGTATTATTTTATGCGCATTACAAATGAATATTATAAATGATATGAATTGATGTAAAAATGATATGCCAATCCTAGAAAATTTGAGTAAGTGACTCCCCCAGGGATGAACCCAGAGGTTAGTGGAGTGATACGGAATGAGACCACCGGGGATACCAAGGATGTAAAAGGAGCTTCGTTTCTACAATGATTCTCGTGTTTTCAAGTTTAGCAATGACTGACATTTTATCAGGTAAAACTACCTGATAATGACAGGTATATATACATATATACATATAACACAGGTATAGACATATATACAATAACAAGGCAAGATCTTAAATAATTTCTATAAAACACATTTTACAACTTATATGTTAAGTTCCAAATTAATAAATAACTTTAAAGCTTATTATGAATTTTATACATTGCTCCTTTGTTCTGAATACAATATTTCTGCTTTAAGATTGTTTTAAATTCATTTTTCTAGTCTACTATGAATTGAGATTCTTCTTTATAAATAAGTATGGTAAAAATACGCCTATGAAAATATGGAATAGAACAGGCATTGGACTAGTTGAGGTATGGTTATAATCTTCACAATGTGAACATATTATGACAAACATCTGATAGTTCTCCCTGGGACAAAAGTTTGAAGTTTTTAAGTTCTCCCTGGGACAAAATTTGAAGTTTTTAAGTTCTCCCTGGGACAAAATTTTGAAGTTTTTAAGTTCTCCCTGGGACAAAATTTTGAACTTTTATAACTTCTCCCTTGGACAAAATTTAGAAAATTTGTAAACTTCTCCCTATCGACTTTGCAAAGATACAAGTATTGTTCTCATAAAATTTCACTTCATATACTTTTGTTATCTACTTATCAGCACCATCCAGACTAATAAAGACAGGTGTCCACTATGCAGTCAAGGGTTCTTTCACATGCGCACACAGGACCTCAGGTTTTCATCTCATTCTCCTACACCACTGACAAGGAGAAAGCAGGTTGGACAATTCCATGAGGAACTTTCTCTGCCTGCACCGGTATCTAACCCAGGACCTCCTAGGTAGGGAGCCAGCACCTCCTTCACTGAGCCATCCCACAATTAATCAGATGTATGATACAATACCTTGACATTATGAAGATATATTGCATCTTACTCGACTTGCTACGAGTTTTAAAGATGTAATGCTTCTTCGTTGACTGGGCACACGTTTAATATAATCATGACCATATATAACCGTTATATATTTGGCAATTGTTGTCATGGTTACCAGTAAATACATAATACAATAATATGCATATTAATAAAAAAAATATTTAAGATCTATTTCAGAAATTGGTATTTTTTTCTAACTAAAAAGCTGTATAACTCTACAATAATTATTTGTTTGTTTTTTTATAACAGAATCTTAAAAATATTTAAACAAAATTGTATCTTAAAATACCAAAAATCAGATCACATTTGACAGCCTGAAAATTATCGTAAGAGCCAAACGTCCCGAAAAAATAAAGCCTTTTATGTTATTTACAGATTGTGTAAAAAGAATGGCAGAATTTGATGACCATAACAGAATATTAATATTTTCCAAGCTGTCCCCCGAAATCAATTTTCATTAAATTTCTTGCTAACAAAATAAAATCAAGAACAAATGTTTAATGTAAACATTTAAATAAAGATATATCTAAAATAAAGGTGTAAAGTCATTAAACAAATAAATATTTATATCATTTCCTGTACGAAGATTTGACAAATTTCAAATAAAACCAGGGTTTAAAATGATAAATAAGTTTTTGATCTGAAATACCCAATCCATTACCTCTGACCGTCATTAGAAGGTTTATGAATCCCTTATAAACGGCAATATTGTGAAAATCGAATCTCTAAAAAAGAATGCAAGTGCAAATATGGTTTTCAGTATTTACAAAGAAAGATATTTTGCAACATTCTTCATTCTCTGCAGACCATTGTGAACTATACGTGTTGAGTAAAATCTTTTTGATCCAATTGAATCCAAGCCAGGAGATTACCATGTTCCTGAAGCAATGACCATGAGTTATACAACATCTAGACGTTGCTTGATTACTTTATAGTTCCTGAACTTATAGCTACGTTATCTCCCTTTATCTCAGACATGTTACCAATAGCATCCAGATGAACATTGAAAGATCCTGGAAAGCGTGAGACTTGTTATTCGCAATGATCGAGGAATCTGATAGGCCCCCCCGCTGGGTCGGTAGCCAATCGAAATTAGTGCTGAAATATGCAGGGTATTACGTGAAGGGCTTGATAAGATGTACGGAGTTAAAGCAAGATCAAGCCTTCTATTGAAGATGTGAGATTACCTACATGTACAGTACATATTTTGGTTTTGATTTCTTAATTAAATTTTCAATAATAAATTTGCGTACATCGTAGCATGGAAGAATTAAGATACTGTCTGATAAATGCCAATGGCAATTGGTACTGTAGCTTAAAATTATTTTGTCCACATTTCAATTATATATGTATTTTTTCAGGGAATGTATATCTAAGTGTGCTGCTGTCTATAACATGTTCTGTCTATATTTCAATGGGCAGTTCTCCTGTGCTAACAGATCAATCACAATTTGCATTCACTTCAGATGATATTAATTGAATTCAACATTAAATTACGGAGTATTTGACATGGGATAATGAAGACAAGTTGATTGATTCGACGGAGTTTAGTTCGTTATTAGGTGTGGATGTTCGTTGTGAGATAGGTTGAAGCTCATCAACAAAAGATAGTTCTGTGTTTTGAAACTCAACTTCCTTGTCAACAGCCTCAAGCAGATTTTCATCGGAGCCGTTTTCTCCGCCACTTAATGTTCGCTTCCGATGTAAAATGGCACTCACCGCACTAACGGCACTTAACCTTTTCGACAAGTCAGGTTTTTTGTCAATGGGTGTCAATTCTGGCATCAGCATTTGATATGGACCGTTTCCGTCCTGACTGCATCGGCTGATGGTTCGGACACGACGGAACTGTTCCTTAGCTTTAGCTTTGTTTATCACAATGGGACTGGAATTAATAGCGTCTGTGTCCTCTTCATATTCTACAGACTGGTCGTCAGAGACTTCAGGAGAGGTTTTACAACTGGCACAAACACAACAACTACATATGCTTAACACACGCTGTATAACCCTGTCTATAGGAGCGAGTGAACGTAAACACTCCGGTAAAAAATCCCAGTTCTGTAAGACCAACGGCAAAATTGATCTACGTTTACTTTGAATGATTTTGATGATAACCACAATGGTGATGAAAATGAACAAAATACTGACGACAACAATGAAGGGTATGCGACCGGTCATGGACAGAGCGAAGAAAAATCCAGGAAGAAGCATAAACATCGAGAACAGATAGAAGATGGCAAACCATTTATATTCTGCTGTCGTACTTCCCAGAAATCTTGCTGCTCGGAGCGGGATACGTCGCATGAATGGTATCGGGTAATAAATTAGAATTCCGAGGATATTGAAGAAGAGATGACAGAGAGCCAACTGGAGAGCAATATCCAGGGTTTTAGCGGGAGCTGCCAGGGCTGCCAGGACTCCTGTTGCCGTGGTACCAATATTGGAACCAAGGGTCAATGGAAACATTCTCTCCAACTCCAAACAACCAACTCCGACCAATGGTGTGAGTGCTGAGGTAAACACGGAACTACTTTGTACTAATATGGTCATGCCTGCTCCAACCAAGATGGCAACGTAACCGGTCAGGAAAGATAATCGGCCTGGAAAGTCGGCGTTGATGGTTTTCTTGCAGACTTCCGCAATTTCGTCTCGGAGAATGGAATGGAGGAGTTTTACAATGAGGATCAAACAGATGCTGAGTAACAGGAGTGAAAATACGAGTAGTATGATTCCCGTAATCGTATCACTCCACCCAATCTGACTGAACAGCGAATAACCTGCAAATACAATATTAAACATAGATTATGCAAGAGCTAAATCTGTCTATTGCAGGGCCCTTATTCACGAAAACTTAAACTAAGATACAATCGAAATTTTAAGAAATACTGCAATTCGATTGGCTGACCAGTAAAATCAATTTGCATATATCCAATTTGCATATTGGTCAGCCAATCGAATTGCAGTATTTCTTAAAATATTGATTGTATCTTCAGGCCTGAAATGTTTTATAAATTATTAATTAGGCATTAATTAACTTATCCAGGCCATAATCAACTGTCGATGGCATCGGATTTCTCTGATATTAAATAGATTAGAACAGTTCAGCCATATTTTGATTTAAGCTAAAAATGGAGGAACGAGACTTAGCTTCGAACAACCAGTACGGTAGTTGAAATTATTGCACACATCTTGTCAAACCTTCGAAGGCTAATATCTTCGCTCGGAATAGAGTAATTTGAATGAAATTTTCAAATTATTCACTTTACATTATCTATTTTACGAACTATCATAGCAAGAATGGCTAGCTCTTTATCTAAATCTTACATAATGTATCTTTAAATATATTTATTACTTTGTCTTAATCTTTCAAATGATCAGTGATAGGGAGTTGCTTTTGGCAAATACTGTCTGGGGGTTGCTGATGGCAAACAGTTTGCAACAGGAGGCTGCTATTAGTGACCAGTGAAAGCAGGCTAATTATGGTAACCACTGATGCGGGGCAGCTGATGGCAACCAGAGATAGTGGGTCATTTTTATTTCTATAATTCGCTTTAGTTGTTCAGGAAACTGGAGGACCAGGAGAAAACGCATGGGGCTTGTCAAGTAAAATCATGCCACTTAAATCAATAACAGATCTTATGATCTAAAGATCAGGGTTGTGTCCAATAAATAGTAAACATGTGTACACTTACATTTTTCAACTGGTTCTTTTACATAAGTGATGCCCTCTGTTGTTGCATTGACTATAGATTCTGTTGTCTGGATGGTAGAGGTTACAGCTGAAGCCTGGATAGTGGAGGCTACAGTACTTGTCATGGTTTCATTAACAGGAACTTTGACATATTTGCAGTATACCTGAATTATAAAGGGGGATGGATATTAAAGATTTAATAGTTTATAAAATCTGAAACTAGGGAAACCTTAAACTAGGGAAACATTGATAGTTTATAAAATCTGAAACTAGGGAAACTTTGATAGTTAGATATGATAAATACTTTCATGCCAATGAGTAAGTACTGGCTGACAGTGATCCTCCAAATTGTTCAGCATGGTTTATCTTTGTCAATGGTGTAGGACAGAAGGCTGTCTGGCAAGGAACAGCAACTAGCCATTCGGATGGGACTAAAAACTGAGGTCCCATGAACACATTGGTGTGCATATAAAAGAAGCCTTGACAGTGGGAATTCAACAAAGCGTTGTGGACACGCCACTACCTGGACCAAATTCCCCCTATAGCACAATGATTAAAATCATAATTTCCCTTCTGTATCTACAAAACTATTATTAATTACCTTTAAAATAGTTCTATCCTTGGCATCAACATTTCCTGCTATATCAGCTATAACACTTTTATCAATCTGAAATTATTACAAACAATTGTATAAATTCTGCTGGTGAAGATTCATCGACCAAGACTTACTATCAGATGTCTTGGTGACCTAGACTATGCCAAACAGGTGAATTTAATTTCCTTGCATGTATTGGTGTATTTATTGCGCATGCTCTACAGATATAACTAGTGGAATATGTCTAACCTCGTTCTTCGAGTCCATTGTTACAAATGGCGCTGAAACCGCTTATGGTACTCGATTTGTGTACCAATGGTAAAATGTCTATTTTGTCTGAAATATTGGATATCAGAAGCCCATCTTTTCCCAGTAAGATTACAACATCAATGCCGATTTAAATTGACAAATAATTCATGTTTTCAATGTCAAAGACTTTGGGTGATATTGAGTTAAAGACTTAGCTACTTTAATGTACAACCTGTCGTGTGTTTTAGACTCTACCATTTTTTAATATAGAGTCTGTTGAGCAGAAACAAATAGACATTTGACACTGTTTGACTCATATGACATGCTTGTATCTAGGTTACGGCAATACTATCACACAAGTATTTGGAGCTCAAACACCGATATTTGTCCAAAATTTGGGGATAAAATTCGCTGCCATTTCTCGTATTGGATATTTAACCTGTGTAGCATGTATTTTGCTCACTGAGCAGGTTTCTTGTCAAATAAAAGATAAAAAAGAGAAAAGAAGAGAGTGTTTGATGTTAGAGTCACGTTTAATCTCAATCAAACAAAAGTCCAGACATTTCTATTTGTTTTTCGTCTCAGGAAATTTTTACCGCGATTACAGGAAGGCAACTGTGTATCTTTATTTTGTTTGTTTTATCATTTATTTTGTTTCTAGGTCAACTTGTAATAAGGTCAATCTGTCTGGTGGCCCAGTTGATCATCTGAAGCCTTGAAATATCAAATAAAACAAATATGGCCTCTGCGAACCCGGCCTAGTCTTTTAAACACAGATATCTGGGAATTTAGCTACTTAAAGGAGCTAAATCGCTAATATTTGGGAGCTAGAAATTGACAAAAGTGGGTCGCAATGCATATAATACTGTAATATGAATGTATATAAACTGATTTTCATTCAATGGTTTCCGTTTTTACTCCAATTTCAAATCAGTTATGGTTCGGCGAAAAAAGCCAGCAGTCTCAAGCGACTGCAAATTTCTAGCGTCTGGCTATTCCAGTCTACATACGCCGTTTGATTTGGTGCAATGTGTCTAGCCTCGTCCCTCGACTCTCTTGATACAAATGGGGCTGTAGCGCATTATGGTACACGATTCGTGTACCAATGGTAAAAATGTTTATTTTGTCTTAAATATTGGATATCAAAAGCCCATCTTTTTCCGGTAAGATCACAACATGAATGTTGATTTAATTTGACAAATAAATCGTGTTTTCAATGTTGAAGATTTTGGATGATAATGAGTTAGAAACTTAGCTACTTTAAATTCACATGGTTTCAAAGGGAGACTTAATTGTTTTCTTGGTGAGAGGTGGTTTGGGGAGACCCCCTGTTAGAGACTGTTACTTGATTCAGCCTTGCCTTTTGTTCTAAATTAAGGACCGTGCCTGAAAGCTTATTTAGAATTTTGATTTTCTTAATGTCATGGTTCTGTAATTCTTTGGAGTTATATCCATGGTAGTAGTTTTTAAGTATACAATTCGGGGCAAGGGGTTGGTGTATGGCATGGAGTGAGGTAAAAGAGTTGTTTTTTTCCTGCATAAAATAAGGTGAGCTATAAACAAAGCTAGACCGGGTCCCCGATCACCAATCAGAGAGCTAATAGTTGAAAATAAATCAGTCTACTAACCTGAACAACTAACTGGGTTAATGGTTTCGTGATGGTTTTTAACAAATCTTTCTTTCCACCTTTCAAACTATCAAAATCCCAAATCGATACAATCTTCTTCGTCAATTCATACAGACAACCTGGTAAAATAAAATAATTAATAATAGAACCTTACCATCGCAATACAGGGCCAGAATATGGCATGGGCTTTAGGGGCCGCCTACTCTTATATCGAATTCCAACTGCCAAGGGCTCTTTTACGTGTTCACCAATGTATACACAGGACCTCGATTTTTCATACCATAGAACAACTAGACAGCTGTCCTTGTCAGGCCATCCGTCCTGCACCACTGACAAGGAGAAACCATGTCGGAAAATCCTGATGAACTTTCTCAGCCAATCAGGGATCAAACATGCGACCTCCGGGATAACGAGCCAGCGTCTTACCTACTTAGCCACCGTGGCTTCCAATTTCAGTCAAATATGTCAGTCTGGACTGATTGGCAGTCAAAATAACTGAACATGTACATGTCATTTTACGTGCCATAAAATTATAATTTCAAAGAATTTAATCTTAAAACATCATACATTATATCCTAAATAAGAAACAATATGGATGCTAGAGTTAGGAGAGAGAGAGAGAGAAATGGGGTTTAACGTCCACTCGACACAAACTAGGTCATTTCGGGACTAACATATGGTTTAATTTTATTTACATAATTCGCTTGCGCGTAGGGGTCTTTAGCAGTGGGAGGAAACCGGAGGCCCCGGAGAAAACCCACGAGGTTGGACAGGTGACCCTACTCCTTGCCACGTACAACCGGGGATTCGAAACCACGCCAGTCGACTCAACGACAGACTTTATGATACAGCGCGCACGCTAACCATTCAGCCATCCAACCCCCCACTAGAGTTAGGAAGTCGATAATATATGGTAATAATTTGTTATAATATTTACCTGTGGCAACTTCAAGAGGTAGAAGAACTAAAACAGTTAACCAATTAAACACATCATGAACTGTTGCTCCGGCAAATGCTCTCTTAAACTCCGCCTTCTGTCCCGAATGAGCCAATGAAACGATGGTATTGGTTACCGTGGTACCGATGTTGGCACCCATGATAATTGGTATACCTGGTCGTACATCGATAACTAGACAGGAAGAAATACAATCATTAATTTTTATAAAACGAAACAGTTTAATTCAAACCTGAGATCGTAGAAGTCATTATTTTCATATTTCGGAAAATATCAAAGTTTCTATGACTTATCCACACGAAAATGTGATCAAATTGATTATTTAACCTTTAATTAAGAAAACAAAATCAAAATATTAATGATACATGTATATGGTCTTGTATGTTTGTTTAACTAATTTTCATTTCATCATTTCAGGACTAATATTCCTTTAAGAGATTCAACTTTCACTAAAATGGTAGTTTGTAAGGAAATCAACATCGCTCAAATTACATCAGACATTTTAAGTGTCCAATTATAAAGGTCAGCAAAACTTTTAATTTGGATTTCACAAACAAGTTTTAATAAGCTTAACTTAGATCAAGGACCATAACTCTGAATCATTTAATTGTGATTCCACATTTTCTTTGCTTAACTTGAAAAATTATAAACTAATTAACTGGATTTATTTTTAAAATATCACTAATGATGTCAAAAGAATCTTAAGAATTTTAATCTGGATAATGATAAAAAGAATCTGGATAAACCAGCCTGTAGACACTTACTTCCAGCTGATACCATGGTGATTATGATTGATGTTGATGTAGAAGAGGACTGTAATAACACGGTTGCTAGGACACCAATCATTAATCCACTAATCGGGTTCATCAACAATTTGCTGTCCGCAAAAACATTTCCTGAAAAAAAAGATGAAGAGATATTTGTATGAAGTAAATTGAGTTAATATATACATCGATTTATGCATTTCTCTGTTTTACGGAAGCCAGTGAGGATTTTTCATATCAATGATTTATTTTATAATCAATACCAGTACAATATTACTAGAGAGAGAGAGAGAGAGAAATGAAAATGGAATTTAAGAAGACTGGGCTTATGAGGGAAATTTTGCCAGGGCAGCGGCACTATTGCCTACTCTTATATCGAATTCCAACTGCCAGGGGATCTTTTATGTGCATTCCAATATACACACGGGACCTCGGTTTTTCGTATCATCCTAAGAACTAGACAGCTGTCCTTGTTAGGCCCTACGTCTGCATCACTGACAGGGGAAACCACGCCGGAAAATCTGGATGAACTTTCTCGGCCAATGCAGGGATCGAACACCTGACCTCCAGGTTAGCGAGCCAGCATCTTACCCACTTAGCCACATGATCCCCCTTACCATAGAGAGAGACAGAGACAGAGAGAGAGATGACATGGAGTTTAAGAAGACTGGGCTAATGAAGATGGGCATACGCCATGCAGTGTGCTATGAGGGAAATTTTTACCCGGGCAGTGGCACTATGGCCTACTCTTATATCGAATTCCAACTGCCAAGGAATCTTTTACGTGCAAGCCAATGCATACACAGGACCTCGGTTTTTCGTCTCATCCAAATGAGAGTGAGAGAGAGAGATAGAGAGTGTCCACTTAACACAAACTAGGCCATTTCGGGCATGCTTAGGGGTCTTTAGCAGTGAGGTAGGAAACTGGAGGACCAGGAGAAAACCAGTGAGAGATTAACATATGGTTCAATTTTATTTCATAATTCGCTTGCGCGTAGGGGTCTTTAGTAGTGAATGGAAAATGGAATACACGGAGAAAACCCAAAAGGTTGGAAAAAAGAAAAAGAACTTGAGTCTTATAGAATAACAGGTCTTTTGTTCGTTAAAGAAATAAAAATATTTTCATGATAACACCTGTAAGTAATTAATGTCGAGACTCGAGATCCCCTGTCAGTCAACATCCCGATAAATCTTAAAACAGAAGTTTAAATGTCATAACTTATGATTAATAAAACGGTAGTTACAACAGGATATATTAAATTTAGATCTTAATGAAGCTGTCAAATCTTATAACATTATCTATAAATACGTTAGGAGGGTTGGGTGACTGTGTGTTATACCTTGTACACTTTTAATCATGGGATCTGTCATGAGTAAAGACAAATTTGTATTATACTGTCTAGGGGGTGGTCAGCAGGTCTAACAAGTGCGCTTTAGGTCATCGAGTCTGTCATTGAGTCAAGTTTTGAGGTTTCGACATTGTCTATGACAGATGCCATATTTACAGGCTTGCTGCACAGACAGTGTAAATAGTGTATAATATACACATATTATGTTTCTAACAGAGAGAGAGAGAGAGAGATGGGGTTTAACGTCCACTCGACACAGACTAGGTCATTTCGTGACTAACATATGGTTTAATTTTATTCCAATACTTCGCTTGCGTGTAGGGGTCTTTAGCAGTAGGAGGAAACCGGAAGACCCAGAGAAAACCCACGAGGTTGGACAGACAACCCTACTCCTTGTCACGTACAAATACAACCAGGGATTCGAAACCACGTCAGTTGACTCAATGACAGGCCTTATGATACAGCGCGCACATGCTAACCATTTGGCCATTCAACCCCCCAGTTTCTTACAGAGAGTGTGACATGTTTGCTGCTGTCTAAGGTACGCACAGTCTGCCTTCTACACAAGATTTTCATTATTCCCTAAAACATCTTACACACTAGAAAATACGGAAAATTAATTACAAATCTTTCTTTAAAAACTAGAAAATACGGAAAATTACAAATCTTTCTTTAAAAAAATATAAACAAACCTGCTGTTTTGCCGGCTACCAGTCGGAAGGCCGAGCTGAGAAAATCGAGCGAACAGATAAAAAAATATAATAGAACTAGGACAAGAATTATTTTGCCCAGTGTCTTTAATCTGGACAGACATCTTCCACGTCCTGAAATAAACAACACAAAACATATCAGCATGCTGGGCAAATAAACGATATAAAACACAATTATTAACTCTTTATACCAATTGAAGTATTTATACCATCAACTAATTAACTCTTTATATCAATTGATATATATTTATACCATCAACTATTTAACTCCATTCATCTTGGTTCGAACGATCCAAGTACGCGAGGCTTAATGTCTACTTCCACCTAGGGTCATATCGCAGACTATTTCATCATCATGATACGGATAATTCTGATGTCTAATCGATGTCTAGTGCAATATCTTTTAAAAGTATAAACTATAATTGGTTAGTTGTTGCTCAAGGATACAGGAACACCTAGCATCACTTAGCATCTATTTAAGTACTGATTATTCTTTACATTAATTTACTATTGTCTTCATTTTGTCTTTTGAATTATAGACATTTAGTCTTTTGTATTATGATCTTGATTTTGTCTTTTATACTTTTATGGATTTTTGTTTATACCAACTTAACCGGTCATTGTCCACTATAGTCACCACAACGTTATACAGCTAAGTGGTCACGGTCGACTAAAGTCGACCACAACAAGAACCTTTTTTATAAGCCGCATTTGAGTATTTAGTTTCGTATTTAATTGATATGGCCACGCATGCGTGTCAGACAGGAACTTGTCTAGTCAAGGGCATTGAGAAAAACATGTCTTTGTTCAACATTTTTTGACGAAAAACGTAATTTAACGATGTCGGGAACGATAAAGACGCTCGAAGTGGTTGAAATTCTTATGAAATATTCTGACTCGGATTATATCGATGACACCGATTCTGAAGACGATATTTCTGATGAAAAGAATTTAGAATGATTTGCAAATTATAGATCAACTTATCCCCTTCAACTTTTTTATTGGTGTCAAGGGTCTATCAGTTATAATTATTCGGCAATAGTCGATTGAAATAGGCATACAAAATATTTCACGTCAGCCTTTATTTAGCCTGACCACTTGACGTCATGACGTCAAAATGACATCGACCGGTTAAGGGTTAAGATTAAGGTCAACAAATATAAATACATTTAATTAATGAATAATTCCTATAGCTAATAATTTGTGGTGTGCTTTTGTATTTAATATTTAAGACAATTTATTTCTTTTTTTGGTTTTTTTTTTTAGATTATTGCATATATTGTTGGTCAGATTTAAAACAATTTGTATATACATGTATTGTCCGCCCATAGCTAGAGAGGGTGGGGGTGGGGGTGGGAGTTAGCTTGCCCGGGACACCTAACCACGCATTTTACATTGGACGCAATACAAAGCCAATGACAAATGTGCCCATATCAGTATGGGCGTCCCCTAAAGCTGAGTGACATTGGTTGGGCTGCCCCCCCCCCCACCCCAGCTAGCTACAGGCCTGATTAGTAGGTTTGATTTGAAATGATTTGTATTTATTGGGATGTTATTAGACAATTGTATTTATTGCGGGTCGGTCTGATTTAGAGTAAAATGAGTTTAGAAGAAAGTTCTACTGCTAGCAGATTATTAATAGAAGAACTATGAAGCCTAATGGTGTAACTATAGCAACCAGAGATCAATACATCCAAGAAACCAGACTAATACCCCTAGATATCGGAGTAGGTGATCTAACTAACAACTAGTAACAACCAGTATAAACTAGTCTATACCCACCATAAAACTATTCAAATTATATATGCATACCAATTACCGTTTTTTAATTGATTTATTTCTAAATAAGGCCACACCAATTAAATTTTCTATTCTTTGAGAACACCTGTAAAAATTATCCTCAGTCCCGTAACTAGGGGGGATGCAGTTTGGCCCCCGTGAAAAAAGAATTGTCGACCATAAAATTGTTTGACCATAAAAACAATAGATATACATTGTCTATCAATTTTACAGCACCCCTGAGAAAACTTCCCACCCCCTCATTGCTCTGAGCTAGTTATTGCCCTGATTATCCTTGGGGAAAAAGATTTATTTAAACCAACACCAAAAGTACTTGGTTGTGTCATTAAAAAGCTTTTTATTTCTAATTTTTAAGTTTTGAAATTCTAAAGCTGCAATTTCATATTTTTAAGTTATATTTTTAAAATTTATTGAAATAAAGCCTTAAAGTAGATGGTATCCATAAATCGTCCTACCTTGTTAAAGAATAATCCTATTAATCCTACAATTCACTATTGCCAGCTGAGAAATTGGCAAAAATATCATTTTCAACTTCAAATTCCAACGTTTGAAGTTAGCTAATGCATGGAAGGCAACAGGAAAACAAGGGAGGTAATTGTGTTATTTCCTGTGTCAATGATTTTTAAGGGTGGGAAAGCTAGTGAGTTGATAACCTATTGAGCAAAAGACAGAAATAATTATGTTTTGACTTTCTTAGAAAATATGAAATTCTCGCTTTAAACTAAACATCTCAACACCTGATTCAAGAGGCTATTTATTTACCAAGACCCCGATGAACATAAAATCAATTTGGTGTGGCCTAAGAACTTTGTCTTGTGTGTAATTATGCAGTCATGGACCATAAATTCTTTACACCTTCCCAGATTTAAAGACATCCTAGAGTGGAACAATGTTTATTTTATTATTATCATACACATTAGACATATTGTTTAGATTTATTTTTAAACTTATAAATGAGAATGAGCAGGATGACGACAGTATTAGATTTATCAAGGATATCCTAGAGATTGTGTAAAACTGGTTGGCCTATTGTATAACAGCCTACATGCTGTCCCATCCCATTTATCTTCCAAGATAATTTACATAACTTTAGTTAAATATACATAATATCAATCTGTTTCACAGAGGAATTTCAAAAGCCTTCTTATAACTCTGTATAAGATGATGATCATTGCCTCGATAATGCGTGCATTGTTTACATAAGATGTTGTTTTGTTAAATCGTTGAAGAAGAATGGTACCATTTGCTCATTTTATATACCCATCTACACTAAATAAGAAATATTTCTTTATCTAGATATACTTCAAACACCTTTATTTATTTTTCTAATGCTTCAAAAAAATGTTAGAGAATTTAATTTGCAGATGGAAAAAAGTTAATATTGCGGGCTCATTAAGCCCCACCCATGTCATCCCTCTCAGTGATTGTAGAGGCCTAGTGACTATTCACTGCTGATCAGTGTGATATTATATAGGCGCCAAATCTGCCTATTGCAGGTCTTTATTTTGGATTCAAATGTTATATAAATCATTATTTAGACATTTATTAACATGACAGACCCATAATTAACTTTCTAGATCATATGATGACAGAGATTCAAATGGATATTTAAAAATGTGAGATTTAAAAATTTATAATCAAAACTTTAAAGTCCACACAATTTTTATTTTTATGTTTTCAAGTAGTCCTGACTAACTCGATATCAAAATGAGGAAAATATCTTAAGATAATTTACGATTATACATGTATTTGCTCATCCAAATACTTCCTGTATTTGACATAACGATAAATTGTTGTATTATTATATTAATAAAATTTTTGGGTTGAAAAACTACAAACTTCCTTTCTATAACCTAACTATTAAAATAAATATTTTATCCTCTTGTTATACAGTGTACATGTATCTCCTAGCCTGACAATAAGGCACCGGTACCTGTCACTGTCAATGGCAGGCATAAATTCAAGCATTGTCTGACAAAATCTGTCTGTTGCCTGTCATTTTGTCCAGAACAAATTGTCTTTCTTATATGACTTTATTGATATTTAAAGTTACAATTTCATATTCTTAAGTTATATTTTTAAAATGTATTAAAATAAAGCCCTAAAATATATGGTATCTATAAACAGTCCTACCTTGTTAAAGTATAATCCTATTAATCCTATAATTCATTATTGCCAGTTGAGAAATTGGCAAAAATATCATTTTCAAATTCAAACGTTTGAAGATAGCTATTCTATGGTGGGGAATAGGAAACCAAGGGAGGTAATTGTGTTATTATTTCCGGTATGAAGATTTTTAAGTGTGAGAAAGATAACCTATGATCGTATAATAGTGAGTTGACAACCTATTGAGCAAAAGACATAGAAATAATTATGTTTTGACTTTCTTAAAAAAATATGAAATTGTAACTTTAATATGTCCTATACAAACTTAAACATATCAGATACAACTTCAGTAAATGAAATGGGTTTTAACATCCTACAGTTCTGCCCGACTGGGCTAATTTTGCCCAGACAGTGACCCTATGGACTACTCTTATATAGAATTCGAACTGCCCAGGTCTTTTATGAGCACGCCAATGTGTATGCAAGAAAACTCAGTTTTTCATGCCATCCAAATGACTAGACATCGTCCTTTGCCAGGCCCGACGTCACTGACACAGGGGAACCTCACTGAAATATCCCGATTAAATCAACTTCCGCAAAGCTTGACATTTTATCAGGTACAACTAAAATCATTCTTTCAGGTGCATTTATCTCTTATTTAAAAAGCTATCAAAAACTCTAAGGATCGTCTATATGATAACCAAGACTACTAACTAGGTAATCTGGTCTTTTAGTCAAGGTGTAATTAAGAGGGGATTATATCAATGTACTGATATATAGACCAAGTACAGTGTCATGACATATGACATGCTGAGTAATGACTGTCGACTTATAGCCTCAAGGTTGTATCATCATCCTCTAGTCGTATCCCTTCTCTTTACTACCAACTTCGTTAATGTCTTACAAAACAAATATAGATGGTGCACTTGATTGATGGGTTGAAATTGTCACTTATCTATCATTTTCGAATTTAAAGATACATTATGTAAGATTTAGACACAGAACTAGCCATTCTTGCTATAATAGTTCAAAAATAGATATTGTAAAATGAATAATTTAAAAATTTCATTCAGATTACTCTATTGCGAGTAAAGATATAAGCCTTTGAAGGTTTGACAGACATGTGCAATAATTTCAACCACCGTACTGGTTGATCGAAGCTAATATTTGATTAAATCAAAGTATCGCTGAACCATTCTAATCTATTTAATATCGGAGAAATCTGATGTCAATGAGAGTTGATTAAGGCCTGGATCAGTTAATTAATGTCTAATTAATACTTTAGAAAACATTTCAGGTCTAAAGAAAGATCTGCAATAGGCAGATTTAGCTCTTACATAATGTATGTTTAAGGAGTTTTTTTTAAGTAGTTTAACGTTTGGTTAATTTTGTACCTTGCCATGTCCCATCTCAAATTTAGTAAATTAGTCAAGTTCTCTAATTTGCTAAAAAGAATTTGAGCAAAATAATTCAAGCAAAATGATTTACACACAGAAATTCGGTAGTTTCCAAGATTTTAGAAATGATTTCTTTTTTCAAATAATTTTTGAAAAGACTTCAAAATAATTCAAGCAAAATGATTCACACACATAAATTCTCTAGTTTCCAAGACTTTAGAAATGATTTCTTTTTAAAAAAAAATAATTTGGAACATTTTTAACAAAATAATTCAAGTAAAATTTACACACATAAATAATCTACTTTTTTAAGATTTAAAGAAATGATTTCTTTTTTTTTTTAAGATTTTTTAAAAGACTGAATGAAATAACTGAAGTGAAATGGTTTACAAATGTAAATTTTGATACATTTCTACACACCTTATACAACCTTGTTTAGACATGAATTCAATACACAAGAACGAGTTTTTACATGTGGATTAACCTTAAACATGTTATGTGTGTGTTGGAGTTTTGAGGAGAAAAATTATTCTCAATACTAGTCCATTGTATAGAGAGGATTAATATTATAATATTGTATCATTATTCACTGCTATTACATAAAAAAAATACCAGGCCCTGGGTTAACAAAGCATTCTCAGACATAAGTTACGAATTTACTCAAAATTATTTGCCTTATTTTGTCTAAAATATAAAACTTTTGTTGTTGTAATGTATCAAATACATCAATAAGAAACTATGTGTAAAGATTTGTGTTTTTAGATCAAAGATGTTTCTCCTAAACAGTGATTGAAAGTTGAGTAAATTCTTAATTAATTTAAGTCTGAGAATGCTTTGTGGACTCTGGGCCAGGTTCTGCTTTTAGACATACAAGTAACCTTCTCTTTCTTCTCTTACAAACTCCTATTTTCTTTAATTTTTAAGCTAATAATTACAAGTATTACATAGATGATGGTATTGATGTTAATCTTATACCAGTATTTGACTGCAGATTTCTCTCTCTGCGCATTTCAGACTAATATTTTAATTATTCAGTTGTTTATTACAATATTTGTATAATCATTGAGAGAGAAGTCGGGTTTAACATCCACTCAACACAAATTAGGCCATTTTGGGATTAACACATGGTTCAATTTTATTTCAATAATTTGCTTGTGGGTGTACAGCTCTTTAGCCATGGGAGCAAATCGCAGGACCCAGATAAAACATGAGATTAGATAGGCGGAGGGAATCGACTCAATGACATACCTGATGATCTAACGTGCAAATGTTAAGTTATCCAGTCACCCAACCCCCCTTGTACATGTATAATTAATCACACATGAAGATATAGATCATGTTAATCTAGAACCGGTATTTGACTGACTTCTTTCTCTATGATAATAACAGAAATCTATCACAGTTAGTAGTAGTAGGTTATGACGCAGTAGAGAATGTGGAGTAGAACAGTCAGTAACCTGTTCATTCATTCAACACAACTGTCGGTACTAATCTACCACATGCTATTATATACCTTGGTATATTGTCCTACCACGTGGTTTATTTCAAGCAAAGAGTTTCACTCAGGGCATTGATAGCAGATCAATTTTTTACATATTAGCAAGGATTTCTTTCAAAGAACATGATAATTTTTAGAACTATCCCAATTTTTAAATAAATACAAACTATACATTTAACTATGTTAAAGGAGCATTATTGGAGCTTAGATAAAGAGCTGGCAGTTCTCATTATAACAGTTGAAAAACAAAATAATGTAATGGGAATATGCTGAAAATTTCAGTCAAATTGCGAATGAATTTTAGGCCTGACCTAAGTCTCGATTATCCATTTTTAGATTAAATCATCAATCAGCGATGAACAGCAAATCAGATTCAAATCCAGTGAAAATCTGACACATAAGATGGCATTAAGAGTTGACTGAGGTGTTTTCATGATAATTAATGTCTAAGGCTGACCTTAAAAATATCTTTGTTTCACCAAACCCGACCCACAATCGAGGAGAAGGGTCGGTAGGTCGGGTTTTTTTTCTGATTTTTTTTTTTAAGAGCTAATTTGACAGCTTGATAATTTTCCGGGTGCAAACATTCGTCTTCTTTTATTGGCAAACAAATCAATGACATCGGGATTTTTCTTGATGCACGACTCGCACACAAATTGCGACAAACTCACGTTTGAAACTCCCTCAACACGTTTTTAACGATCGTGCGGGTTGTGCCTTTATTTTTCTCGAAAACGGATATTGAAAATATCGTCGTCATGTTTAAAACGACGCCCCACAGACATAGAGGCAGAATCATTTCGTGGGAATGGACGTGCTTTCGTCTGCAACCATTTTGTTGAGAAGCGACACCTATGACGCTTTCGTCTTGATCAACCAGTTTCAATAATGAATCAAACCATAGCCATAGTAAAGGGAAATAACTCTCGTGATATATTTCAGGTTGACACACAAAATAAAATAAAAAGATCGCGGAAAAGTGCAATAAAATAATTTAAGTCGGGGGTGGTTTTAGTTAGTCGGTCGCGTTAGGCGAAACAAAGATATTTTTAAGGTCAGCCTAATTAATAGTTTATATAACATTTCGGGCCCAATGAAAGACCTGCAATAGGAAGATTTAGCTCTTGCATAATGTTTGTTTAAGTGTATTTTATTGTTATATTTTTTCAAATTCTTATGTTACAACATGTAATTTGGCCGACAGGTAAATTCTCTGGATGGTCAATTTCAATGACAGTCAACTCTGTCTTTACCTTTATATCACTAGAAATTGTAAGAAAATGATATGAGATTCAAATTTCTAGAAGCTTTCTCTATTATATGTACTCAAGAATTACATACGGCTCACCAAAATGACCAAAATGCAGGTATTGTTTAAGTCTCAAGCATGACATACGGCTCACCAAAATGACCAAAATGCAGGTATTGTTTAAAGTGAAGGTTACAGATATTAGCAAGGACCAGTTTATTGTTTCTGTAATCTGATATTCATGTAGTTGAATATCTACAAAGACCAGTGAAACATGATATATTTTGAAGTATATTAACCCCTTTATACTCCCTGTATCCACTGGGAAAATATACCAATTATTACTACAATATATTCATTGTTTCTACTAATATAACTATCAATGGGTTATACTATTCCAGTATCCTTTAACATATTCCCATCTAAATATACAATGTATATTGTTTTACTATGATACAGCTATATTGACAGGAAACCATGACACAGCTCAAAAATTAACAAGGGCCACACACGCATCCCTTTTTGGGAATGGGCTACAATGATTATTAAATTGATCATAGGCCTGCTGTAATTGCCTAAGACATTTAATAGAGTGTATAAATAATGCATGTGATATCGTTCAGGTATATCATTTTGTACCATATGAATAACTCGTGTATATTAGTGTGTATTATATGTATTTGAGTGTGCATTATATGTATAAATCATGCATATTAGTGTGTATTAGATGTATAACTTACAGATATTATTGTACATGTACATTATATATATAATTCATGTATATGAATGTGCATTTATATGTATAACTCATGTCTATTAGTATGTATTAGATGTATAACTCAGGTATATAAGTGTATATCTATATGTAGACCTACAGACCACATATATCAGGTGTGAAATATATGTAAAATGCAGGTGAATACATGTAAGTGTGTAATATAAGTATAATGAATATACATAAGTTTATATAATCCATGTATATCACACTAAACAATCAGTACATTATGATATACATGAAGTCATTATAATCATATATCACATACATGTAGATATAATATATACTATATTACCCTTTATACACCATAAACACTTATCTTTATTACTATGGTAACAACCATTTTATTATTTTAGAACACTTTCAACTTTTCATTTAAATTAAGATGTGTCATAGATTTGGGAATATCATTTAATTACTACTTTTAATTTGTTTTAAATAAACCCATCCATCAATCAACTTAAATTTAGAAGTAGAAAATTTATATTAAATTTCTTTTCATATTTGTCTATCTACTAGTGTATATAAATTTTATTATTCAATAAATATTTTCTATTTTAGTTTTATTTAATTCGATACTTAAGTACTGGGAAAGGTTAAGAGTTGTCTATATTGATCGTATTGAATAGTCCAGTTTGAACTGGAAGTACGCGCGTGTTGCAATTCTATTAACACAATGCAATGCCGCCCACTTCATAAAATCAAAAATATAAATTGTGCATAAATTTTCTGAATCAATAAAAAGACTTTTAAAATTATATCTTAATTTATATATTCCTAATGATTTGAAATAAATTTGATATCAAAATAAAAAGCGCAATTGACGATCAGACGATGAATAAATAGGAAGCAGATGTTCCCGAACGTTATAGGAAGTGCGCGCGTGGCGATTCGAATCGTGGCAGACGATAACAACCTGAAAGAGAACCTGTTAGTAAAATCACAAAGAATTTAACAAAAATTTCACGAAAAAAATTAACAAAATAAACACACATATTATGAAATTACGCACCACAACAAGTCACACCTCCGGATTCAATAATGTAGCTGTCGTCTGCTTTAATATCGGACACCTCGGGGGATTTTGGCGCCACATTAACTTCCACGTCTGATAAACTGGAACCAAGAGAAGAAATCCCTTCGTCAGTTTCCTTCAAGAACCCGCTTTTCTCTTTCCCGTCCTGCTCCATTGGTTTAACACTAGCAGACAGTTTGGAATCCGAGACCGGCACCATGTGGCTGATGGCGGCGCCATTTTGTTCAACATTTCCATGTGTAGGAGAATCCTAAGAGAGGAAAAGGCAGAAAATCAGCCAAAAATCAACCCCATAATCGGGTTCTTTTTCTCTCTCACATCAATTAAAACAAATACCACTTACCTTTTCTTCCACAAATCCCTCGTCAATTCCCACATCTAAAATCTCAGTCGTAGATTTTTTTTCATCGTGAATAGCCGGTTTCGTCATTTCTATGGTAATACTCACTGGAGTAATACCAACCGACTTTCTGTCAATGGTAGTTCAGTTACTATTAGCCGTAGCTTTGCGATCACGCCGCTTTCTCAGTCTATGAGATAATAACCGGCCGATCCTCGTATCCGTACTAATACAGCCGCTCGATATCACTTGTGATCATACGCGTGATTGGCTAGACTAGATTTACCAGGGACTACACGTTATACCGGTATAAACGGACTGGTAAATCGTGATTGTAATTCATTGATAAATCTCTAGTTTACCTGAGAGCTGACTAGAAAACACAGACCATGGATTGTTTGTGATTGGTCCATTATACCAGTCACCTAATTTGCATGATAGTAAAGTGGTGACGTACATTTATTTACGCGGGGAAATTAATAATATTTAACCACCAGTGAAACCACTGGCTTGATATAAAAAAAAAGTACCAAGCCTGAACGAAAGTCCATTCTTTTTAAAAGTAAACTATTTCAAATCACCCTCTAACAACTATGATTAGATCGTAAAAAATGTAATGACAGTCTTTACTCATCTTGTCTCGGTTTATGAGAGAGAAAATGAAATGAAATGGGGGTTTAACGTCCTACTGTTCTGCTCCGACTGGGCTAATGAGGACGGGCATATACAGTGTGCTATGAGGAAAATTTTGACCGGGAAGCGGCCCTATGACCTACTGCAACTACCACGGGCTCTTTTACGTGCACGTCATTGTATATACGGGACCTCGGGTTTTCGTCCCATCCGAACGACTAGACATCTGTCCATGTTAGACCCTCCGCCCTGCACCACTGACAACGGGAAACCACGCCGGAAAATCCTGATGAACTTTCCCGGCCAATGCAGGGATCGAACACGCGACCTGCAGCCTAGTGAGCCAGCGTCTTACCCACTTAGCCAATGTGCCCCCTTAGGAGAGAAAGGGAGAGAAACTATATCATTTCGGGACTAACATATGGTTCAATTTTATTTCATAATTCACTTCCGCGTAGAGGTCTTTAGCAGTGGGAGAAAATCGGAGGACACAACACGCGAGGTTAAACAGGCGACCCTACTCCGTGTCACGTACAAGCGGGAAATTGAAACCACACCGCTTGACCCAATGGCAGACCTTATGATCCAACGCGCTCGCGTTAACCATTCGGCTACCCCCATACGTTATACTTTAATGCCAGGGGTTCCCCTCCAAAAATCTTAAATGAAAACGTTGGTCGAGTGGTCAAACGAATGCGATTTAGATCATAAGGCCCGCCATTGTTTCAAGTAGTGTGATCTGGATCACAAGCTTTTATGTGATAAAACGTATACATAAGGTCACCTGTCCAACCTCGTGGCTTTCCTACGAATTATTGAAGAAATATATTGCACCATATGTTTCACAAATGACATAGTGCGTGAGGTGCCCCTCTCCCCCCTCCCCTCTATCTCAATCAACAGTGGTTATATTGTGCAGAAAAATTTAAAAATAGTTTCCTTTTTTCTAAGCTCGTTGTGAATCACACATGAAGCAGTTACCAATCCTCTCACATATAAAAAAAAATTGATACAATCGATCCATTGTTATTGAAAAAATGTATCTGTTATTAACGACGGGTTTTATACTCCATTTCATTTATTACCGACGAGAATAAACCACGCGGCTCACTGATGTACGTGATGCGCCCGTGAGTAAGAGCTTGACTATTTGCAATATTTTTAGCCGTGATAATTCTTAGTCACGGCTACAATTGATACACTAGGTTCAATTGCAACATTTTTAACACATATCATCAAAGTTTGCATGAAAATAAGTAATTATGTTACAAATAGTGAAGACTGAAACAATGAAATCTTAACCTTATCTAACTCTTACGGAACAGTTTTTCTGTATTTTCGAGTGACATGAAATCACGGGATTCTGGTTCGGCGGCCATTTTAAAATGGACAGAAATTGCGCACAGCAGTTGGGTTTAATCAAATCATATAATTATGCGGTAAGGTTTCACCTTTATTTCAATGGGAACTAGTTTATTAAATTATATATATGCACAGTACAGTTTGGGGTCAGTGTAATTGGAAATTAAGGGAGTTATAGGCCATTAACTTTTTTGTAGTCAAATGACTACAAAGCTTGCTCAAAGGAAGGCCTTAGGACGGTCCACTACTGTGGCTGGAGCAAGACGGAAGACATCATTAGTGGAACCATTTCTAGACGTTGACTCGCTCCTGTGGGTCCGGTGTTCGACGGTGGTGTTGGTCGAGAAAGTTCATAGCAGTTTTCTGGTGCGGTTCCCCATTTTATTTCATGTCTTTTCTGTTTATTCTCATAAGAGAACAAAACTCTTATCGTGTGGTGATATGGCTTTCTCTGTCGCAGTACCAGTCTTGTGGAACAAGCTATCTCAATAAGTGAAACAAGAAGAGACTATAATTGCTTATAAACCTATAACGGTAAATCCCTTAAATCCCTTTGATCTTTGGGGTATATTCTATGAACGGAATAACTCGCGATCTGAAAGTCGGGGCGACTTTGGATATATACAGGGGAATTTGGGGTTATTCTTCTGAAAGTTTTTCTTTAAACCTGTAACGGATTATTCTTCCAAGGTAGGTTTTTATTTTCCTTAGGAAAACATGATATCTTACTGGAATTCTGGGATATTCTCATTATACGTACATGTAAACACAGACGGTTTATAAGCAAGATAAAGTCCTCGACTTCGATTATGCTGGGGAAGAAAGACTTCAGAAAAAAAACCTCGACAGAAAAACCTCGGCCTGTTGGCCTCGGTTTTTCTTATTCTCGGATTATTTTCTTCAGTCTTTCTTTCTCCAGCATAACCTCAGTCTCATGCTTTATCCTACACAGGATTCAAAGAGAGACCCAAGACTCATCTCTTTACTTCAATACAACATCAATTTCTGTCACAGACAACTCAGTGCCATTGATCAGTTTACTGGATAATAGGCGCTATAAATACATTATATACATGTATAACTGGAAATTCAGATGCTTTGATCTTATAAACCTGTAACGGTAAATCTCTTTCATCTTTCCAGGTTTTTCTATGCCCGGAATAACTTGCAAAATTCGTTATTTTCCTTTTGTCAAAGTTCAATTTCGCAGGTGTCTCAAACAGTTTATAAGTCAGATAAAGCACCTGTCATTGGTTATGCTTCTCAGAGAGACCTCTTTCTTCGTCTCTTTCTTCGTCTCTTTCTTTCACCAGCATAACCCCAGGCTCGTTCTTTATCCATTACGTAGATTTACTTCTTTGTTAGCGTTTTCATGTGAAGGATGGGGGACGAATTGTTAACGCGTGCGCGTTCGATCTCAGGGTCTGTAATTAAGTCAAGTGGCGTGGTTTCGATCCGAAGGACCCGGAGAAAACCCACGAGGTTGGACAGGCGACCCTACTCCTTGTCACGTACAACCGGGGATTCGGAACCACGCCAGTTGACTCAATGACAGGCCTTATGATACATCGCGCATGTGCTAACCATTCGGCCATCCAACCCCCCCTTGGCGTATTAGCCCAGTTGGTGCCGAAAAGTACGACATGAATCCCGATTTCATATCATTGCATTTATATCTGTTGTGTTCTTTATCCAGTACAAATTTGTAAATGACGCACAAAGACTTTAAATATTAATTTGAATATTTTTCTTTTGGTAAGATCGTATTGTGCTTATGGTTTAACTACAGCCAAGCTTCAAAGTTTTAATTTCTGTTTCTACAATTTGCCTTTTCCCGAAAATTGCAAAAGACGCATTATTCGGATATTTTTCTTTTCGTAAGATCGTATTGGGCTTATGGTTTAACCACAGCGAAGCTTTTAAATTTCAATTTTTGTTTTTAAAAGTACATTTGACTAAACCTTAAAAATTTGGCTTTTGCAAATGACACATTGGGACATTAAATATGGTTAGGGTTTAACAACAGCAAAACTTTTAAAGTTTTAATTTCTGTTTTTAAATTTAAAATGTCATACCGTGCTATTATGGTTGAACTACAGTGAAGCATTCAAATTTAATTTCTGTTTTTATAAGTAATCTGTCTTACCGTTTGTTTCATATGAGAAGAGCCTATAATAACAAAAACTTAGTACAACTATATATCAATGCCAATGGATGTAATGTGTAAACGCTACTTATATGTATACTAAATCGTATCACAGTCGGCTGTAAACTGTAGAAACGTTATGTATGCAGTAAATCGTATCATAGTCGGCTGTAAACTGTAGAAATCAGCAATTAATTATGCACTTGACTTAATTTGACAATGGTAAATAACTGACATCATATTATTATGTCTATTACAGTGACTGGACAAGACCGAATATAACAAGTTTGGGTTATCGTCATTGGGTAATAATGACATCATGCGACTAAAAATAGAACAGACGTGACTGTCGGTGACATCAATATTATTGACCTGTGAGTGAAACACAACAGTGTGCGTGATTGGTCCATTCTCACATCACTATGTATTTTTATTTCAACCATACAAATCGACATTAGGCCTACCCTTTTTCCTAAAACAATAATGTCATCAAAACTAACCGTTAAATCTAAAACACGGCTAGATATATTTGGCAAGGCCAAAATAATGCAAAATTACGAGATGTAAACAGGGCTAGCGCTAAGGCTAACACTAATGCCAACTCAAGACCTATCCCTACGCCTTACCCTAACCCTGACCCACAATCACGTGTCCTAACCCTGTTTACATCTCGTGACCTTGAGGAAATATGCATTTGGCCTTGTCAAATTGATCTGAACATAAAACACCCGGATGAGTGCGGCTAAGAAAGGAATTACACGGTCCTTTGGCTAAATACTGTGCCATCATCAATCCAGAAATCTGTAAGAGAGAGAGAGATAGAGAGAGAGAGAAATGAGGTTTAACGTCCATTCGACACAGACTAGGTCATTTCGGGACTAACATAATATGGTTTAATTTTATTTCAATAATTCGCTTGCGCGTAGTGGTCTTTAGCAGTGGAGGAAACCGGAGGATCCGGAGAAAACCCACGAGGTTGGACAGCCAACCCCACTCCTTAATTGTCACGTACAACCGGGGATTCGAAACCACGCCAGTTGACTCAATGACAGGCCTTATGATAGAGCGCGCACGTGCTAAGCATTCGGCCATCCAACAGCCCGAAATCTGTGTAAAAACAAAAACTGGTAAAATGCTATGTATCTTCTTAAACGAATAAAAGGACAAAAAACTTTGTCGAACTAGAATGTAAAATAATTATTTTTTTTATAGGCCTAATACATTTATATAATGTATGGGGTTTTTTTTTCAGTCAAGGTTACATATTTTAAGACTTTAGGAAAAGAAATGAATAACTGTTTGGGTTTTATCTCGAACTTTCTTTTTTTCAGAAATATGTAAAATACATTTTAAGGCCCTCGGAAAAAATTAAAATAATAATGAATAAATATTTTGGGCCTAGAAATTGGCACAAATGGGTAGCAAAACATATAATAATGTAACATGAATTTATATAAACTGTTTTACAATCAATCGTTTCCGTTTTACTGTGAATTGTCATCAGTTATATTCGGCGAAATACGCCAGAAGTCTCAGCCGAAAGACAGTTTCTAGCGTCTGGTTATTCCAGTCAACACCGATAGTATATATTGCGCATGCTCTCCAAATAAGAATATGGCATCACCGTTTGACATGACTTGTGGAATATGTCTAGCCTCATTCTCTGAGCACCTTGTTACAAATGGCGCTAAAATGCATTATGGTACACGATTCGTGTACCAATGGTAAAATGTTTATTTTGTCTTAAATATTGGATATCAGAAGCCCATCTTTTCCAGGTAAGACCACAACAACAATGCTGATTTAAATTGCAAAAAAAATCGTGTTTTCAATGTCGAAGATTTTGGATGATATTGAGTTACGGACTTAGCTACTTTAATCTCGAGTTTTTGTTCAAGAATATATAAACTATTGAGGTCCTCGGGGAAAAAAAATAAAATAATAATGAATACATGTTTGGATTTAATCTCGATTTTGTTTTCAAAAATATATGAACTGCCATATTAAGACCCTCCAAAAAAAAATATTGAATAAATGTTTGGAATTAATCTCGATTTTTATTCAGAAATATATTTTAACTGCATATCAAGACCCTCGAAAAAAAAAATACTGAATACATATTTGGATGTAATCTTGATTTTTTTTCCTCCGGGAATAGGCGAACTATATATTATGTGTATAGAATTGATACATTATAATTGAAACATAATAGGAAACGATCTGTGTCACGTGCGTTACTAATATAAAGAGGAGTTAATTCATACGACCCAATAACCTCGTACCGGGTCAGTATGTCATACAACTAATACAGACTTAATTATTGTTCCGGGCTAATAATAATGGGTCGTAGCAGCGCTGACTGGAGCAAAAATTCCCTCCATAGCACAATGTATTGCGTATGCCTGTCTACATTAGCCCCTCTCTATCTCTCTCTCTCTCTCTCTCTCCAAAAATTGAACAATGTTCCTGATCAGGTGCTGATGGTTGGGTGGCCGTAAGGTTCGCGTGAACGTTGGATCAGAAGGCCTGTCATTGAGCCAAGTGGCGTGTTTCGATTCCCCGCTTGTCGTGGGTTTTCTCCGGGTCCTCTGGTTTCCTCCCACTACTAAAGATCCCTACGCGCAAGCGAATTCTTGAAATAAAATTGAGCCATGTTAGTTTCGAAATAACCTAGTTGGTGTCGCGTTCTACTAAACCCATTCCCCTCTCTCTCTCTCTGTTCGATCAGGCGCACAATCAACAAATTGAGCACGTGGTGGCGACACCAAACCACTGTCAAAGGTGACTGTGTGTGCCAAATATTCGTTCCGTACAATTGGTGAAATTTAGAATTTTGAATCTAATTATATACCGCTTTTGGGTGCACTGATGTGAACCCATTACCTGTATAATAAATAACTGGATAATCACATCTACTACAGTTGTCAAAAGTAGGTTATACTTTATGATATGCATCATATGGACACTCTCGAATGATATCAGGCGTATTTATCAACATATCATAGAGAGGTAAATATATAGTTAAATATGGAAAGTAGTCAACTTAAAAAAAAATATATATATATATCTGCTTCAATGTGTTACAACTGGGTTTTTCACCGATCCTATTCTTCATACACGTTAAATTTATCGGGACAGCAAACACCCATTGTTATGGTGGCTGATAGTGGCCATGTTAAATCTCGCCCTTTTCATAACGCGACAACACGACATCACGACAGTATTGACGCAATCATACGACACTTCATTCTGTCGTATCATCGTGTTATTTTTATCGTAACGTCGAGATGTCGACTTATTGTCCTAGTCTCTTTCTACAAGTCACAAAAATACAGCTGTACTCATTACATCATATATAGGCCTAAGTTGCAGATTTGATAAATATAAAAGAGATAGTAGGAAAACGTTGATTAATTATTTGTTTTCTCAAAATAATGAAACATTTTGTGCCCACAAGTGAATTATATTTGGTATTATATTAAAAAATCTAGAATTACAATAGCAGGACCAAAGTGAGTTAGCTAAGTTAATTCCTTGAAGAAAAAGTGGTGTCGGGAGGTATCGAACAAGTAAGCATTCATTGCCATGTGTACGACACCCACCAATATTTATAGATGACTGGAGCGATAGTTTAAAAGTGATATCAGAAGACAGGGTGGGAAGGTGATTGTAGAAAAACCAAATCGGGCCACATTCTTTAAAATCACAGCATTATTTTTATCATAGTGCAGCACGTCACCCCAATAGTTGCAGGAGTTTTTTTGAATGAGATGGAGAAAACGATTCGCAGCTTGTCATTGAGTCAACTGGCGTGGTTTCGAATCCCCGGTTGTACGTGACAAGGAGTAGGGTTGCCTGTCCAACCTAGTGGGTTTTCTCCGGGTCCTCCGGTTTCCTCCAACTGCTAAAGACCCCTAAAATTAAACCATGTTAGTCCCGAAATGACCTAGGTTGTGTCGAGTGGATGTTAAACCCCATCATTGGCTGCACTTTCATGAATAAGCAATCTCGGGCAATGAAATTAAGCACGTGGTACATAACTGAAAACGGCGACATTATTAAGTCTTTATATTGCATTAAAATATGACTTGTTGATTTAGAGTCAAATCGACTATTGGCATGATGTAAACATATCGATATAGTTTTTGTCGTTTAGAGGTGAACTTAATGCGTCGAGTCGACTTATTAAGTCGATTTTTTGTAATATAACTCATGAAGTTGACATATTTTAGTTCGATGTGTTGCGATATTATCTCAATAAGTAGTGACCCAAATACGCTTCCATATACAGACCCCTTTTTTCTACTTCCTTTATTCTTTTCTAGGAAATTGCGTCGTTATAATAACTGTTTAGACAAAAATGGCGATTTTATACAAGTGATATGAGATTGTTTGACAGTCAAATCAAACGTATAATGTAGACAAGGAAAGAGGATATAAAACTCATGTTTGTGATATATGGTTTATCAGTTCAATGAGTTTTTCAGTTATTTCGTGTCTTGGTAATATTCGGGGTCACCTCGAATTGGATAGCAGTTATATGTGCAGGTGCGATCTCATACCAATGAAAGTACCAAAATGGTGCCCACTCGATGCCCATGACGCCACCTCAGAGTTAGCAAGTACCGCCTGTTCTAAAAATAACTTATGTTTATTTATTACAACCGCCAAATGATTGGTATGTGAACGGAGAACACCCGAAAGTCATGGCTTTGAAGGCGTGTTTTGTGGCGCTTTGTGTTGCTACGCTGGTCCCCACCCTAGTGCCTAGTGCAGTGATTTGGGATTATGATTGTCTACCAACAGATTGTTCACAAGGTAAAAGGAATTATCCTGGAGATGAGAAATTTGTATGCAGCATCGGGCACCAAAACGAATGTGACATAGCAAAGTACATTAAAAACCCAGGGACAACAACAAATCTAAATTTTGCCAAACTCAGCCATGTTGAATTGTACTCTCGAACCCACGACAAGTTCAAGGGTCCATATCGAGCTTTAAATATATCATTCACACTCCCGAATTATGACAATCGTGCATTAGATGCAATTATGATATTGGCCCACTTTTGGAGTCCACCTGGAAGGCATATGGAAATCTTTTACAATAAAAACCCGAGGTGCCGCCTGTTTGATTTTTCTATTACTCAATTAAGTAAGGTGGATTTGCAACACCCAAGGGAGATAAATTATCCATGTCTGGTAGGATTAAGTGAAGTTTCGTCTCGACACATGTACACTATAAACCTGACCGTTGTTCCATTTGCAACGGTTACCAACTATTACGTTACGACTTACAGCTACGTTAACGACTACAAATGTATAACAGCGTCCGCCATTGCTGTTTTACAGAACACCATTCATGTCGTTTTTGACGCCTCCTCAGGAGCCAGTCACACGGTCCGACTTTATAAAAACAGCAATCCTATAGCATCGTTTAACACATCCAGTAATCAGTATGAATTCAGCGTTCACGATCCGGGTGAATATCAAGTAGGGATCAGACCTATCCCATACCAACGAACATGTCAAGAAATGTCGACGGAGTCGATTTCGTTTCCAGCGAAAGAGAAGAACTTGGATGGGGATTCTAGTGAAAATATCTCCAAAATTGTGTTTTCTGTGGTCGCCCTGATTTCTCTGTGTTTAATTACCGGGATAATACTTGTTATTCGAAAATTACATGTTATTAGAAAAAATTACCACAGAAAACGCGCCGAACGTTCTAACGATTATACTTGCCAGGCAATGATTCCTCTAGAACCAAATAGAACCGTCAGGCCACCGAAACAATCTGGTGAGGTTTTTCAGAGGATGACAAATGTTCTCGATGCAATGGCCCGTGAAAATTATTCAACATCCGATGAGGGAGACAGTGAGTCCGATATATTACCTAGAGGTTTTGATTTCATTCCGTACAATAATTGAAATTTAATCAAATAAAGTAATTCTAAAACATTGTTGATTGGATTAAATTTTATAGGAAATCTGACGAAGGTGACCGCATGTGCCATGGTGATTGGAGTGAAATTTATATGATGAGGGTGACCATGTGTGCCAAATATTCGTTCCGTACAATTGGTGAAATTTTCAGAAAAAACATTATATTTGTGTATCGTTTTGTTTGAGATATATTGGGCCTGACATTGAACAAAGTAACCATAGTTACCATAAATATGTCTACATCTGTCTCAAAATGTCAAACGCCTTCGCATTGTCATTGTTATTCTACATAACGTCTGGCACTGATACGAATTTGACATGTTGCCGTCTTACTGCCCTGGGGATCACGTGGCTAAGTGGGTAAGACGCTAGCTCGCTAGCCTGGAGGTCGGGTGTTCGATCCCTGCATTGGCCGAGAAAGTTCATCCAGATTTTCCGGCGTGGTTCTCCCTTGTCAGTGATGCAGGACGGAGGGGCTGACAAGGAAAGCTGTCTAGTCGTTCGGATGGGACGAAAAACCGAGGTCCCGTGTACAGGATTCCTTTACATTCACGCAAACGTATACACGCGTCCTCGGTTTTTGTCCCATACGAACGACTGGACACTTTCTCTTACCAATCTCCCATTCTTCACCACTGACAAGAGGAAAACACGCTGGAAAATGACGAGGAACTCATACTATGTATTATAATTGTGAGTGCCCCCTATAGAAGAACAATGTATTATAATTGTGAGTGCCCCCGATAGAAGAACAATGTATTTAAACTGTGGGTGACCCTAATAGAAGAACCACGCATTATAACTGTGGGTGGCCCGAATGGAAGAACAGTGTATTGTAATTGTGAGTAACCTTAATAGACAAGCAATGTGTCATAATTATGGATGACCCAAATAGAAGATCAATGTATTTTAACTGTGAGTGACCCTAATAGAAGAACAATGAATTGTAATTGTTTGTAGCATCGTATTAGAATTGTTAATGACCCTAATAGGAGAACAATGTGTTGTAATTTTGGGTAACCCTAATAGAGGAGCAATGGATTATAATTGTGAGTGACCCTAATGTAAGTACAATGTATTATAATTGTGGGCACTCCTAATAAAAGAACAATGTATTGGCGAACCTAATAGAAGAACAATGTATTATAATTGTTTGTCCTCCTATTAGAAGAACAAAGTCTTAACCCTGAAGGACTTACAGTGTATTATAATTTATTGTGAGGATCTTTAATATAAGAATGCATTTGTCTCGGCAATTAACTTATATCTGTTAAATAACACTTTAAGTTAAATTGACGTGTAAATTTCAGTCTGATTAAAACACAGATCCTATTTCGTTTCGTTTTTTTTATAGTTCAAAATTTCGTTTTACTTATCTTTACTAGTATCTGGAAGAGTTGTTATCATTGACGTGTTCTGGCTGATGTGAGGGATTAGCCAATGAAACGATCTGTTACGGCGTGCTTTTAACGTGAGCTACACGGAACTGTGGGTAATCCACTAGAAACATCAATGCTGATTGGTTAATCACATATCTGACGTCATAGGGTCAAAAGCGACCACCCAAAACAACTGGTCAGATCTTCATGTAGTGTAGGTCATCGAAAGTATAAAAACGGAACGAAATAAAGATCTGTATTTTAATCAGATTGTGTAAGTTTTAGTCCATTAAATAAATAAACCAATAAGATCACGTAGGCCTATATTTCAAAATGAGGAATAGCTAATTTGGTACGAATACAGTTTTTAGAAAGCCTTGCACACGAAATTAACCAGTTTGTTTTTCAATAAGAGATGTCCGAGACTGCTTCTTTCATTAGCATTTAACCTTATTTAACTTAAAAGTCCTAGACCGCACACTTTGAATAAATAGGCTAAATAGGCTATATCTTTATATTTTGGCGTTATGTTAAATCGAAGTCAAATGTTACTTTAACTTAAAGGAGCTAAATCTCAATTCTTTGGCAACTAGTAATGGACACAAATGGGCTGTAACGCATATATCAATGTAATATGAATGTATATAAACTTTAATTAAATGTCACTTCAATTAAATGTTACTTTTGATTAAATGTTACTTTTGATTAAATGTTACTTTAATTAAATGTTACTTTAAATTAAGTGTTATTTTAAGTAAAATGTAAGCATAAGTTACATCATTAAGTTACTTTAATTAAATGTTACTTTAATTAAATGTTACTTTAACTTACATGTTACTTTTAATTAAATGTTACTTTAATTAAATGTTACTTTAACTTATATGTTACTTTAACTTGAATGTTACTTCAATTAAATGTTACTTTAACTTGAGTGTTACTTTTAACTAAATGTTACTTTAATTAAATGTTACTTTAAATTAAATGTTACTTTAATTTAAATGTAAGTTAATTGTAAATATAATTTAATTTAAGTGTTATTTTAAGTAAAATGTAAGCATAAGTTACATCATAAATTAAATGCATTTGTAATTGATTTTAAATATTAAGTGAATAGTTTACGTATACAATAATTGTCAATATGAAATGAAAGCAACAATATTTCATAATATGAACTTATATTTTTTTATAACTTTAAAAAAAAAAAAAAATTCATGCTTTTGCTGTAAATAGAATCCCGGTTTTTAAACATATGAAACGATGAAAGTTTATGTTTTATTTTGTTTATATAATTTATATAATAAATATATATTTTATAAAATAAAATGTGACGTGTATTTGATGAATAAACATTCGTCTATTATCATAAACACAGTTGTCAGTTGGGTTTTTACTAATTAAAATTGGAGGCGGGGATGGGTGGCGTGCAAGTCATAGGTTCCATCTTGTGTTTAAATGTCACCAGGGGCTACAGTGAATAAGGTGCTGGCTCGCTAACCTGGAGGTCCCAGGCCCATAACTTGGGGGGGGGGACCTGCAAAATTTTCGCCCCCCACCTCCCTGTGAAAAAATTGTCGACCATACCCCCCCCCCCAGATAATACATTGTCCGTCAATTTTACAGCACAGCTGAGAACACGTAACGCCCCTCGTTGTTCTGAGCTAGTTACGGCCCTGGGAGGTCCGGTGTATGTTTCAGGCGTTGGCCAAGAAAATTCTATGGGATTTTCCCGCGCTATTTCCCCTTCTCGGTGGTGCAGGACGAAAGTCCTGCCAAGGAAAATAGTCGTCGAGTCGTTCGGCTGAGACAAACAATCAAAGTCCGTATACACAGTGTCCTGCACGAAAAAGAACCAGAGAGAGAGAGAGAGAGATGGGGTTTACCGTCCACTCGACACAAACTAGGTCATTTCGGGACTAACATATGGTTCAATTTTATTTCAATAATTCGCTTGCGCGTAGGGGTCTTTAGCAGTGTGAGGAAACCGGAGGACCCGGAGAAAACCCACGAGGTCGGACAGGCGACCCTACTCCTTGTCACGTACAACCGGGCAATCGAAACCCAGCCAGTTGACTCAATGACAGACCTTACGATACAGCGCGCACGTGCTAACCATTCGGCCATCCAGCCCCCCTAATGAAATTACAAAAGCCTACAGTATTATTTTAAGAAAGGTTTATAAATATTGATAGTTTATATAGCTGTCTAACTTTACAATTGTTCTATACAAATGTTTGTTTTCCTTATAAAAAGCTAGTTTCCTCAAAACCAAACGGGGAAAATAACGAGAAACTTCTAACGGACATCGATATTATAACGGTGATAAGTTTATGAATTGTTTCTATTTCTTCTTTCAATATTTCATTCGTTCAGTATTCATTCATTCAATTAAACATTTCTATTATTCTTATGTTTCTGTTAATCCCTCATTTTTCTTATGACAGACGGTTGACAGCTTCATTAACGAGTTTAATTACTATCGTATTGTTTTATTTTATTGCAATGTCTTTTATATTTTAATCTTTTCTCGTTAATTGTTATTTGTTATTAGTAATATTGGTGTATATTGTTAATTCATTAGATACCGATTTGTACATTTATATAGCATTCTAGGTTTCATCCCGTTTCCAGGACACAGTGGCGGCGCCAGCCGTCGGTGATTGGAGGGGCAAAGCTGGGGCAAAGTCCAAGGTTAAGTGGGCAAAGGCACGAGCTTCAACTAGGGGTAGGGGGCCTCCCCCAGAAAATTTTGAAAAACAAGTTGCCGGAAATGCAGACTGGCAGTATTTCAGGCACTGATCGATGAGGTGAAGTGTCAAACGAACTGACTTGCGAATCACGACGAAGCCCACTCACGAGGGTCAAAGTAGGGAGTCCTACTGCCGGAAATGCTGTCTGACAGTATTCTGTCAGGCACCGATCGTCGAGATAAATAGATCTGCCCAGATACCGTCCATCGCGTGATCACTAGTGTATCCGACTAGAGAACAAAATCTCAAACGAACAGACTTGAGAACCTCAACGAATTCCCCTTATGAGCGCCAAAGTAGCGAGTCCATTGGGGACCTCGCCAAGAAAACTTTGAAAAATAGACTGTCGGAAATGCTCTACAACATGCAAGTTTATGACGGAGTGGGGATGTGGGATTTATTCACCGTAGAAGGTATTGATTACCGAAACGTATCACAAATACTTTTTTTTATTTTCTAAAATTATTAGGGGGGGGGGGGCAAACAGAGGGCAGACCAGATTAATGGGGGGGGGGGAAGCCACCCCACCCCCCTTGCCACCCCCCCCCCCCTGGCGCCACCACTGCCAGGACAGTTACTCTGCTTGGCGGACGTGCTCTTCTCCGTGTACTATGTTTAAGGTTTTCAAGGATAGTTCAAGTCTTTAGTTATTACCGAAGATCAGCCCCCCCCCCCACCCGAGAACACTCCTCGCCACCATCAGTTGCTCTGAGCTAGTTACGGCCCTGCCGAAGATTCTCACTGCTATAATATCATGGTTTTATCAGCCAAAGCTTGAAACATTAAATCAAAATTCTTAATCTATGATAGTAAATGCAGGAGGACCGCACTACTCACGAAACAAAACAGATACGGCAATCCTCCGGACAAGACACACTACACAGACATTGCAAGAAATAAATAACAAATATCAAGTGCTGGGCCACGGTGGGAAAGGCGCTAGCTAATTCACTACATAGTTGGTCTCCCTACCATGTTCGATCCTGGGCCCTTATTCACGAAAACTTAAACTAAGATACAATCGAAATTTTAAGAAATACTGCAATTCGATTGGCTAACCAATATGCAAATTGGATATATGCAAATTGATTTTACTGGTCAGCAAATCGAATTGCAGTATTTCTTAAAATTTCGATTGTATCTTAGTTTAAGTTTTCGTGAATCCGGGCCCAGGCCTTGACCGAGCAAGTCCCTTACTCTTTTGAAATGGTTTCCGCTTGTCAGTAGGCTATTGTAGGTCAGAGGGCCTGTCGGGGAACAGTGTTTAGTCCTTCGGATGGTTCCATAAAGGGTACCTTGGCCATTGGAATTCGATGATGGTAGGTGGAAATACCCCTCAGTAGGGGTAAGGTCTAAACGTTAAGGCCCTCCATAGATTTGGTCATAGGTCACGGGATGTAAACAGGGCTAGCACTAATCCTAACCCTTACCCTAACCCACAATCTCGCCAACAATCACATGCTCTAACCATATTTACATCTCGCGAGCTATGACGAAATCTGCAATGGGCCTTAACTTTTATACTTTACCGCTGAAAGGTAGGAACTTAAACCACATTTCATTTAATGTGTATCACAAGTGTAAAGTGTGCACGAAGAAGTCGGTGATATTGGTTCTGGGTTGTTTGTAGTGATTATGAAATATCTGAAAGTATAACAGGGTGTGTCCCCAGAAGTACCTCGTGCAAAACCCTGTTTAAATAATTGTCGCATGCATTTAATTTAAAGCGATAGGGAGTTTAAAGTGTCTCCGAAAATAAAACCCTTTCCAACAAGAATTTAGACCACGTGGAGAGAGAGAGAGAGAGAGAGAGAGTAACGTCCACTCGACACACTCGACACAAACCAGGTTATTTCGGGACTAACATATGGTTCAATTTAATTTCAATAATTCGCTTGCGCATAGGGCCTTTAGCAGTGGGAGGAAACCGAAGGACCCAGAGAAAAGCCACCACGTGGAGAGAGAGAGAGAGAGAGAGAGAGAGAGTAACGTCCACTCGACACAAACCAGGTTATTTCGGGACTAACATATGGTTCAATTTAATTTCAATAATTCGCTTGCGCATAGGGCCTTTAGCAGTGGGAGGAAACCGAAGGACCCAGAGAAAAGCCACGAGATTGGACAGGCGACCCTATTCCTTATCACGTACAACCGGGGAATCGAAACCAGGCCAGTTGACTCAATAATAGACCTTATGATACACCGCACACGCGTTAACCCCCCCCCCCCCAACACACACACACACGTGGTGATACAACGATACGGGTTGGGTTTTAATCGCTTCTTGTTATATTGTGTTTTTGTGGCACAGTTCTTTTAAAATTGTAAATGACTATATTATATAGGATTAATATTTTATAAGTGTAAATGGCTATATTAGGAGTAATATTTTAACATTCTAGAACATTCGGAAATGTCGTTAGTTGATATATTTTTTAACGCCGAGTAAATAATTTAGTTGTTATATAAACCCGATGACATGCAGTAAAGTATTTATCTTCTTGCATCAACCGAAGGTCATACGCCCACAATATATATAGTCAATACAGGAGTGGATCTTGGTAGATAAGGGACACGAACTGAGCCGGATTAAGGCATTTACGTAATCTGCCTTAATCTGTCATGAAACTTGCACATCTGTCAAGACTGTACGTGTTGTATTCATCCCTTGACTGTTGGAATTCGATATAAGAGTAGGCCGTAATGCCGCTATACGGGGAAATTTCCCTCATAGCAGACTGTATGGCGTATGCCCGTCTTCATTAGCCCAGTCGGAGCAGAACAGTAGGAGGTTAAACCCCATTTCATTTCATTTATAATAAATTTATGAATTACTGCCAAGACCTATTGCAAAATACATATTTTATATAAGGCCGTTATAAATAGTACTCTATTGTAATATGTTTATGTCTTCAGAAAGAAATACCTCCATTCATATCAACAAAAGGACGGATAGGAGTGTCACGTAAATTCTCTTCGGTGTCGCAAACTGTGTATGCCAATTAATTTCATTGTCGAAAATTTCTTACGAG